GCTGTTCCAACGCTCGTTGGGATGTCGGCAGTTGGGTTTTGATCTTCCCTGGTTTCCAATGCCGCCACTTGTTGGCCACTGCCAGGACATCCGGGGCCTCAATCGATCCGGAGAGGATCCACTCCTCACGGTCCCGGATGGCCTGTTCCATTTCCAGTGGAGAATAGGTGTACGATTGTCTAGCGCCTGCCGCACGAAACAGAAGTTGCTGCAGGGTCTTAGTAGCGAGCTCCAAATCCGCCTCCTCCAGCGGTTGTGGTTGGGAGCCGAGTATCCTTGCGAGGATCAAGTTGTAGGTGTCCGAGGCCACCAGGACATGGTTATCGTCGGGTGCCATCCCCACGATTCGTGTCCACGGTCGCGGGTCGAAGACCACCGCATCCGGGTTGGCAACCTGGTCCTTTTTGACCCATTCCAGGCAGCACGCCACGAGGATTTCCCCGTCCGACTGCACTGGTGCAAATCCAAGGTCATGCAAAATCAACTGGACCGCGGTTGGGACCCCTAGGAAGGTCGTTCCAAACGGGGAAGGGAGGCGGGGCCTCCACATCATCATGATCCACTCGAGCCCGGAGCCAAATCCCTAGGCGCCAACCCCAACCCAACAACAGGGGGGGCCCCAAAACCCCGGAAAGCCAAACCCGAAAACGGGGGGGGGGGGACCCGGGGAGCCTCCACGGAAAGGGAAAAACCAAACGAGGGGGGGGAGCCCAGGCGCACTCCGGACCAGCCCAAGCGCGCCCATTTTTCTCGCCTGGTACAGGTCAAGGCCTGTGCTGTGCCCGGGGGGGATATCAGCGCCATCGGCAGCTGTCCTCCCCCGGGGTGCCCTGCGAGTCCGTTCCGGATGGCCGCAGTGCTGCATGATCACACGGCCCCCTTGGCAATGTCGTCAATGCGCTTGAGCGCCGCCGCCTCCGGGTTCCGGAGAATCAGCTCCCAGATGGCATCTGAAACATGGCCGGTCTGGGTGACGTGGCTGAACCTAAACCGTGGGACTTTCTGGTCCACCACGGAGACATCCCGCAGCGGGGCAGACGGCTCTACCCGGCGGTAGAACTCCAGCCGTTCCTTGACCCAGCGGTTGTACAGTCCATCGGGCGGCTCGTCCAGCACCAGCTGAAGGATGGCCTTGCCGGCCCGGATCTGGAGGAGGCGAGTGCCCCCTCCCCCGGCGCGCCAGTACCCCTTGCAGTACTTGCACATATAGCCCCCCCGGGTCTCCCCCTTCGTCTTGGGGATGAGCTCCCATGGGGTGACTGAGCTCAGAACCAGGCCGCACTCCATGTGCGCCCAGAAGACGTGCTTCGTCTCTGCCGAGAAGTTCTTCTTCTTGTAATCCTTGCCCACCACGCCGTGGACGTTGTCCGATGTGATGGGGGGGTAGACGATCCCCTCATCGCCCTCTCCTCCCCTGGGGCGGATGTCAGGGCCATCGGCACCTGTCCGGCACCCGGGGGCGGAGGGGTCCAGGCCCATCAGCTTGATCATGTCGTTGGTGTAGCCGAGCTTGCGGTAGATGGAGGGGGCCACTGAGTCGGGGACTGCGCCGACCCACCACTGCTTCGTGTTGCAGCGCCAGTTGACTTTCACCTCCGCCAGGGCCCCCGGGCCTCCAATGCGGTCCATGAGGGCCTGGTACACCTCTGGGAACTGCTGGAGACTCTCCACCGGGACCGATATGCGCTCATCACATACCGCCCGGAGGATCATCTGTTCCTTGGAGTCCGCCACGTCCTGGACCGGGAGCTGCATTACCTCCGCCGGGGTGTCCGTGAGGAAGGCCCGGGCCGCAAGGACCTTGCCCATGGCCCGGTAGACCAGGCGCCACTCCGGTCCTGTCTGCGGAAGCGGAAGGCCCTCCTCCTTCAGGAAGCACCGAGCATCTTCCTTCAGGGTCTCCCAGCCTTCCAGGCGGATCTGATTCTGGGCCTTGTTCTTCGGGCCCCGCTGTCTAGGGCCCTGAAGCAATGGCAGGGACTCCCAGACTCCCCAGAGCTGGCGCAGAGTGAAGCTGTGACCAAACATCCCCAGCAAGCCTGGGAGTGTCCAGGACGAGATCTGGCGCGCCCAGTGGAAGTCCTCCTCCGGATCGTGGGGGGCCGCCCAGAAGATGGATCGCAGGTCCTCGGGGTATGGTCGGTCCCCCGCCTTGGCCTGCTGGTTCAGCTCCTCAACGGAGTACCTGGCCCATGGGAGTCCACCCGCCTGGTGGTTCCTGGGATGCGTACCCTTTTCCAGCGCCTCCGGATTCACCTTGGTGAGGTTGTTGGCCCAGTCCGGGACGTGTACGGGCCCCGGTCGTCGGACCCAGCGGCCCGCAAAGATGCGGACCTCTCCGACACGCTTGCTCATCATCCAGCGCAGGACCGCGAGCTGCACCTCCGGGTCCTGGGTGTCCAGGCCCCCCGGGGTGGCGGACGGCTTGTCAGGGCCCTCGGCACCTGAGCTCGTCGCACCAGAGCCCGAAGCTGGGGGGATGGTGGGCTGCCTGTCAGGGCCCTCGGCACCTGGGCGCGCCGCACCAGAGCCCCCCGCCTTTGGAATGGGGATCCCCGCCAGATCCGGCAGATCTGCCAGGAGGGCCGCCGGAAAGGGGTTCCTACCCAGCGAGATGACCGCCTTGGCTTCGAGGTAAGAGTCCGTGAGGGACGTGAGGTCGTCCATGCTGAAATCCCTCCATGCCGTGGTCGGCTCAAAGACCCCTGTCTCAATGGCAACTCGGACCTCGCTAGGCCACGCACTGAATGGAGGCTTGATGGGCTCGAGCATTCTGGTCTCGAGGGCGCCCTTCGCTTGTCTGGCCTGGTGCTTTGCCTTCGCCTCTTCCGCAGTGGTCTGGGCCTGGAGGAGCTCCGGTGTGGGCCTCCCCCAGTCCGCGCCCAGCTTATCCAGCAGTTTCTCGCGGAAGAGGTCCAAGTCCAAATTCTTGAGGAGTTGGCCCCCATCGCCTCCTCCATCGATGGCCCCTCCTTGAAGCTCGTGGAGGACCGCCGCGGATCGCTCCACCGCTGCCACCTGGTCTGCCTTCTTGGCCTCTTCCTGGGCGATGGTGGTGGCGTTGAGCCGGGTCTGGATTTTGAAGGCCTTCACTGCCGACGGGTGGAAGGCCCTGCACTCCTGGCCCTCTTCCTTGTCGCCCGGCAACGGGGGCCTTTCCCCCATTGGGGCCGTCAGGAAATCCTCGTCCAGCTCCATGGGGCAGTTCCTGATCACCGCCCGGACCGAGGAGGGGACAAAATCCGAGAAGCTGGCCTGGTCCAGGTTCTCGCATGCCATCGGGTCGGTGGCCAGCTCGCTGACATCCACCGAGGCGCTGAGCTTGAGGTCGCGGGCCCGGTCCGTATCAGGGCCATCGGCACCTGCGGACCGGGCCGCCGTCCAGACCGCATTGCCCTGGTCATCCACTGTCAGCTGCCAGTGCGTGCCCGCCATTTCCAGGGTGGCCAAGTTGGACGCCGTGTCGATGGGCTCCGTCTTTTTGCCGCACCCCATACACTTCCTGGCGCCCTTCTTCACCCAGGGCATGGTGCAGCAGGGGCAGATCCAGGATGTGGGCTCCTTACCCAGGGGGCGGTTCTCCAGGCCCCCATACCCCAGGCCAGCGCGCTTGCCAACCTTCTGTCCCGGGGTGCTGAGCAGGGCCTCATGCTCATACTTCATCTTGGCGATGTAGAACGCCTCCACCACGCGCTCCAGGCCCCCCTGCTTGAGTTGGGGGCCCTCAAAGCCTCTCAGGAGCCGCTGGACATCCTTGGCCTGCAGTCGGCGGAGCCTGGTGGCCGTGGTCGCATCAAAACACGGGAAGTCGCCCGCCATCTGGTCCGCACTGAATTGGTAAAGGCCCTCAGAGACTTTGAGGGCCTTGGTGAAGACGCTTCCCCCTGGCGGGGGGGCTGCGGGGTCCTCATCCCCCTCCGAGGACGCCTGCGCCCTGGCCTTTTCCATCAGGTCCTGGCGTCCCTGCCACTTGGTGTCGGACATCGGGGGGTCCACCTCATCTTCCGCCAGGGGTTCCTCCATCGGGGGCTCCTCCTCGTCTTCCGCCAGGAGTTCCTCCATGGGAACATCCGGCTCTGGAGGGTCGAGAAGCTCCAGGAACGCCCCTGGGGGGCGTGTCAGGGCCTTCGGCACCTGCGCCACCCCAGGGGAGGAGTCCGCCATCAGCTCGTCCTCGGCCTTACGCTTGGCTGGGATGAGTGGGGCTTGCTCCAGCTCGTCGGCGCTGGAGAAGAACCGTTCGTCCGGTGCCTGAGGGACCTCAGCCGCCAGGACGGTCCAACCTTCTTCCTCCTTTTTCACAAGGCTTGCCAGGTACTTCGCCATGGATGCCTTTGCCTTCGCCTTAGCCTCTGCAACCGCGGCACTAGCATAGGCGGGGGCGTACATGGCTTTGATAGGAGGGGAATGAGAAGTTTCAGATTCCAAGACAGAAGGGAAGTGCCCACTTGAGCCAAAATGGTGGCCCAAGTGGACACTTACAAAGAGTCAAGACAAGCGACCACCTGCGGTCAACACTTTAGCCCATTAAAATGCATTGCCATCTGGAACATACCGTGGATGGTTGCGAAACCCGTTCGCACCCACTTTTGACACCATGGGAAAACCCATAGGTTTTTCTTTGTATTTGCAGGGGAATTTCGCAACCATCCACAGTATGGCCCCTGTGTCACCCCCGCTTCCGCCTGGCTCCGAACTCTTTTTTTAAGTATGGCGAGGGAACTGCGAAGGCCGGCCTGCCCAGTTTCAGTGGGAGACCCAAAAGGGAAAAGGGGGACCACTGAACTAAGTGAAGGCGACGGATTGGTCAACCTAGTGTTTTCTATTTGCTTTAAAGTGTCAGCCTAGATGGTCAAAGCGGCCACTCTAGTGTTCTAGCCGTAACGCTGGCATTTGTGCAAAAGTGAATCGGACCCTTTCATGTTGAAGTTTCAATTTGTCCAAACCCTTTTGACCCTATCCTCAAAAGACAAGCAGCTCTCCTCCGGTACTCCCCGGGCCTGGGCCGCATCAGGCTGCTTTCGAACATCTCCCGGGCATATTCGGTCTTCAGCTCGGAGTTGCCTCTCCGGCGAGTCGAATTCCACGAACACTCGCAGAAGGCCACTGCGAATGGGTGTGCCTTTTGAAGCTACCCCGGTTTCGGATTGGAAAGGAAACTAAAAGGAAAACCATCCATGTTGTGTGTCCCCATATTTAACGACAAACCAAAATGGAACTAAAGGGTTCCATGTAAGCCCGGGTTGCGTTCTTTTCCTTTAAAAGACTCTGCTTTTGAAGCTTTCCTTGAAGCCCCTTGTTTTCAAGCCACACAGGCCCTCTTTGATTCAGAATTTGACACATAGCCCTTTGATGCGTGGCAGTGAAAACAACAACAAAACATCCATCGATCAGGATGGAGCACCGGCCTTGAAGAACTCTTGACTGCTCTTGGGTTGGATCTTCAGACTCTGACTTTTCGGGAGAAATCCAAGTTGGGGTGCTCCACTAAACCCCCAAAAAAAAGTGGAAAAAAACCCAAAAAGTGGAGAAAAAAACAACTTTTTGCAGGGGGGTCGTTGCAGCCACCAGGACCTCACCTGACTTTACCACATCCTCGATCCGTCCAGCGCGCCGCTCAGCCCGCCTGTGGGCTTCACCAGGAAGGGCTTGAGGTTCAGGCCCACCTCCTTCCGGAACCTCGGGCATATGCAACAGGGATTACATGAAAACACCCTGAACATTGCAACTTGTGAATGGTGGTGTTTCCGAATTTCCCTTTATTCTGGTGTTGAAAAAGCAACATGTTTCAAATGGTTGCAAGATGTATCTTTTAAGGAGCCCTGTTCAAAATGGTCTGTTGTCCCATGCTTCAAGAACTAAGGCGGATCTCCGCAACTATTTATGGCAAGGGGATTGGGCCTCACTCACCTTCATCTACCCGAATCGGTTTTGAGCAAGTGGCTCACATGGGATTTGAATCCCACACGGATGGGCCGAGAACATCGCCGTGGCGATTTTAACGACGGTGGATGGTTGAAATCGACATCCGTATCCCGCACCAAGTCGAAACTATGGTTGAAACCAATTGTTTGTTGGTACGTTGGGGAATCGAATCATTCCAGGGTTTCTTAGGTGGTGCGAGATGGATTCTGTGCATCTACAGTAGGTGGGTGACAAGAACCAGTTCTTACCCTTTAGCAGGGCGAAGCCCTTGCTGGGCACAATTTTTGACCACTCAAAAATGGTCCAGACCCAAAAAGCGTCTGAAATCCCCGAAACGGAACTCCGGGAGTGAGAAGCTGGGCAAAAAAAGAAAACGGAAACCGGAGATGAGCAAATCCCTGGTCAGGGACCTTCATGGGAAAGCTCCGAATCGGAGAGCTTGGGAATCATTTGCGAGCCAACGAATCCCCAAACGAAGCAGCCCCCAAACTGGCAACATGATGTTTCTGAAAATCCTTCACCAATTACCCGATGGAATCTCTGAAAGCCCAAGCTCGAAAATCAGGAAGTTTAAACACGTTGGTAAAACTGGACCTGCCTAGACGTCATCTACCCTTACGGCTCAACTCCCCCCGATGACTCCATGACTCCATAACCAAAGCTTGGCCAACTCCACGCGAAAGGAAATTGGCCAACATGTATACGGAATCTAGTCGGCCTTAACATATGACACATGTGGCTATGTGTCAAAATAGCGAGAGCCCAAAATGTGTTTTTCTAGTGGTTTCACGTTGAACCAAGCCTGCTTTTACAGGGTACCCTCAAAAACAACACTCTAGCTTCCTGTGATATGGTTTTGTGATTGTCTGGGCTGTTCACAGTTGGAGTGGCCAATCCAATCCATTCCTATTGGGAATCCACAAAGGGTTGCTCCTTCCTATCCTAACCCCACAATTGCATACAGGTGTGTGTGTGTGTGTGTGTGTGAGAGTTTTCCTGGGCACAACATGATACCCATTTTCGGTGCTCCAACTCCCTATTTTGACACAGACCGATAGACTCCACAACATGTGCCCCTTTTGTTTGAACCTCCCAAAATAGGCTCAAAATTCCGTGTCCGCCAGCCCCCATTAGCTTAAGTCCCAAAAAATGTTTGTCATAAATTGAAATTTCCAGAAGCGATGGGTTCCCTTCAAAGCCAACAACTGGAGCAAAATGGGAAGAAAAAATCACCAGTGGCCTAAGACCAAAAACATCTGCGCAACTGAAACCGCCCAACAAATGGGGAAGATCTCCGGTGGCTCGACGTCCCCCGACTCCATGGCCTTCCTACCCCTTCCCCCCCTTGACTCCAATCCCCCGTCGACTCGCTCGGGGCGGGGGGCTCCGTAGAGGTGCCCCGGAAGATGGGGTGCCTCTGGACGATGGCCTGGATGGGGTCCTCCTCCACAACCTCCTCCTCCTCCTACGGCGGTGGCTCGCTGGAGGTGTCTCACCCACCCAGGGGATCGCCCTGTTGGGTATGGTGGTTCTTGGTGGTTTGTCAAAGAGCGCCCTTTTTGTGCCTCAGGCCTATGGCTATGGGATCTTGGAGTGGTTTGTTCGAAGCAATGCCTCGTTATATCACCCACCAAGGGCGCGCCTTTAAAAAGCCTAAGGCCTATGGCTGTGGCCCCTTGGGGTGATGTTTCGCCCCTTGGAGTGGTTCGTTCTGGGCTCGTTCTCACCCACCAAGGGAGCCGTGTGCCCAAGGCCTGTAAAACCCCTTGGGGTGGCTTGAGGTCTCACCCAAAGGCGCCTATGGCCCTAAGGCCCCTTGGAGTGGTTTGTTCGGGGCTTGTTATATCACCCAAGAGAGCCCTTTTTGGTGCCTAAGGCCTATGACCTATAAAACCCTTGGAGTGAGTGGCTTGCTCGGCAGTTTGCAAAAGCAGAAAATCAGGGAAAGAGTTGGAAGGACGAAACAAAACACATCCCTGGTGCTGTCCTGCTTTCCTTTCTTTCAGGGACTCAAAAATCCCTTCCATTCCCAACACCCTGCTAAGTCCAAGCCTCATGGGGCCTCTGGGTTCCGGCCCCTAACCCGGGCGTGCTGTTCCTTCCTGCCGGGACCTTCGCCCATGTCTGTGATACCACAGTAGCATTCCCATGGCTCTATATTAGTCTTCAAATGGAGTCTTTTCACAGAAACTCTCAAATCCCAATGTTCCACAAGCCCAAAGCACTGGAAAACCCCGGCAGTGCTTTGAAGAAATCAGGGGAACTCCCTTCTTCGGCCCTTCCTGTTGGCTTCCTCAGATGTCCAGTGGACTTTCACGGGAGGAATGGGAACCCTTTGTGACCGCTAGAGCCAGCGAAGCAGCCGCGGCTTGTGGCTCGGAGGACCCGCGGCCAACCACAAAACCCGGTCATGTCCAGCCCCGTGCTTCATATCTCAGGCATCCGCCATGCTGTGGATGGCTGAAATCGAAATCCATGCAACGCACCACCCAGGAAACCCCAGGAGGGTTCGATTCCCCTGTAAATACCAACAAAAAATGGTTTCTAATGGTTTCAATGTGGTGCAGGATTTCGTGCATCCACCATAGCGCGATCTTAGCACTGTGATACTTCCAAAAAGACAGCAAGCATGTTTCCCGGCCATGACCACATGTCGTACAAGCCGCCATGGGCAGCACGAGCTCCATTTTGACCCCACAAAGGGGGGTTCCCGGTTCCTTTTCCTTCACAAGGAGACATACATACCCAATTTCCTTCGAAGGGGGGTAGTTTCCAGACAAGAAGGCTTGTTCACGACAGAAAGCCGGCCCAAGGACTGCGTTAGGATATGCCCTTGTACGACCTAGCTGCCCTCTCACAAAGCGGGCCACCACTGTAGGGGCCGGTCCAGCTTTATTGCTCCCAACAAGGATGTCAAAAGATAAAACTTGTCCAAAGCGAGTCAACAAGTAGAACTTCTGAAAGAAATGTGGATAAAAAACGTAAACTTTCCCCGCAATGGTGAGCAGAAAGCATGTCCCCCAAATGTCGCTTTGCTGTGTAAAACAGGGAAAGCAAATGATTTTGTTCAAGGCGGAGAAAAAAGAGAAGAAAAACAAGTCATCCATCCCGCTCCATTTCATTAAGCCAGTACGTTTCATTGGCCTCTTCCTGTCCCCGGCCTTCTCTTCGTGTTTGTGCACCTCTGAAATCTGAAGGCCGTTAGCCTCGGCGTCCAGTTGGCTCTTAACCTGCGGTTCTCTGAAGAGACTTTGGCAATGTGCCAAGCTTGGTGGCTGGAACGACCCCCCTGCAAAAAGCGTGTTTTTTTTCACTTTTTTGGGGGGCTTAGTGGAAAACCCAACTTGAATTGATCTCAACAAAAAAAAGTTGAAGTCTACAGATCCGTTACCCAATAGCAGTCAGGCCAAGGTTCACTTTCGGAACAAGAAACAAAAATATGGCTCCGCGCTTTTGTTGATACCCCACTAGGTTGGGAAGGGACACCAAAGCTCCAGGTTCTTCAAACGAGCAAAAGGCCGTGATCGATCTTTGCATGTTCTTTAAGCACCATTTGGTGTCCAAAAGGTCTACGGGGCAAACAGGTCGCGCCAAAGACCTGCCAGAACAATGAGCAGAACCAAAATGGTGGCTGCACCAATTCTCATTGGGACTCTCTCCTACTACCTTCATCTACGCGGTTCTTGATCGTGGCTAGCAGCCTGTGCCAGTGACATGCAAATTCCAGGCAGTCTGGCAAAGCACCAAGTAGATCCTGACATGGTTACAGTAGGAAATAACGCTTTCTGCAATGCCAAAGTAAGATTATCATCTCCATAACTACTTTATCACTTTAAATGACTAGGGCCGATGATTCAACCACTTCGCCGCAATGAACACGCTGAATCAGAGTCTGGAATAAAACAACTCTCCTCTGGCCTTGCGGGTTCCCAAAGGGAAATTAGCGTCAAGGGAAACTCACGGGAAACCCGGACAGAATTTTGGTTCCCAGCGTGTCTCGCGCTGCCAAAGTTCCGGTGGGTGCGACTCCTGAATCAGGCGAGCATGGCCGGCAAACATCGAATTTACCGCTGTTGGGGGAAGAGCTGTTTGTCAGACCCAACTGGAGTAGCTATGCATACACTCTTACCTTCAGAACATTCGTATACACCCTACATGCCTATGGGGAATGAAGCAAGATGGCAACCAGCATCGAAGCGACTCAATTGTGCTCCTCAAAATCGCGGCCCGTTAAAATGGTTGGGTTTCTTCTTGGTTTCCCTTGGCTGCCGACTGAAGGAGCAGGATGGCCAGCGCATTGCCTCTGGCACAAACACATCCTGGGCAGTTCCTCAAAAAGTGGCTGAAGGTCAACTAGGTCCTCCAGTAGAGAGGTTAGAATAAGGGTACCCCTTTTTTCAGGACGTCTATTTTAGTAGGGGAACCCTCCCAACCAAAAAAGATGCGGTTTGTTTGTCGCCTCGGCCCAATTTGGCTGAAAGGGGCTCCATAAAAAGGGCCATCTAGGCAATTTCCCTTTAACATGAGCCTGGAAAGAATTCGGGGGATTCAAAGGGTGGGGGTGGGGGGGGGGTTGCCCAAAGGAGGAAGGTCTTCCATTTTAGCTTTGTTTTGTGAAGGGGGGCCCTTTGAAATAGCCTACCAAATTCTGGCGTGGATTCCGTGGCAACTGGGAAGCTTGTGCCCTTCCGCCTGGGCAAGCACAACCCTATAAAGTATCGGATATGAATTGTTGATTTTGATTGTGGTCAAATGTTGAACGGAAAGCTGCAAAATTCAAAGTGCACACATCTGGTAGCACATGTATGTATGCATGTATGTACTGTACTGTACTGTACTGTACTGTACTGTACTGTACTGTACTGTACTGTACTGTACTGTACTGTACTGTACTGTACTGTACTGTACTGTACTGTACTGTACTGTACTGTACTGTACTGTACTGTACTGTACTGTACTGTACTGTACTGTGCTGTTTTGTACTGTACTGTACGGAAATGGAATGTCATGTAATGTAATGTAATGTCATGTAAGGCAATGTAATCAATGTAGTGGATGTGTTTGTATGTATGTATGTATGTATGTATGTATGTATGTATGTATGTATGTATGTATGTATGTATGTATGTATGTATGTATGTATGTATGTATGTATGTATGTATGTATGTATGTATGTATGTATGTATGTATGTATGTATGTATGTATGTATGTATGTATGTATGTATGTATGTATGTAATGTATGTATGTATGTATGTATGTATGTATGTATGTATGTATGTATGTATGTATGTATGTATGTATGTATGTATGTATGTATGTATGTATGTATGTATGTATGTATGTATGTATGTATGTATGTATGTATGTATGTATGTATGTATGTATGTATGTATGTATGTATGTATGTATGTATGTAATGTAATGTAATGTAATGTAATGTAATGTAATGTAATGTAATGTAATGTAATGTAATGTAATGTAATGTAATGTAATGTAATGTAATGTAATGTAATGTAATGTAATGTAATGTAATGTAATGTAATGTAATGTATGTATGTAATGTATGAATGTATGCTAATGTAATGTAATAGAATGTATTGTGTTGTGTTGTAATGTGGTGCTATGTTATGCTACGCAGTGTGATGTCATGTCATGCAATGTAATGGCATGGAATGTATACTGGAATGTATGTAATGTATGTAATGTGTGTAATGTACGTTTTGTAGGTATTGTAGGTACTGCAAGTAATGTAGGTAATGTAGGAAATCTAGGCAACATGTGGCATGTGTGTGTGTGATGGATGTAATGTATGTAAGGAATCTAATGCGTGCAATGCATGTAATGTAGGTTGTGTAGGTAATGCACGTAATGTATGTACATATTTTACATTGTGTGGATGCATGTGTGTATGTATGTATGTGCGTACGTACGCACGTACGTACGTACGTACGTACGTACGTAAGTATGTATGTATGTATGTATGTTTTTTTTTTTCCTGGAGATAGCTCCTGGGGGCGTTGTTTTTGGTTGTTTTTGTTTTTTGGTTTTCTCGAGGTGTTTTGCACTTTAGGCTGAAACCTCAAAAAACCTCGAGAAAACAAAAGAACACGAAAAGCAAACAAAACAAAAAACAAGATTGAGACCCTAACCCCTTGGGTCCACCCCTGTTGGGGTCTGCAATCTTGTTTTTTGGGTTTTCTTGAGGTTTTTTGAGGTTTCAGCCTAAAGTGCAAAAAAACCTCGAGACAACCAAAAACAAAAACCAAAAAACAAAACAAGATTGCAGACCCTAACCCCTTGGGTCCACCCCCCTTGGGGTCTGCAATCTTGCTTTTGTTTTTTCCTTTTGTTAGTTTTTTTTGTTTTTTTTGGTATTGTTTTTTGCTCTCGATTTTTTCTAGAATTTAGCACGAGGCTCTTTGATGTTGGTTGTTTTGGGCTTTGTGTTTGGATTTAATAGTTGATTTGGGGTTTGTGCCTTTTTATCTATTATTAGTACCTGCAAAAAAAAGCAGCGCCCATGGCGTTCCCTTCTGTATATATATATATATATGTTTGGCACGGGGCCTTCTCATGAGTTGACCTCAGCCCGCTCCTCTCGGCGTGTGGGACGTGGAGCTGGTGCCTCGCGCCCCGCCCCACGGGCTGGAATTGGTCAAGCAACCCTCGACCTAGGATTCTTAGGGGAACCGAACACCTGGTCTGGAATGGGTCAAGCTTCAACCCTAGACCTAGGATTCGAAAAAGGAACCCTTGAAGAGTTGCAATGTTCTAGGGGTACCTTCCATTTCCATTCTGAACCCAGGGATCCGAATCTTTCCAGACAACCTCCAGAAACGCAGGGAAAACGGCCGGTTTTTGACAAGAACGATGGTTGAACAGAGTGGGAGTGGCTTCTACTGTGGATGGACAAAATCCGTTCCCACCACTTTGAAGCCATGCTTGAAACAAGTGCTCCTTATGGTATTTACAGGGAAATGACCATTGCAGGGTTTCTTAGGTGGTGCGAAATGGCTTTCGTCCATCCACAGTATGTTGGCAGTTGGTTCACTCTACTCCTATTTGGTGGCTTGGCAGTGTACGCAAGGCCGTTTTCAACAAGGGGTTCAAATCTAAATCCAAACCGCCAATCCAGGCCACAAATTTCAGGGTTGCCTGACTTTAAGCCCTGGTCATGGAAAAACAACCCCCAATCTGTGATCCAATATGGGTCAAAGGGGATTCCCTTGCGGGTATCACAGAAGTGACCCTACCCGTGTCCGAAAAAGTTGCAGTACACTGTCGCTGGATTTCCCCTTCAAAAGTTGATCAATTGTCTGGTGGCTCCTTTCAAAAAACTGCCCCTTTAAAGGTTCCAAACAAGGGGCAAACGGCTTGGAAACCCTGGGAGAAGTGAGGATTCCCAAAGGGTAATTATCACAGAAAGTAGCAAACAAAAAAAACAAAACAATGCAAACAAAAAAACGAAGAAAAAAACTCATTCTTTCACCCCTTCCCAGCGCCACGGTGCTTCTCCGAGTGCTGGCCGGCATGGACAGGGCCCTTGGCGTCGCGCAACTGTCACGGGCGAGAATGGCCCTGGAAAGAACAGAAAGAGACCTCCTGGGAGGTTGGGTTTTCTTGTAAGAAAGAAGAGCCGTTCTGAAAAGAAGCAAACATCCTTCCGGTAGTGATAGACTCCCTGCAACAACATTCTTGAGTACATGGAAGAAAATGGACCCCTAAAAATGGATGGCTTCGACGTTGTAGTTCGGCAACATCCCATTTGGAGGGATGGGACTGTTTTTCACTTTAAACATCACCCCCCCTCTAAGAAAACAGCTGGCACTTCTACAGAAAGCTAACCCAAAACCTGGTGTCTGGTGGCTATCTTCCTGCACATGTTCCCGGAGTCTTAGACTGTGGGGGGAAGGGGCCCTATGACCGCTGACACCTCCGAAAACAGGCTCCTGTGTTGAGAGGACCATAGGGTCAAGATGGACTGGCTTGTTCAAAATGGGGGGGGAATCCATTATCCTGATCAGCAACTAGCATCTGGTATGATGATCAAGGATTGATTTTGTTTAAGCCAGTCAACTGTCACAACTACTGAAACCTGGCAAGAGGCAGATCCTTGCAACAATGGGCGTATATCACCGCCCACCTTGAGGGTGCATCCTACCACCAATCATGTTTCAGGGGTTGAGGGATGTCCTTTCTGATTGGACGCAAAGGAACGCCCCAACTTGGTGGCTGTTGACCCCTTTGCAAAGACCGTAACTTGTTGTGGGTCCAATGGAAAATCCACAGCTTTCCGACCAAAGAGCCGTAAAGCTAGGAAGCACCCTTTCTGAGAGGGTTCTGTGGTTCTTCCGAGAAGACAGAAAAGCTGCCTTCGCCCTCCATTTAGTCACGGGGGTTCCCCTATTTGATGTATGACATGTTACATTTGCCTTTTCGGGGGCAAGAGTGGCAATGTTGAGCCCATATTGATCAATATGGGGTCAACATTATGCTAAAGTGAGAGCTTGAACTCACGGTGAAACGGAATCCCTTGGCCACTCACAGAAAGTGGCAACCTAACACCCAATTTGGCACGACCGTGCTTTCAAGGGAAAGCATGTTGCAAGGGAAACGACCTTCTCACCGTGGTTTGGTGCTCCCTTGCAAGAAGTTCAGATAGAATGGATGCCCTAAATATTGCAACTAGGGAACAAGGAAACCCTGCAAACACCTCATGCTGTGGATGGACAAAATCCACGAAATCCTGCACCAGATTGAAACCATGGGAAACAATTGTTTGTTGGTGTTTACAGGGGAATCATCATTCTAGGGTTTCTTGGATGGTGCGAAATGGATTTCGTCCATCCACAGTACTTTGACTTGCCTCTGTTTGCGCTTGACCGAAGAACTGGACTCTTGTTGGTTGGCTGCTGTCAAAGGGGAGCAACCCCCACAAAGAATCAAAAGGCGCAGCGCTCTTAAACTCGCCCTGAAAATGGGAAGTGTCCTTTGATGAGTTGGGTCACACAGCCTTTTTGGAAGAAAACCCCAACCTGGATCAAGCACAGCTTTACTTTTCGTCGTCTACAATGTTCCCCCATGCAACTCTCACTTGGGTATATCTTCGACTAGCTGGAATGCAACTGTTGCAATGCTTGCTTGAGGGAAACCAAGAGGCAACCAAGACGAACGTCCCCTGTTTTGAGACCCACCCACTCAAAGGTATATGTTGCTATTGCACCGTGCAATGACACCCTGCCATTGCCTGAAATAGTCCGAAACCAGGGCTGATTCGATTCCCGAGTGCAATCCCAGGGTGCAATACCAACAAATAAGGCCCAAATTGGACAAATTCCTGTAACTGCAACTCCCAACCTGAAGTCAGACGACCAGAAGTAGACCAACTTCCCCCTGAGCCAGCTTGACCCTAAGATCTGTGAGCTTGCTTTTCAAAAAGCGTCCGGACTGCGTGGTTCATCAACTCTCCCACACCTTCAGACCTGAAGGTCTAAACTTCACTGGGAAGGGGCCAACTTTTTGCGGCCATGGTTGGGACCTCAACAAGGGCCCAAATTGAGGTCCAAACCCCTCTCATGCAGATCCCCTTTCCCCTCAAATGGAGGGGTCCAATGATAGAGTAGTTCATTACAAAGAGAAGCCCCCCGCCAAACTCAAGTCGAGAAAGGAAAAACGAAAATGAGCTTCGCCAGGACACCGTCGTCGCCCGCTGGAAGGATTTCGGTGCCATGTCATCACGCGCTGTGCTTGTGCTCAGTGCTGTCGGTGAAAATCTTTCTCAGTGACTCCATTTCCCTTGAGTAGGTAACTAAAGGAATCACACATGAAAAGCCAAAAGGAACATGGCAGATGTGATTTGAAAAAAAGAAAAACAACACTTAAAGCGGAAATGGGGAGAGTAGCCCACTAACAAGTGGCCCGCCGGAATCCACCTAAGATCACCAAAGGCTTCTCAGGCTAGGTGCTCTTGCTTGCATTTTCTGAGTTCGGGCTGAAGGCGAGTTGGCGCATGGTATCACCCGTGCGATGCAGTGCTATTGCCATGGGAGCCAAATGCACCTCTACAACCGAGGCGATATCCGGTTCGCGTTTCACACTGTTTGGAACTCAGAAACCGAAGCGGAATGATTCGATACCCCAACCTGGAAATGCCAAGGGAAACCATGTGGATTCAAAGTGGTGCGAAATCCACAGTGGCTGCCCTATACAAAGGCATTCTTCCGGCATCTTCGGCCATGAGGCTTTGCCGCGCGTGGGCAACTTTGACCCCAAGCCAACCCTGTTGAAGGCCACGGGTGTAGTTGCGTTGCCTTGGCTCAAGCTTGATCAAGCTTTGGTTAGGCCGAGCTTGGTGAAAGGGGAAATCCTGGAACCTCGAAACAACAAGCCAAAAAGGTCAGAAACAAAGGAACAAGTCGTTTGCAATGCAACGGGGTGTCTTCGGCCATTCGCGTGAGACACCGACCTTCCCAGATTGACCTAGAGTTACACAAAAGGCATCCTCTCGTTCAATCGAAGCCATCGACGGGAAACGTCGAGGTCCCCTTGCAATCCGAAGCCGCACTCAAAAAGGAAAGCTCCACGGGGACGAATCACCTTTTCCAGGTGCAAATCCCTTTGTTCCATCTTTTTGTTGGATTCCCCGATTTGTTCGACCTCCAAACATGGGGATTGTTTCCCTGGAAACTGCCCATACATTTTTATTAACTTTTGAAATTCCAGTGACGCTCTTGTGGACGGGGTGGGCCTCGTTGAAATGGCGCGTAGGGTCTGGGTAATGGAGGTCTCTTGTAGACTAAGAAAGGAGGCATTGTTCCCATGGAACCCCTGATTCTTTAAGATATGCGCGTAAACAAATCGGGTCTTTGGAGAAAGAGGCATTCTATTGGTTTCAAGATGTTTCAATAATTTATGAGCGAAATACTCACTTGGGGATCCAAGTCCTCTCGCAGGTTTCAGAATTATTGTGTGTTCCCCTGTTTGTCCTCTGCAATACATTGTTTCCCAAACGACAATTGTAGAATTTGATTAGACTCCAGAACGGCTTGCTGCTGGGGTCAACGTCAGCTATTGGGTCAACATAAAGCCACGCAAAAAAAAACCGCCACAGATGTGGAACTTGAGAAGCCCATTGTGCTCCATTTCTTTCGGGTTGCATGTGCAAAACATGAGGGAACAGGGTGACTGCTTTGGGGAGAGGGGATTTGGGGGACCGCTGCGAATCCGTCCCGAGAGCTCTCACCGAGCTGGGCGAACGGCACATGTTTTCAGTTCCTGAAGAGAACCGGCGCTCGAGTGGGTGCCAGGGGAAAAATACAGTTCGGCGCCCATCAATATGTTCAACGCAGGTTTTTCCACCTTATTGATGACCCTAAACCCAGGGTTCTCCTTTTTGGGGGGAATGCGCCTGGGTTTAAGTTTACCCTGCGGGTCAAACAAGTGGAACCCAAGTTCAATTAGTTGTTGGGGGATCTGGCTGTCATTGAAAATAAAGGAGGGCACAAAGAGCTCGGACTTACAAATCTATGGTTCATTTGATTTCACAACCTGGGGCCTCACTGAATCTCTCAAGTGGGGCAACCAAACCAGCCTTGACGCCAGCATTTGCATGACTGGAGGCGAACAGACCCTTTGCAAACGTTTTCCTCGGACCTGGACTCGGGTTCTGAACCGGGTTCCGACCGCTTGTACGGGAGAATCATGTAGCATCCAAATAAAAGTTTATCCCTTCGGGCATGTGTCAACCTCGGAATTGGGGCCCCCGAACATGGGGGGGGCGGTGCTTGGTTTGCCCCTGGGTCACCTCGTTCACATAGGGGTGTCGAAACTTCGAGGGCACCCTTGGAATTGAAACTGGAAGCCAAAAAACCTGTTGGCTGGAAACAAAAAAAATCGGAAGCCAGCGATTGGTCGAAGCTTTCACAAAAAAAACCTCTGGCTTGGACTTCACAAGCTGGGGGAGTCCCCGTCCAACGCCCTCGCCTTGAGCTCCTCCAGGAACTTCCGAAACCTCTCGGGGCGCCGGGGGTCCTGCGCGGCGCGCAACCCCCGGGGGACCTCGAAAAAGCGGCCTGGGAGAACCTCTCGGAGAACCGTGGCGGTAAAGTCATTGAGCAGATTCCTTTTTGGGAAAATACATGGTGCTGGTAGGTGATTGCACCACCAGGTAAACCAGGGCCTTCTATTTTAAGCCAAATTCACCGAAAAGAACACCTGTGATTGAGCATGGTAGCAGTGCTGCAAGATTGAACACAAGTTGGGGGCCAGGGTTCTAAGGGTTCTGGGGTACACCAAAAGTCATAACTTCAGATGTTGGTCCATAGCGTACCTTAAAACACACAATGAAGTTGAAGGAAGCTGTTTATGTACGCAACCGTGGTTTAGACATGTGTGAACAAGGGGTTGACCCAACCCTGGTTCAAATGAGTTGTCCCCTTAGCAACTTCAAGACATCAAAGAGGACACTCGATTCAAACTTGCGACAAGGGAAATATGGGGGACAGCCCGGAAGGTATGCAAACACGAGCGGACTTAAAACGCCATTCCTGACCCCAAAATTGAGTTAGATCACCTTGGCACCGCAAAAAGTAGCCCTAAAACATACGTATTTTCCACAACCATGTGCAGGACGATCCAGAATGGCTGATCCCCGGCCGAACGGAAAAGCTGCGGGAAAGGCACCCTTGAATTCATGCCCCGACCCATACAAAAGTGCTAGAAAGGCAGATATATAAAAAGGGTCCGTTTTTTGGGGTCCAGGTCGATTTGGTGAGTGAAGTTCCCACCCCACCATTCACGGGTCGCCCGAAAGGCGCCGGGGTGGTTCTCGTTGTCTTTCGAGGCCTCCGTGTGGCGCTGGCCCGTGATGAGCGTGACCAGCTGCTTGCAGTCCCCGGACCTCACAATGCCAACCGAACGGATGGACAAGACTCGCACGAGGGAATGAAACCACGGGCATGAAACCCATTGTTCATCGGCTTCACCACATGCTTGAAACCATAAGGTTTATTGGTATTTACGTTGGGGAATCGAATCATTCTACGGTTTCTTGGGTGGTGCGAAATGGATTTCGTCCATCCACTCTCTTCCTCCTCAAGACATCACCCCTGCCAGGGGAAACTCAACTTGAATCGCCCAAATGATTGAGGTTTAAAACCAGGAAGAGGGTGAATTGCCGGGAACCCTGAACCACGTGCGGGCTTCAGAAAGAAAGACGCGACCGCGCGACATGGGTGGCTTCCAGGTGTCTTCCTTTCACATTTGCCACGTTTTGGGAGTGACATTTGATCGAAAGATGCCACCCGGGATGCTCTTCACCCAGCTCTTGGAAACCATGAGGGCAACTGCGGCTCCCCCTCCCCAATCAAATTCAACCAGAGCTCTTCAAGGTGAGTGTGTGTCTTTTTTTGACGGTACCCTTTTTGTGGTTTTAGACTACTACCTGTTTCTCTTGTCTGCTTGTGGAGGGGGGGGTGTTCACGTGCCTTGCTTGCCCACCTTCACCAAAGTTGCCCGGCCCTATGCGCAACACCTTTTGTCGGAAAGCCAAAGAAGAAGCCTGAAAAGCATGAACCCCATTAAATCGCTCCTGGTAGAACCAGACTTGGAACCCTGTTCGGGTCGGCCATCTTGAGCATAAAAGCAACCAAGCAAAAAGGGATTTGCCGGGTGCCGCTGAAGGTATCTGTGCGCCGGGCCAACCCATGAGCACAGCAAGCGCGTCCTGGCGGGCGCCAGGGTATGGTGGATTTCCGATGGCAAGTGAACCACTTAAAGGGGCGATCGGGCACTTAGTAAGCGGTCAGTAACCATGGTTTTAACCCACTTAGGAGACTTATAACCATGGTAAGTGGGTTATAACCATGGCTACTAACCAATTACTAAGTGCCCTGCTCTTTTAAGCAACCACACTGCAAATGAACGAAATCCATTTCGAACCACTTAGAAACCATGGTTGAAAACATAAGGTTTGTTGGCAGCTACAGGGGAAGCATCATTCCAGCGTTTCTTAGGACCTTGGTGCGAAATGGATTTCACAACCATTCCACAGTATGGGTGTGTCTTTTTTGAGGGCAGCCCTGTTTTTGTGGGCTTTTAAGGAACGCCAAACCACAAATTGCTGGGGTCCTATTCCGCAACCACTTGCAAATGACCCGTAAGTTCCACGGTTTTCCTTTGTTCCCCTAGTCATGCCTGTCCTGCTCAAAGCAAGCTGACTCAAGGTAGCTTGAGCTTCAGCCGCACCCCGACATAGCCATCCGACTGAAACCCCCCGAAGGGCTTCGTGGGCCAAAGAGACGATGCTCAAAAGGGAGATGTAGGGACTTCTGTTTGGAGACAGGGCTCTTTGGGAATGTTGAAGTATGCTCTCGTAAGTTGAACAGTGCAACTGGCAAGAAAAAATATCCATGCTCGCTGGGAATCAAACATCTTTTTGGAAAAAGCGAAGCGCCGATTCCTTTCGCGCTTTAGTGCCAACAAGAGTGATCAAATGGCTCTTCAAATTGTAAAAGCAATCTGCAAGTTCTAGACTAATTCCAAATCCTGGAAAAAGATTTGGATCCACAAGTAAAAGACCTTCATCACAGGGCGCTCGTTGTACGCCCAGAGGTCGAAACCCGTAAAAGATCGGCAGATGGACTCCAAGTTTTGGAGCGATCGGCACCCTGGGGCTTGCAACAGGAGTTACTGTCGACCCCAGGATGCAGCTGGGACAAGTTCCTGGGGCTGGTGCCCTCAGAATTGTTTTTAGGCGCCATAGTGCGGGGGGAACCAAGGAACCCCCCCCCCCCCCCGTTTTTCCCGCAACTTCCGGGTGGTTTCCGGGGTGTCCGGGGTGCTTGCCAAAGCATCCACCCCACGTTTCTAGGGGTACCTTCCATGTCCATTCTTTCCCGGAATCCTTCTTTCTGGAAAACCTCCTTTGAAACCCAGGAGCACGGCCAGTTTTTGGAAAGAAGGATGGTTGAAAGGAATGGACCAGGAATCAACCCCTACGTTACCTGAAACGAGATCCCGATCCACGGCTCATCGGCTCCAGCACGTTCTGCGCGGGCTTCGGGGGATCGAAGTACTCGGAGATCCAGAAGTTGAACCTCGGCTGCAGCGCTTCGCTCGGATCGGATTTCGGATCGGATTTTTTTTTCTTGCGAGGAGTGGTGCGGAGGTCTGTGTTTGGGTGGCTCAAAATAGACAAACCCCTCAAAATGGCCCCGTTGAAAAGGGATCGAATCCAGTTTTTGGCAAGGAGAGGTGCTGAGAGGTCTGTGTTTGGGGTGGCTCAAACAAAGGGCGACCCCCCAAAATGGCCCAAAGCTCCTTCCGCGAGTTTTCAAATAAAAAGCCCGTCCAAGAAACCAGGGCTCCCTGTGTTGAGACACGGCCGTTGCGGATTTGTGGTGATGCTCCATTCTCCATTCTCGTGAGGAGCAACCACCTGTGTGAATTAGCATATGGTTTTCGACGTGCAAAATTCGGTTGGGGTTCATACAACTGATTGTTACTCAGCAGGCTGCTCCCATGCGTTTCTCAGCGGCTAGTCATATGATGGTATAAGTAGTATCATGACTATAATTCGCAATCCCATTCCTGGTGATCTTAACGGATAACTCAACCCGTGGCCAATTTTGATCGGGTCTTCTCCTGGGAAAGTCGGTGGCACCCTCTCGATGGCCCTGTGTGGCCGCGGCATTTTTCTTCCGTGCGCCTTCGAAGATAGGGGCTCTTCTCAATAGCAGGCTCCACTAAAACGGTTGGCTTCCTTTTGGTTTCATGTCTTGCTGGGCTGTGACCTGCAGGCTTGTCAGCGGACATCAGCTGCATCATCTTCGCACGAAATCTAAGCGGTTTGACCCTTTGCTAAACATCACCTCAAGGATTCTCCAAATGGGGGACCACCCAAAAACTTCTGGTTTCCCTTTGGCTTCCTTTGAAACGACCCCTCAATTAGAGTAGCCTCAAAACATGATCATCAAGCCCTTTGAAATCCACAAGCAATGAAACCCAAGGAGTACATTGCCAGCAGCATTGCCCAAATTCCAGCATCCCATCCGGAACTTTTGGAAAAACGCGGTAAGAATCTGAAGTGCCCCACCAAACATGGGCCTATCTTTCAATAGTTTCAAGCAGGAGACGCACAAAAGGGCTTTCTTCCTTTGGCGTTCATTTAAGACTACACCTCAAAAAAGTACCCCCAGATGCAACCTGACTGGAGGACCCTGGAAGTGTGCTTTCCTGTTCAGGGAAAGCCCCAAGAGATATCCAAAAGCTCCGATTTTCGCACTGATCTTCCTCAAGATCAGCTGGTAAACATGAAAATCTCAACATGGCCCAAATGCATCCTTTTTGCAACCCTGTTCAGTGGGGTTTTCAGGAACCATCGAGGGTACATTCCCCCCCAAAACGAGCATGTCCATTTACGCTCACCCGGGTGGACTGGCCTTTCTACCTTCCCAAGCGCAAAGTCCACCGGGGAAGTGAGAAGGACCTTTGCGGCCATGAACTTTAACCAAAAATACCCTCCCGATGGACATCGTTCCCCCTGGGATTCTGGTGCCAAACCAAACAAACCCAAAGTAGAGCCCCGAAATCTTCCCGGGGATCCTCTTCCGCTTGTACAGTTCTCCCCATGGCAAGGTTTGACAAGTCTCTCAATGGCTGTGAGACACACACTTTTTGACAGACATTGGGCAACTGCCATGTGAAGTCGTTCCCCCTGGAATTCTGTTGCCAAACCAAACAAACCCAAAGTAGAACCCCGAAATCTTTCCGCTTGTACAGTTTTCTGGAATTCTGATGCCAAACCAAACAAACCCAAAGTAGAACCCCGGAATCTTCCCGGAATTCCTCCGCACATGGTGAAGAAGCACACCCAAGCTTGGTTGACGTTGAAAGGGGAGCAACGCAACAAAAAAAAACAGTTAAGTGGTTGGATTTCAACCACTAAACCACAATAAGATCAAACATGTAAAAAAAAAGCCAGTGTCCCTCTGTGGGAAAGGGTGCCCTCAGATCCCCGCTAAAGGTGACCAACTGCAAGGGACCTCAGATGGACCACGCCCACAAGCTGAGCAGCTCGTCGAACTTCGCCAGCTCGTCGAAGTGCGCCTGGCGAGCCGTGACGTGTGAAGGTGCCATGCGCGTGAACCCCCCCCCTCCCCCCGCCCCCCAGCAAAAAACAACTCCCACCCCCAAACATTAAAAAAAAAAAAAAAAAAAAAAAAAAAAAAAAAAAAAAAAAAAAAAAAAAAAAAAAAAAAAAAAAAAGGCATAGACCCCAAAAAAACAAGAATGTGGCGTCAGCCAACGAAGTTACCAAAAAAAACAACCGCATTTTCCGGCCAAACAAAGCCGCAGCTGCTTTGCATGCCTATCCCTGACCTAACGCAAGAATTTACGCAGATTAAGCAGGAGCAACTGAGCACTATCGCCAAAGTATGCCACAGCATACCAAAAGCCTGCCCCTGGAGAAACGAGCAGCAGCGCTATATGTTATGCAGAACGAGCAGGAACGAATGAATATCAGGCAATTCGACTGCCAAAATGTACAACAGTGTTTTCCGGCAACAAAGCAGCAGCTACACTGCATACCAAGAGCATGTCCCTGAAAAACAGAACGCTAAGTCTTACACAGAACGAGCAGGGACGAATGAGCATCAAACAATTTTACCACCACAAAACACCAGCTGCACCACATACCCTGTTCCTGAAAACACATAACGCTATGTTTGACGCAGAACATTCAAGAACGAATGAGCATCTACCACCAAAATATACACCAGTGTCTTCCAGCAACAAAAGCAGCAGCTACACTGCATGCCAAGTGCATGCCCCTGAAAAAGCTGAACGCTATGTTTCACACAGAACGAGCAGGAACGACTGAGAATCAAGTCAAGCATTTCCACAGCCAAAACACATAACAGGAACTTCCACTAACAAAGCAGCAGCTACACAGCATACCAAAAGCCTGTCCCCAGAATGAACACAACGCTATATTTTACGCAGAAGAAGCTGGGCATGTGAGCATCAGGCAATTCTACCCGCCAAAGTACTGCTACAAAGCATACCAAGGACCTGTCCGAGAAAAGGCACGGCGCCATGTTGTACGAGCAATGGAGCCACAGGTGGTTTTGTCCACGGATGTCTTGCTCATGCAACGGCTGCGCCATGGCGAAGATTGTCTGCGCGGCCCATGTCTCCCTGCTGCGGCAGTGCGCTGGTCAATGCCAAGGCGCGAACATAGGCGGCAAAGTCCGCAGACGTGTCGTGCCTCGCAACCACGGTGCCCGCCAGGTGGAACTTCTCAAGCCAGGGAACGCGCCCTGAAGCAGCGATACTGCCAACATAAAACCAAACGCGAAAGTAGTGTGCGTCATGGTTCAGCCCTTTATCTTACCCGTGCTACGAGAACTTCCCAGCAAGGCTTCAAACACTCCACCGACGGACCCAAACCGCGCAAAAGCCCGGCCTGCGGGGCTTCGCCTACGCCGGACGGTGGGGGTTGGTTTGACAGACCCTGTTTGGGAACGCTCTACTTATCTCGGGGACTTTCCCTTTGGGGTTGGTGTGAAAGGAAAGGAGTGGTGGACACTGGCACCCGGACTTGACAAATAGTTGGCTTCCCGTTTGCTGCGTTTCCACCTGCCCATATGCTGGGCAAATGAAGAAGGAGGAGTAGAAGTATCCATGTCGTCGCGTAGTAAATTGCCAGCGTTCCGAGTAAAGAAGGACACTTTATTTCTGTGCCCAGTGATGCCAGTGTCACGAGCGGACTCCAGAGAAACGTGCTCAGCAAAGGCCATGTGAGACAGGCGCCACTGAGAACCTCGCTCACCAAACACACTTCACCACCCCCCAACCTCTTTTGAGCGCAACAACCAAGAACCGCTTTCGGGGGTCCTTCGTTACCCTCCGTGGGCTGGTGGTTGTTTTTGTGTTCGGGGGCCCTCGGTGTGAAAAAATCCAACCAATCCAAACCACCAAGCTCTCGTCCACAAACTCCTAGGCTGGAAAAGTCGGACCCCAGCGAAGAAACAAATCACTTTTTGGCCTGGTTAGTGGAAAACAAAGGGAACCCCAAAAAAGCAAAAAAAGCAAAAAGGGGAGCTAATTCTGGGGAAGAAACAAATCTGTCAGGCAAGTAGATACGGATGCTTCTGAAGAAAGCTTGAATACTCACTCTCGAACAAAGCAGGCGCCCTACTCTACCAGTAGAGCCGACGAAGACGGTTGGTGGAAGTTTCAGAATATAGGAACTATACATATTATTTCCCTTTCTCGTTCTTCTCTCTCTCTCTCTCTCTCTTGCCCTTTCTCGTTGTTTTATGTCTCTCCCTCTGTGTTACAATATCTTTCTATGTCTCTTCTTGCTCTCCTTCTTTCCTTCTCTCTTTATCTTTCTGCTCTTTCTCTCTGTTTCCTTTCTCTTTCTCTTTCTCTTTCTCCGCTCATTCAATCCTGAACGCCTGTCTGTCGAGCAAACGCTTCGAGTCGATCACATATTTATCTTTCTCTTCCTCTTGCTCTATCTATCTGTCTACCTGCCTATCTATCAATCTATCTGTCTGTCTGCTTATCTAGCTATCTAGCTATCTAAGTTTCTAGCAATCTAGCCACGCTACTCTACACTAATCAGACCTCGTCAAAACCGTCTGTCTACATTCTGTCTATCTATCCCTCTATCTCCCGAGCTACAATCTACCAGTCTACCAAGCAACCATGTAACCTTGCTCTCGATGTCTGTCTATTAATACACACCATGACCTACCTATCTCTGCCCGTCTAATATGTTTATCTATCTGCCCCTGGGCAGACACCACATCGCAAGGTGACAGCACATACGCCATACGCAAGCAGTGCCGATAAGTGCGCTGCAGGAGCCTCTGCAACTTCTCAAGTGCTACTGATCGATCGATTATCTTGATATCTAAGGCATCTATGTGGTGGTGGTTCTAATATCCTTTGTCTCGAAGCGGCCATTCTTCGTGAAACAAGTTACTTTGCGTATGCTGCGTGAAAGCTCCGCGAAAGTTCCGCGAAAGTCCACGCAGAAGCGCAGGCTTCGGTTGCAAGGGGTCTGAGCGCTGCGCTAGTCAGAGCACCAGCGTAGTACTGAAAAGTCGCGACTTCCAGCCGGAGCTGCGGACGTGCGTTTCATGTACTAGCCTGTGCTGAAAAGTTGCGACTTTCAGGCCGTTGCGGAAGTGCATTCCGCATACTACACTGGTACTTAAAAGCTGCGACTTTCTGACTGCTGAGAAGCGCACGTCAGTGAAACCAGGAAAGATTCACGCACACTTGGAGCACAAACCAGCCCAGAAGGGTATCAAACTGTTGCCTCACCCGGCTTACCAGCGCAAAGTCAACAAAGGGTTTAATCAGCTATAGGAGGAAGGCTCAACAGACAAGACGCACTTCTGTCACATGTCACTGATTTACAAGATGCAGTTACGCAAAACTTTTGTGAACAAGAAAGGTATTTTTCGCAACTCCATGGCGAATCTTGCACGGAGGCACTTCTCACTTCAGCCAACACCGATGGTCACCGAGGGTCACCGAAGACTAAACTTCTTGCAAGGACCTTTAGAACTACTCGCATGTACGCATCTGTCTATCCATCTGCCTATCTATCTTTATATCTATCTATCTACCTATCTATCTATCCATCTATCTATCCGCAATCTGTATAGCTATCTTCTGACAGTGTTAAATCTGCGACGAAACCTGATCTATGTTGCCTTCTATGTTGCTTACTTGTCCAATTATCTATCATTATGTTCTTCCTAATCTTTCTATCCATCTATCTCTCTCTATTTTTCTGTCTAGCTATCTTTTCAACTATCTATCTCTCATTCTTCTCTCTCTCTCTCACTCTCGCTCTCGCTCTCGCTTTTTTTCGGTCTTCTCTCCCTTTTTGCCTATGCATCTACCTATCAATCCGATGTCAATCCCTCTACCTACCTATTCTAACCAAGCAAACAAAAGAGCAACACGGCGAGTTCAGCCTGACAATGTAAGAGAGGTCATGACACAAAGCTTAACGAACAGCCAACTGAATGGCAGAGGTTTGACTACATCCTGCTTTTCCTTTGACCCCAAACAAAACCAAAGGGAAACCACTTCCCTGTTTTGCCGAAGCCTTTGGTTGACAAGTTTCAATGCCTCAAGGCACCCTGGTGCCAGTGGAGAAGGCGCAAAGAACAGAATGGCCGGTGGGTTTCCGAGTGGCAATGTTCATAGGGGAACAAAATCGGGAGACCAGAGGGTTCTTTGGCCAGGTCCTCCAGTAGAGAGTTTAGAATAAGGGTACCCCTTTTGTATGTAATCTATTTTACTAGGGGACCCTCCCAACCAACAAAGGGGTGAGAAAGGGCGCTACTGGGGGACCTAGTTGGTATGTGAAGGATTTGGGGGGGGCTCTCCCGGTCCCTTGGCACCTCACCTTACATGCCCATTTGGGCCTGGAAAGAAAAGGTTACCCTATTTGGATTCTGGGCTAAAATTAGACCAACATGCAAAAACAGAAGGTCGAAAGGTCGTCTTTGGAGAAGTGAGTCGAATTTGCGGACTTTGTGTTCGACGTACATCAGCTCTAATCAACCCCAACACCATTATGAAACACTTGAACTTTGTGGGCTATGGTTGACACCACCTTTTAGGACTGAGAAAGCTTACTTTTGCCGGGGAAAGAAAATTCATGTCGGTCCAAAACCCGAAACCCACCCAAAGATTTGCCGCCCCGAAAACCAAAAACTGATCCAGGAATCCAGGCGCCCGGACCAGCCCAGCGCAGGTTCTCCTCGCTCCATGAGCGCTTGCGGAAGCGGAAGCCAGCTTGTTCGACCCCGTGACACAGGGTTCCCCAGGCCCCCAGAAGACTGGCCTTGGTTGACCCAATTTGGATGACAATCCTTAGGGAAATACTGGTGGTTATATGCACCCAACCACAGCTGAAGTTTCAACATAACATCACTCTGTGCCATTTTCCCAGCAGAGTTCAGTGACTTAAACTCTACCCCAAATGCGTTGGGCCAAAAAAAAGCCACGCACAGAAGCTGCTGGCCCATGTTGAGCCTCTAAAATCTCGGCCACGGAACCAGGCAGGCGCCCGCGTCACCCTTTTGGTTCTACTGGTTCTTTTTGTCCTTTTGCTTCTTCATGGTTCATTAAAGGGGCCCCTGCTGCCCCTGGTTTCAACGAAGCACATCAGTCACTGCGCTCCTCCATCGCCAGAAAGTCCACAGCCATGGGCCAAAAGCGCTTCGGCGCGCGAAGCGCGCGTGAGCGTCGCTTGGGGATAGCGGTTGAGAGCCTTGTGGGCAAATTCTGGCTTGGCTTGGCTTGGCTTGGCTTGGTTTGGCTTGGTTTGGTTTGGTTTGGCTTGGTTTGGTTTGGTTTGGTTTGGCTTCATGTTGGAATAACCGCTTTCCAACAATCCTAGGCTTCCCAAAAGCAAAGTCGCTTTCCGATATCTTGCTGTTCCCTGAATGTCAACGGTATTGTGCTGGCTAAGAAGTGCCTTCTGGTTTTGGCTTTGATTGGAAGGCAGACATGAAGGAAGCCTTGGGCAAAAGAGCAAAACGTTTCGCACAGTCTGGCAATTTCCTTCGTCGGTGGGACACGGGTTGAGTATTCTCTGAGTGCATTCTCAAAAACAAACGGACATGCAGAATCCATGCAGGTACGTACCACATCAAGCCCTGCATGAAAGAACCTGAGCTGGTCACCCACTGAACTGGGCATTCAGGTACTTGCTGGGCGTTGCTCCAATCTGTTTATCGCAACTACGCAAATGCCAGGAGCACGAAGGCGCCGGTCACGGGAATTCCCAACTTGGGCGTGCGACCTTACGACCCCCAAGGCCCAACAAAACTTGGCCATCTGGGCAACGCAAAAAAACATTCTCATGCTCTCTGACTCAAGTCTGACTCTGTCCCAGATTTCATCCACCCTAAAATCTAGAACATGTCTGGAGACCTCCAAAACGCTTGCGAAAGGGTTCAGGTACGACAGGGCTGAGTCTCGCCAGGTAGGGGGAGTGCCTTTTGCAGAAGCAATCCGAAGGGCCGGGAAGATGTCCAAAAACACGCAGACTCAGCCCCGATGGATGAAACCCCCCAAGTGCTGTAAAACCACCTGCCCCATTGGTGCGAAGTGGATTTTGCGAATCAACAGTATGGGGACGTGGGGCTAAGGTGACTCACCGAAGTCTTTGTCGTAACGTTACAGCCACAGGATGGAAAAATGGCGGGACCCTTTACAAAAGGATCCAAGGTCCAAGCTTGGGTATCGTATGAAAGGACCCCCCCGAAAATGGAGGGTGTCTTTCAAGTCTTTCTTTAAAACCAGAAAAAGGGTACGCTCACAAGAAGACACATGAATATGTTGTGAAACCCGTAAACGGGCGTGGTTGATTCTGCGAATCGTCTTGGAGTCGCGGGGGGAAGTTGAATTCAGTCCATGTCTCAAACCCTGAATCGACCATAGATGCATCGCCAACCCCTTGGAACCTTCACTCCATCGCAAACCTCCCCCCCCCCCCTGGGTACTTCTTGACGCCGGAACCCATCCCTTGCAAGGAAATCTCACGCTTCACCCCCGTCCCCACGAGCCACCGCCACGCTCCACCCGCGCGACCGCGACATCCCAGCGAGATCCCGGCGACATCCCAGCGACCCCCAACTTCGGCGGGGCCGGCCCAGGCGAATTCGCCCACCACCTTCAGAAAGGCGCCTTTCCCCACCACCGGCCGCACCTTCCACGCGCGGCTCAAAACGAGGGCGGTTTCGAACACCGAGCGGTGCGGAGGTTTTTCTTTGCTTGCGATTTCAACGGCGAATCTATGGAAGGATCCGTTTGCGTTTGGTTTGGGAAAAAGGTAAGGTCTGGGAGCCGGAACCACAAGAGTGGTTGGTAGAGATGAATCGAGACCCAACAGGTCCCCATCAAAAACAAAATCACTCTCAAAAGAGCGGCGGGAGGGATTGAACCCGAAAGCAGTCGTTGCTCTGACTGCTTCGGACAAATTTGAAGGACACTTGCGCGAAATGGCAAACAGGCTGGCGTTTTTGTCTGGCAACAAACATTGGAAAGGACGTAACATAGGTGTGTCTTTTCTGGGACACCGAACTTGCGCCGTGGTTTCCCTGTGGTTTCCCGATAAAAAGCCAGCAGACTTGGGAGCGAATTCATACGAATCGCACCCGAACCTGGCGATCCCTCAATGCCTGCGGTGTTTCTCAAAAAGGGCAGCGTTCCCCTATGGCTGGTGATCTTTGAGTGTCTCTTTAAATACTAGCCAAAAGAGGGTCCGAAATTCATTTTGAGAAGCTCCCACTAATATATATGTTAATTAAAAAAAAGAGTAGTTAAGTGAGGTATTTTGATATGTACGTATGCATGCATGCAAACATGCATGTACGTAGGTACGTACATATGTATGTATGTACGTACGTATGTATGTACGTATGTATGTGTGTGTATGTATGTATGTATGTATGTATGTATGTATGTATGTATGTATGCATGCATGCATGCATGTATGTATGTATGTATGTATGTATGTATGTATGTAGGTATGTGGGTAGGTAGGTATGGACGGATGGATAGATGTATTCTATGTATGTATGTATGTAGGTATGTAGGTAGGTAGGTAGGTAGGTAAGTAGGTAGGTAGGTATGGATGGATGGGTGGATAGATGTAGTCTATCTGTGTATGTAGGTATGTATGCATGCATGTGTGTATGCATGTAGGCATGTAAGTATGCATGTGCGTACGTATGTGTTCAGTTGATATCGTTGTTTGATGTATTCATTTGTGTATTCAATTAGGCATGCACTTCTTGGTTCGTGTATGTATGTATGTATGTATGTATGTATGTATGTATGTATGTATGTATGTATGTATGTATGTATGTATGTATGTATGTATGTATGTATGTGTGTAGGTAGGTAGGTAGGTAGGCATGTATGTATCAATGTATCAATGTATCAATGTATTTCTGTATGTATGTGGGCAATAACTTATTTGATGTGTTTCTCTATTTATTTATATTGGTATTCATGTGTCTATGTGTTTATTCAGTTCTGTATATATTATATTCGTTTATGTAATCATGTGGTGATGTTTTTGTTTGCTTGTTTATCTATGTGTGTATTCATGTATATATGTCTGTATGTATTTAGTTGTCTGTTCATTTATTCATGTATGTGTTTCACTGCGCATGTATCTATTTGTTTTATTATCTATTCATCTATGGATGTGTCTATTTGTTAGTTATCTATTTCCCTACGGATGCATCTATTTGTTGAGCTATCTATCTAGTTGTTGCTTCATGTATCGCTCTATGTATCTGGCTGATGGCTTGCTTATTTGTTGGCGTAGTCATCTATCTATGTATGTGTGTGTGTGTGTCTGTTGTGCTTGTGTTTGTTATTCAGTCATAAGCGTACTTCCTTGTTGTTTAGCGTCTATTCACTTTTCCAGTTATCTATCTATGTGTTAATCCATTGATTGATCTAGTCATCTGTTTAGCTGTCATTTGTGTGCTTATGTAGTTGGTTGGTTGTTTAGTTACATAGATATTTCATGTGTTTGATGTACTCATGTATTGTATGTAATTACTTGTCTATGTATGTACCCTCCCACCCGCTAACATGGCAGTGCACAGACCCCTGTAGAAAGACTACTTTCCTCTTGGAAACGGTCTTTTTGCACTTCCATGTTAGTTGGTGGGAAGGTATCTATCTGTATATATATATATATATGTATTTTCGAGTAGTTGATTGATTTGTTTGTATACCTAGATAGTTCTTTACGTACAGTATGTCTGTATCTGACTTTCTGTGTATTTGCCTGTTTCTTGACTTATTTGTATGGTTACTTAATGTATGTCATTCATTGATCAATGTATCTCTGTTTATTTATGTATTGTCTTATTTGTTTAAGCAGCTTGAGATGCGCAGTCATTTTTCCATTGATTGATCTATCTATCTATCCATCCATCTATCCATCTATCCATCCATCCATCTATCTATTGCTTGTCTGTTGCCTATTGATTTAGAGTATTTGATGTATGTAGTTGCCAACAGAGATTCCAGGCGCCTGGAAGTTGCTCAGTGTTCACTATGGTTTGCAGCAAAGAAGGGCAGACTGAAGGGGGATCGGGTGGGGCGGGGGGGGTGGGGGGGGCATTGGATAGCAAACGTTGCTGGCGCGCAAGATGATGAGTGCGCGCGCACCTGCACACACACACACAGGCATACAGACACACAGGCACACAGACACACAGACACACGGACATGCAAACACACGCCCACACACCAACACTTGGACGCGTCCCTTCAAAAAATGGCACTCAATGCCTCGATGCTGACTGGAAGTTGGTTGAAAACGTTTCTCCGAAGCCAGCTGAAACAAAAGTCTGGCCATGGCGTGTATGGTAAGGTGAACCCACGCTTGCGCCAAAGGTGCTATCAGCGGGTGGTGTGGAGGCCGACGAAGAGCGCCAAGCCGCATGTGCTTTTGCAGAGGTTAGCCGAAGCTTTTGCCAACCAAGACGCACATACCGCCTTGAAATGTTCTGAAAAAGTAGTTTTTGCCGAAGCCTCTTTTGCCAATTTTGCGTGACGCCGGCAATTCCAGTGGGAGTTATGTCAATGCCAGCGAAACGCACCAGGCGCCCAGTGGCGTTGTTCCCATGTAGTTACGTACTGAATTGTTTGTATTGGTTTGTCTTGTTGTTTCTTGTTTTACTCATTTAATTCATGGATTCATTGAGTTTTCTATGTGTCGACTTGTTGCTTGTCGATTTACGACTTTTCCTATTTATGTGTTAAACGGGCTGTGGAAGTGAAGAGTGGGGTACGCTCGTGGTGGGACTCCCTGCAGCTTGCCAACAAGACAGATGTCCGGACATGGTGTCACGGCCGCGAAGGTTGAGCGGCAGCCGCTCGACCCCTCGAAGTGGGTCCGCATTGACACGCCACCCAAAGAAGGTTGACACGCTTCGAAAGGTCGAGCCGGGTCTTTCCAGCAACCTCGACTAAGCAAAGGGTCTTTGGAAGGCTTGGGAAAAGAAGTTTTACGAAGGCATGAAAGACGGAAATGAGATTGCGGGTAGTTTTATACCAAACGTGGTCACAGGCGTAAGCTACTCGAAATGAGCTTGCCTCTGGATACCCGCAAAGCAAACTGAGAACAAGCAAAGTGAAAGGCCAGTCTTTGTTCATGTCATTTCGCTTGGCTTGGGGTGGTGTGGCCCATAGCTTCTGGAGAACCGGCTACGAATCCGTGGGGCGAGAAGGAACGAACAGTGAGCACATGGTGAAGTTATGTACGCCCGGACGTATGCGGATGATGCAAGTTCCTTTGTTTGGGCACGTAACGGGGATTACTAAACTCAAATGAGTCATAAACATAACCCAGTATTAAAATGGGTCTTCATCTACCCGGGATTGTCCCCTACCCGGGCTTTGATTGTGGCTCAAACGAGGGCATCGTGCCAACTACTTTCGCCCGATTGTACTAGGTCGGTTGGGCCTCCAAGTGGGAGCGTCATTTGATACCCCGATCAATCCACACAACAATAGCGCAGACACAGCCACAAAAACCAAACTCCAAGAACCGGCGCAAAAGAGCAAAAGGATTGGTTTCAAGATCCCCCTTGCCACAAGGGGGTGCCGAATTCCACTTGTCTAGTCTTCCCCATAAAAGGGGAACATGGAACCAATTCCAGAAATATCGAAACCCCCCGTCCCCCACTTCCATACTTCAGGAGTGGGATGTTTTTTAGGGGGCTGAAACTGAAAAATCCGCGTCCCCCGCACCCCACGCTTCGGCCGCCTTCTCCTCGGCGTAGAAGCAGTCGCCCAAGCCAAAGGCGCCCGTGGCCTGCGGAGGTCACGGGCTACGGCGCAAAAGGCCTGTGGAGACGCATCAGGTCCTTCAAAATGCGAAAATATGCGAGACATACTGTGGATGGTTGAAATCGAAATAAGTTTCGCACCATCTTGGAAACCGTGGGAAACCATAACGTTTGTTGGTATTTACAGGGGAATCGAATCATTCTAGGGTTTCTGGGGTGGTGCAGGATTTTGTCCATCCACTGCATTTTAGGGTAGATGGAGGATCAGAAAACACAACAACACGGCCATGGTCTTCTTTGACCGGTTCACAAAGCCAGGGCTGCCCTCAAATAAAGACACACCCATACTGTGGTGAAGTTCCCGGTTTTGAGACGCACCCACACCATCTGGCTGCAAACTACCAGGATCCACCAACCACAGAGCTTTTCCGGACCTTGTCCACGCAGTCCCCTACCCCTGTTTTCCCTAAACAAAATTTTCGGGTTGGAAAGGGACAATCAACAAAAACTCCAACCAAAAAGAAAAAGAAAGAAGCTCCGAATCAATGGCGGCAAGGAAAAAAACGCCGGGCCCCAACGCTTTGGAGCACGGGCCACACCCCCCCCCCCCCCCGGCCAGCGGTCGCGCCTTCCCCACCGGCGAGGCGAGCAGCTCCAGGTGCGGCACGCAGACCTTGATGCGAGCGCCCGGAGACGCGGCGTGCGACGTTTCTTGAGGCTTCCAGCGACTTCAAGGCGTACACCATGTAAAACAATATACCCCCTACTCCAAATACCCACTTTGTCTAGGGTATTGTTTTGGAAAACCTGGTTTTTCAAGGTAAATGCCTCCTCCTTTTTTAGCAGAGAGTCAACATGATACCCTGAAAAAAAGTGGGTATTTGGAGCCGTGGGAATATATATATATATATATATTTGTATGGGCAGGACCCCCCCCCGTGCAAGGATACATACATTACATACATACATTACATACATACATTACATACATACATACATACATACATACATACATACATACATACATACATACATACATACATACATACATACATACATACATACATACATACATACATACATACATACATACATACATACATACATACATACATACATACATACATACATACATACATACATACATACATACATTACATACATACATACATACATACATACATACATACATACATACATACATACATACATACATACATACATACATTACATACATACATTACATACATACATACATACATACATACATACATACATACATACATACATACATACATACATACATACATACATACATACATACATACATACATACATACATACATACATACATACATACATACATACATACATACATACATACATACATACATACATACATACATACATACATACATACATACATACATACATACATACATACATACATACATACATACATACATACATACATACATACATACATACATACATACATACATACATACATACATACATACATACATACATACATACATACATACATACATACATACATACATACATACATACATACATACATACATACATACATACATACATACATACATACATACATACATACATACATACATACATACATACATACATACATACATACATACATACATACATACATACATACATACATACATACATACATACATACATACATACATACATACATACATACATACATACATACATACATACATACATACATTACATACATACATACATACATACATACATACATACATACATACATACATACATACATACATACATACATACATACATACATACATACATACATACATACATACATACATACATACATACATACATACATACATACATACATACATACATACATACATACATACATACATACATACATACATACATACATACATACATACATACATACATACATACATACATACATACATACATACATACATACATACATACATACATACATACATACATACATACATACATACATACATACATACATACATACATACATACATACATACATACATACATACATACATACATACATACATACATACATACATACATACATACATACATACATACATACATACATACATACATACATTACATACATACATACATACATACATACATACATACATACATACATACATACATACATACATACATACATACATACATACATACATACATACATACATACATACATACATACATACATACATACATACATACATACATACATACATACATACATACATACATACATACATACATACATACATACATACATACATACATACATACATACATACATTACATACATACATACATACATACATACATACATACATACATACATACATACATACATACATACATACATACATACATACATACATACATACATACATACATACATACATACATACATACATACATACATACATACATACATACATACATACATACATACATACATACATACATACATACATACATACATACATACATACATACATACATACATACATACATACACATACATACATACATACATACATACATACATACATACATACATACATACATACATACATACATACATACATACATACATACATACATACATACATACATACATACATACATACATTACATACATACATACATACATACATACATACATACATACATACATACATACATACATACATACATACATACATACATACATACATACATACATACATACATACATACATACATACATACATACATACATACATACATACATACATACATACATACATACATACATACATACATACATACATACATACATTACATACATTACATACATACATACATACATACATACATACATACATACATACATACATTACATACATACATACATACATACATACATACATACATACATACATACATACATACATACATACATACATACATACATACATACATACATACATACATACATTACATACATACATACATACATACATACATACATACATACATACATACATACATACATACATACATACATACATACATACATACATACATACATACATACATACATACATACATACATACATACATACATACATACATACATACATACATACATACATACATACATACATACATACATACATACATACATACATACATACATACATACATACATACATACATACATACACATTACATTACATTACATTACATTACATTACATTACATTACATTACATTACATTACATTACATTACATTACATTACATTACATTACATTACATTACATTACATTACATTACATTACATTACATTACATTACATTACATTACATTACATTACATTACATTACATTACATTACATTACATTACATTACATTACATTACATTACATTACATTACATTACATTACATACATACATACATACATACATACATACATACATACATACATACATACATTACATTACATACATACATACATACATACATACATACATACATACATACATACATACATACATACATTACATTACATTACATTACATACATACATACATACATACATACATACATACATACATACATACATACATACATACATACATACATACATACATACATACATACATTACATACATACATACATACATACATACATTACATACATACATACATACATACATACATTACATACATACATACATACATACATACATACATACATACATACATACATACATACATACATACATACATACATACATACATACATACATACATACATACATACATACATACATACATACATACATACATACATACATACATACATACATACATACATACATACATACATACATACATACATACATACATACATACATACATACATACATACATACATACATACATACATACATACATACATACACATACATACATACATACATACATACATACATACATACATACATACATACATACATACATACATACATACATACATACATACATACATACATACATACATACATACATACATACATACATACATACATACATACATACATACATACATACATACATACATACATACATACATACATACATACATACATACATACATACATACATACATACATACATACATACATACATACATACATACATACATACATACATACATACATACATACATACATACATACATACATACATACATACATACATACATACATACATACATACATACATACATACATACATACATACATACATACATACATACATACATACATACATACATACATACATACATACATACATACATACATACATACATACATACATACATACATACATACATACATACATACATACATACATACATACATACATACATACATACATACATACATACATACATACATACATACATACATTACATTACATTACATTACATTACATTACATTACATTACATTACATTACATTACATTACATTACATTACATTACATTACATTACATACATGCATACATACATACGAGAGAGGGATATTGGCTTGGGGGGATGGGGAGGATGGGGAGCAGAGGGAGGGAGAAAGGACGACAGAACACACAAGGGAGACAAGGGAGAGAGGAAGAAGGAGAAAAGGGAGAGGACAATGTCGGCGGACTGAGCCGGAGGCTCTAAAGTATTTCCAGTAGTGATCGATTCCTTTGAAAACCAACAGGGGAAAAAAAAACTATTCTTAAACCAATGGAAAGCTTTGCTGCCCCCATTTTTCAGAGCTTGAAACAGGGGCCCCTTCAAAGCCGCCTCTGTCCTTTGATTCCTTGGGTTCCACCCAGAGACGCCGCGAGCACGGTAGGTTGTTACCTTTGAAGTCTCCGACTTGGTTTGTTCTTTCTGTTGTAGCAGGAATGCAGCTCCAGTTCGAGCAACTCGATCGTCGCAAAGGGGCGAAACACCCAAACCACGGGTCTGACACCCAAGCTTTCTCCTGAAAGCCTTGTTCCCACAAGGACCACGGCCAGAGGTTTCACCCCGGCACCTGCTTCTCAGGTTTGTAGCGGTCCTGTACCTAACAAGGGGGGCACCTTGCAGCGGATGCATGTTCCGGCTTCCAAGGATCGAGGTCTGGGGCAATGTGTCAAAATGAGGGACGGCAGCAGATGATGGGCTTCATGTTGGTCAGGCCCCTGTTGAAACAAGCTGTTGGCGAAGAGCCCAAGTGAAAACTCACCATGGTGGCTAGCGGTTTCCATCTTCCATGAGGTTTGCTTAAAACAAAGGAACTTCAGCCAAAGAGGGGGGCCAATTTCTGCCGAGATAGTCATGCGGCTTCTTTGTCCCCGGGCGCTTTCCCTGAAAACAGCGACATTGGCTAGCAAAAAGCCATTGGCAACTCAGGTGGTGTGTTTCTCCGGCGTCCTTGGTTGCTCCAAGAAAAACGGGGCTCCACGCCTCGAACCTCCAGTGCCCCGTCTGTACCTCCACCTCCACCGCACGAACCTCGTTGTGGGAGACAGGAAGGCCCAGCCAGGATCGATCGCGCCAGATGACAAATCACCGAAATCCAACTGGTGCAGGATTCTGATCAGCATCTCAGAAAAAAAGATGGACTGGTTTTTTACGACTCGGTCCAATGAATGTCGGATCTGGGCTTTTGCAAGCGTGGCGTGTCGAACTGTATCTCCTCTTTTCCAGGGCTGTCCTTGGCTTTGCATTGTTCGGAAATAGCATGTTTGATTCGGGAATTTGCTCATTGAAGGAGACGTCAGTGGACCATAGGTCATAATCAAAGCCTGGCACTAAAGATGTCTGACAGAAAACATGCTAAAAATCCAAACGGCTTCTTGCTGCCCTTTTGGTTGGGACAGCATCCCCCAAACCTTCACTTTCCCAACTCGGGGTTCACCAAGTCTTTCCGGATTAAGTGTAAGCTGTCACCAAATCGGCCTGAAACGCGCTTGCGGTCAGTCCGCAAGTTGCTCATTGCAAAACGGCAAATTGAAGCGGTCTCCTTCTCTGTGTGCATGGCCTTCAAAAAGGCATTAAAATGACCTTCCAAGAAAAGAAACTCCTTCAAGTCCAGAAACTGTGTGGGGAAATGCACATCAATCGCAAACAGGTTTCTGCATGACCTTCCTGAAAGTCCAAAAGATGATGGGTCAGTGAGCTAACTGAATGGCAAAACATATACTATATATATATATATAGTTAGTCTAGACAATGATCGTCCCCTGTCGGTTTCTTTCTATTTTGGGGAACTTAAGGATTGCCCTCCCGACTGATCGGAATCAAAAAAAGTTTTTGGAGGGACATGGTGGCAGTTGCTCCGGTGTTCGACTGTGGGCAGACTTGGTGGAAAATGGACGGAAGCCCATTTTCGAGGGCAAGGGTGAACTCGGGAAGAGGCCATGGCTAGCCTTTCTCCAACCATCCTGGAGAGAGCCTAACTGATGCCAATTCCAGCAATCCGTCCAAGTCCTGTCTACATTCCTAAGTCCACCGTCCCGTTCATCAACCATGGTGTTTGGATGGCTCAAGAGGGTGTAGGATTTACTGGCACCATTCTCTCCGAAAAAGAAAGTACCTGCTGAGCCGGCCCAAGGATCGCTTTGTGCAATCGCCTTCCGGTCCTTGGGGGAGATGTCGAAGATCCACTCGCCCTGCGCGCATCGAAACGAGGCCAATTCAGCGTGCGCAAACCCAGACTGTAGATGCCAAAAAAAAAATTAACTCAGACCATTTGGGCGAATTTATAGAATTCACCGCCCGAAAATGCGGAAGCCCTATGAAAGAAACAAATCATCTTCCACGATGCCCGGGGGTCTCGTGAGACGGGCTGGGCGGCCAGCACAGCACTCCGGCACGTGGACCCACACACGGCGGCGCTTAACTGTGTGCCGCAGACAGCCACAGGAGAGCAACCCCCAGCGGGCAGCACTTGTGGACGCCCGCATCACACAATACCTGCTCGGCAAAGGAGGCAGCCTTTGCTCTCCAAAACAGATCAATAAGAATGCAAGACTATGCAACTACAGTCAGGCAAGAGGATCGGCCCACAAGCTGAAACTGCAGAGAAGCAGCAGGAAACTGTCAGCAAAGAACACATAGAGGAAGGAGCGCATTCTGTACTGCCAGCAGTCGGCCACGGGCAGGCGAGCCAACTGAGGCCTTGCGACGCTTAAGGCGGCCCTCACCACATCACACCCATGACGACCCACCATGAAAGCAGACAGCAATCCAATACCATCAGGAATGGCCACCTCCCCCACAACCCTGGCAACGAAAAACTTGGCCCTCCACCCAAGGGAGGCATGCGACGCGCATCTTCCAAAGAAAGGCCTTGCCGTCATGTGGGAATAACGCAGACAAAGATCACCACACACAAAAAAGGAAAAGGGACTGCCGCTGCAACCAGGTAGGTAGACAGAACGCCAAGGTCCATAGCATTCCACACTCAAGCTGAACGATGAGGAACAAGATGAAAGAGTGCACGCCATCGAGTAGAAGTAGTCCCGGATCGAAAGTCGACAATTTGATGGGCCAAGGAAGAAGGACAAAGCCTCCACTCCTGCTCGGCAAAAAAAAAAACATTGCGTCGTCCAGGAAAAGCACGAAGCAGTAGATGCCATGGATGCCATGGCGACAATGAAGCCCATTTTGGGTGCGCAACAAACCCACCCACACACGCTGCCCTTCGGAACCACCACCGCTTTATGGACGCCCGACGGCGCTGACAGAGAGGTCACCGAGCCCTGGCTGGGCGGGCCGGAGATGAATGGCATTTGGGCAGAGACAACTGAAAGAAACCTTCATCTGACTCTGCCGCGAACGTCCTGTCTCCGCCTCAACCCAGGGTCCTACACGTGTCACAAAGCAAAACAGAGAGCTGGGCAAAGCCAGTCGATGTCAAAAAATACTGGCGAGCGAAAGGGCCCAGTCTTGAGCACCGGAGGCCTTGGCCACTTGCTCATGGGTGATATCGCAAACCCCCTAGTGACGTCGTTATAACTTGCCCTGAATCTATGCGTGAATCAAAGCACAGAATACCAGTATCCGGGTTGGGCGTTTCTTCCAGAAGCGAAACCAGCTAAAGGGCAAAGCCGTCCCAGGCCCCTCGTTGAAGCCTGTTGGAGCCGCAAAATGTCCCAATCTACCGGTGAGGGAAAGAAGGACGCCCTTTTGGCTCAGAAACCCACCCAACAAAAGTTGAAGAGTTCAACCAGGGTCGTTTACTAATCCGGGTTCCACAGTAATCGATTTCAAAGGGAACCCCCTCCAAAGAGAAGGCGAGAAGTCTCCTCCAACCTCCTCCCCTTCACAAATCGAGTTTGTCCCCCAAAAAAAATGCGCTTCCCCTCGAAAGGCGACAAAAGGCCATGAATGTTAAGGGGCCCTTTGCTGGACCTCAAATTTAGGTGGTGAGTCATGAATCCACCAATCACCGTTGAGGTGGATGAAAAAATGTCTGGCCAACAAAGACCGGGAACTTCTTTTCTTTTGAGGTGGTTCCCGATGAAACAAAATTCCTGGCCAAAAAAGACCCGGGACTAAATTCCTGGCGTCCCACAACCTTCCCTCCCCAGGCCTCCAGGCAGAGCCATCGCGTCCAGCCGCACCTGGCGGCGTTTTCGAGCGAGCCACGTGGCACCCGTCGTCCAGGACCCAAACGACATGTGGCGGTGGGTCTGGTCAAAGCCGTGTTGGGGTGCCCCATTTTGGTTGGGATTGGGGAATGCACCACCCATTTTGGAACCTATTTTAGTGGGGATTGGGATGTTGGGGGTACGATTTGGCTTTTGACCCATGGCCATGTGAGACAGGGCAGGTTTGTAACAAAGTGATCAACTGGTAAGACATCCCCAAGAGAAAACACGGGACTGAAAGAAATGCAAGCCTTGCAAAGTGGACGTTTCCTTTCGGAAACACATGTGCCATGGACAACACTCCCAAAATGCGGCTGCAACATCAGCCACAAGCAAAAAGATAGTTTGACCACACCAGGAACTCCCAAATTGTGTCTTCCTTTGGGCATCTGAAAATAACCCCCGTCTGCCGCCCCATTTCAGAGACTCCGGGACGTGGGCGTTTGCTTAGGCTTCAAGACACCGGTGGCCGGATGCCGATCTTGGATCAAAGCGACACCGCGAGCGCCCAAAAAACGGAAACCTTTTTGGGGGTGATTCCCAGTGAAATCCCAAACACGCACACAACCGAACATACTCACACACACACACACACACATGTTGCAAAATGAAAAACTGCAAAGGGAACCATGAGGACATCGTGCGTTTAGCCCAAAGATTGCGGATTGGGCGCAAGCTAAGAACACCGCAGGCCTTCCTCGGGAAATCCACTTAAACGTGAGAAGTAGTCACAGGGATTGCCTACTTCATCACAGGCAGGGCTAACCCTATCATGCTCTCTGGTCCACGCGAAAACCTGCGACCAGGTTGAGGGAATCGAGCGAATAGCCACCTCGTCCTGCATTTTAAGGTGTGAATGTCCCCCAACCTCTGCTTACCCCATGATTAAATCCAGCCGCTCAAATGTATGTCACTCGGATTCCTATTCACCTTGATATTTGATCATTTGCTTCAATCATCTTTCCAGCAAGAAAAGAAAGGAGCGAACAAGTCAATCAACTGGCGAAACTGAACACCTATTCAAAGCCGACAAGAATCGGATCGACAGCTACATCACAATATCATTTCGGTTTCTTCGAATCCCATAGACAAAGACTCGTCCAAGAGCTAAAGACCCACGTCAACATCCGTGGTCCAGATCGGAAAAAATGGGGTCTTGAATTGGGGACCCTTTGGTGGACATCAGTTATTTCGGGATTGGGGACCTTTTGGTGGTCTGTCCGCCCAATTTCTTGGGAGTCTCCCTCCATCGAGACTCATAGCTCTGGGATTTGCCTGCTGGTGTCCGATTGAAAAACCCACCCAAGCACACAAGCTCCGCCAAAAAAAAACGACACGCCCAAAACCCGGAAAAACACCTCCACCCGTTTTTTTTTTTTTTTTTTCTCGGCCTCCGGCGCTTCCGCACCCGCAGCACCGCGCCCCCCGGAACCCGCGCGCCGTCCTTGGCGCTGCCTCGCGGGGGCGGAAGCAGCTGCCGCGAGCAGGCTCCAGAGCGTGGGCTCTGGGAAATGATCACCTTCTGATCACCTTCTGGTCTGCCTCACCTTCTGCCCCCAACCAAAACTGATCACGAGTAGATTCTGACAGCCGTATCTAGTGAATTAACCTTAGAATGTGAGCAGGGCCTCTTATGTCATGAAAACAGGTACCCTCTTTCCAACCATCATGGAAGTGCACAAAGGGGTTCCCCAAAAGGAAAATAGTCGTCCGAAGCTCTCCTGTCAACTTCCATGATTGTTGGAGGGAGGGTATTACCTACCCCCGCCCAAACAGTGGTTTCCTGTGGTCCAGCGGAAAAGGTGATGTTCAAATGGCCGAATGTACTCTTTAAGGAGCCCTGGTGAAAATGACTGTGGTGGTCAAAAATCGGGTAACCCCAAAATGAGACGCTTGCCCTGGTAAGTGGAATGGACGATTTAACCTGCGGTCCAATTCCTGGTTTAATTTTGATCCATGCCCAAATGGGGCAAACTAATGGCACATACTATGGATGGTGGCGAAATCTGGGAATCCTGGGAAATGGATGGCAGAAAAGAAAACCCATGGAACATACTGATGGTTGCGAAATCAGAGACCGCATTTGTTTTGTTGGTGTTTATAGGGGGAATCAACAGAAAACAGGGTTTCTTAGTTGGTGCGAAATGGATTTCGCAACCATCCCACACTGGGTGTCATAGGTGTCCAACAATCATTCACAGCGAAACTGCACCCGCCGGGGCAAAAACAAAACAAAGTCCGCCTTTCAGGTTCCACTTGAGTCCAATTTGAATGGGATGAGATCTAAACCAAACTTAGGCTGTTCAATCGGCCAATCCGATTTCCGCCAGTGGCAAAACACAGAATCCACCCCTTGGATACACCAGGATTAGGGATTTGGACCGCCCAGCTTATTCATAAGCTTGATCAAGGCGAGCAGCCGAGACTGAAGTGGACAGTCAATGATCATATGGGGAAAATGTGTTTAGTTGTTTACCCCCTCCCCCTACAGTACCCCCGAAGAAGGTTGCACGTTGATTCATGACTTTGGTGTTTTGAGATATTGCAAGCAATGAAACCTTTCAAACACACTGGAATTAGGCACAAGGGTAGAACTTCGGGCCCTGTCGAAAAACGCGACTCAATACCAAGGTTCGACTCGTGTGGTTGGCCTTTTGAGGTTTGGAGCAATTCTGAGTCAGTAAACACATCGTTGAGTGATGAGGAAGTAAACCGAGCTTGGCGAGGGGGAACCCAATTGATCAAACATGTTGCAAGTAAAGACTTGTTGATTTCTAATGGAGCAACCCGTGTTAGAAGTACCCTTCAAAAACTGTGCGCGGCCCCCCGAATTCTTGGCCAGGGTCGACTTGAGCGGAAACCGCCGCAATATTTTCAGGGATCCTCCATTCCAGCAAACCGACAAAGACCGGAGAATCGGCACCTGATACTGTGGATGGACAAAATCCTGCACCACTTTTGACACCATGGAAACCAATGGTTTTTGGTATTTGCAGGGGGAATCATTGTTCCAGAGTGTCTTAGATGGTGCAGGATTTGGTCCATCCACAGTAGGGCGGACAATTGCGCAGCACCGTGGTACTTTGAGTTCCACTCACATGCTCATAAAGGTCTAGTAGGCTTTGCTATAGACCCAAAGAAAGCGCAAATAGTACTGCGAGGGACGAAATCCTGCACCTAAGAAACCCTGGAACGAGTCAACGAAAGATATGGCTTCCCATGGTTTCAAAGTAGTGCGAACGGATTTCGCAACCATCCACAGTACTGCCTTTGAAAAGTACGCCAATGGTCAATGGGGATGCTTGGGCGATGTGTTGGCCACAACCGAGGGAAAGCAAGATCTCGGGGGAGCAACCTTGAATGTGTCAACATGATATGCTCAACAAGTTAACATGGAGCCCAAAAAGGCACAATTTGTAGAAGAAGCTCCTTTTTGGGGACACCCCCCTTTTCGGGTTCCATGCTGATTTGTAGGGGAGTATCTCTGATTTCGTGGTCAAAAGAAGTAAAACTATGATATGTTTTTCAAGGGACACCAAAAGGACATGCCATTCATGAAACCTGACAGCCCACGGATATCAAACGAGTTGTTGCCCTCGCCAAAAAACCACCAAAGGCCCAATGGGGTACACCAAATAAATCTTTCAGATGCCTCATACTGTGGATGGACGAAATCAGTTCGCACGGCAAAATGAAACCATGGTTGAAACCATAACTTTGGTATTACGTCGGGGAATCGAATCAGAAACCAGTGGGTTTCCGAACAGTGTGAAGAGTGCGAAATGGTTTTCGCAACCATCGTATGGATGTGCGAATTTCCATAGACCCTTTCAGGTCCCAGCCCGATAAAGGTCCCTCCCAACTGTTCTTGGCCCTTTTTGGGGTACATCCAGAGTCTGAAAATTGGCCTGCGTTTTTTTCCCCCCGTTTTCTCCATAGATCCTTTCCTTGGTGCAATAGGGCAGGTCGAATAAGAGATGGAATGAGCGAAGCCATACGCAAGCCTTGTGGTTGGACCACCGCCCACAGCCCGTGGGAGGAACTCCGTGTTTGGTGCTTCTTTTTTTGTGGTGGACGGTTTTTCTGGTTGGGGAGGCTGGGGGGCAGGGAAAAGGCATGAATAAAAAAACGCAAACCCTTGTAGTTTCCTTTCTTCGGGGATCCCAACACGGACATCATTCCCACAACTCTCGCAGGGCCCCGACCGTAGGAGGGCTCCTACCGGAGCCGTTTCGGGGGCTGGGAGTGGCTGTACTTTTGTGCGGTTGCCCGTGCCACCCCCGAAAAAGGGTCTACCCCCTACTCCAAATACCCGTTGTTTTAAGGGTATCATGTCGACCCTCTACTAAAAAAGGAGGCATTTACCCTGAAAAACTGGTTTTCCAACAAATACCCAAGAAAAAGTGGGTATCTGGAGTAGGGCACAGGAATGGAGTGGCTTCCTTTTGAGACTGGAGCATGGGACTTCGTAGTTCGGAAGTTGCCTCAAAACAGAGTCCCATACTGTGGTATGCGATGCTGGCTGATCCCTCATTTGTCATTCACCCAGGTATGGCTTAAGGTCCGAGGTCTGGTGAAGAAAGTTGTTGGAGTTGCAAGGGATCACCTTACCAAAAAAACAGAAAACGGCTTGAACACTGGGATACACACCACCTAGTGCCGAAATTTGTGTGTTTCTTGGAGACCTCAACCGTCGTTGAAGGACTTGTTTAGAGGCTGAGGGGAACCGGCTGTGCAGTCCTTCCTGCTTCGCGCAGTGCCTCCCTGACATACTGTGGATGGTTGCAAAATCTAATTCGCACCACTTTGAAACCACGGGAAACCAGTGTTTGTTGGTATTTGCAGGGGAATCATCCGAAACTCGGGTTTCTTTGGTGGTGCGTTGCATGGATTTCGCAAACCATCCACCGTATGTGTCTGCTTGCTTGGGGGCTCCCCAGCCTGGCAGAGGAACGGTTCTGCGTCTTTTTTGGCAGCAGCTTCTGTGGGGTCGTATCGCTTGAACAACCCAGAGCAAGCTAAATTGCACTGGGTCCGGTGCAGTGATTTTCTTTGAGGACTTCTCAAAACTGTGTCTTGAGCTGTCTTCCTTGAAACGACCATCAGGGGCGAATTGATTTGGACGTGCTCGATCACAGCGGAGCCTGTTCTACGGAGCGCATTGGGGCAGAACAGCTCCTGCTCCAATGGCCCCCGCATCCCGCATTTTCTAGCTCCGAATTCACAAAGGAGGCGTTTTTAGACGACGATTGTCCTGCAAAAATAGGTCCACCCCGTTATTTAGGCAATGACCCCATTTTTAAAAGGTCATGGAGACTCCAGGGACGAATGTAGCCTTCCTTCCATGATTGGAAGCAGGGTAATTCAGCGTGACCCCGAATTCATCAACCTGGTAATTTCGGTTTTCAATCACCCCTGGTGGGATGTGATAGAAAAGGCAAAGTAACGGCTAAAAATGCTACCCCTACTGTGGATGGACGAACTCCTCTACCACTTTGAAACCATGGGAAACCATTGTTTGTTGGTATTTACAGGGGGAATCATCACTCTAGGGTTTATTCGATGGTGCGGGATTTCGTCCATCCGCAGTATGATCACGCAATTTGGGCACCCACCCTATTTTGATTTGCTTTAGGCCCTATGACTTCTCTACACCTTGGCCCTTGGACCTCCCAGCGCGCAGGTACACTAGGAGCCCAGGATTGATCATCCAATGGTTGGGTACCATCTCACCTCTTGGCATGGTAGCATTTTTTGTTTTTTTGCATCCCCCAAGTACAAATGAACAGAACCAAAAACTAAAAAAACTAGAAGCATGCCAAGAACAGTGAAGGTACTCTTGGCGGAGCAAACCTAAAGAGGGAATCTGCTAAGTTGACCTGACTCCCCACCCATTTCTGCCTCGCGCGAACAACACCAGAGCAGCAAACGTTTCAGCAAATGCTTGAAGGGGTCGTCGGAGAAATCCAAGGAAGGTGCCAAAAATGACCAGAACATCAACTCCACCCTCACCCATCTGGCATAAGGATCTTGCTAGTTGATTCCAACAACTCATTGGATTCCATGGCTGACTGTGCGACCGCTTGGATCCCGCCCCCATATCCCGCCATGTGAGCGGCGCCCAACACCCACTTCACTTTGGCCTCTACTAAAGCAGTTATAATTGGTTTATATCGCATTGACTATAACCCCCCCCCCCGCTCCCAATCAAACCAGGTAGTAGAACCACCTCACAAGAAAAACAATGGGTTTGGCCGCTGACACGACTCCCTGCATTCCCCTTAAAACATCACCCCCACCAAAAAAACGCTCACCTTTGGCTCAAGAAGGTGATGTTAACCTCCCAAAAAGGGGCAAGACTCCCAGAGCCCCACTCCCGCTCACTCGGAAAAGAACAAAAAAAGAAGTCCTTGCGGGCGCGGATGCCGGCCGGATCCGTCACCAAATAGTGCCACAGCCCCTCCTCCTGGGACACAAGGGGAGCCACTGGAGCCTAGTGACTAGTTTTGTGGATGGACAAATTCCATTTCGCTGCAAATCCTACCAATCCTGATTTCCCATGGTTTCAAAGTGGTGTAGGATTTTGTCCATCAACCCTTTCCACAATCTGTGTATAGATATCCAGACAACCCTAGTCCACAATAGTAGGCAACCCTGCCCAAATAACCTCTTTGCTTGCTGACCGCTGGCTTTCTGCAGTGGCTCGTTGATCCATCGCTTCCGCTAAACGCCCAAAGTGAAAAAGTCAAAGCGTATGGCTGGAAACCGCCAAAGCACATGCTCATATCTATGCATGGGAGCACTGTCAAACTGTCAAGGACCTTCAAATCAAGGCTAAAGATGTCGCAATGCACCACTGCAGTGCTGAACTCTAGTGGCTACAATCACTTCCTTGACAAGGTCGTGGCCAAAATGTGTGGGTGCATTATTTGTTGGAGTCGGTGTCTGTTTTGGGGCGGTTTCAAGGAAAACCAAGGAAAACCACAATTTGCGAGAAGCCCTTATTTCAAGCCACGAGCATGAGCAATTACCATCTTTGTTCTGCGCCATTCAAAATGCGCGACACTGAAAGCTCATCGAGTGGTTCTGCCCTCCTGCATCTAAATGTATGATTGACCCTCCCACATGGAACCTGACCAGGGTGGAAGACCAGTTTCCTCAAGCGACCCTCTCATGAATTCCATGTTGTTGGATGGGCACTTCCTGAGCTGGGGAGTGGAACCAACCCTCTGAAAAAGTGGCCCCGCAAGCCGGGGGTTGGGTGCTCGATCCGGACACCAGAGAGATGCTGGCGCCCGGAAACCACATGTCAACAAACCCTACGACCCCAGTCGGAACCCTTTGTTGGCGACGGGAAAAACACCAAGACCCTCCTGTTGTGGCGGCTGAAAAACCAAAAAAAAGAATCAACAGATATAATACATGTGTCCATTTTTGGGGGGCCACCCCCCTTGTGTGCTTAGTTTTCGCCCGGACACCAAAATGAAAACCACCCTTGCCCATCTCACGGGGCTCTCGGCCACATCCCGATCCCGCCTCCGCGCCGGACCTGAGAGGTCCCGAAAGACATGGCGGCGCTGTCAGATGGGCGTGGCTCAAAATGAAACGATCGGAGGGGTTAATTTGACAAAATGGGTTAATTTGCAACCCATACCAAAATTAAACAGTCATGGCGGTGGGTGGGAAATGTGTTATGAAAATAGATACCCTCTTTCCAACCATGGAAGTGCACAAAGGGGTTCCCAAGGAAAATCGTCTTCCAAAGCTCTCCTGTCAACTTCCATGATTGTTGGAGGGAGGGTAATTAGCAAACCGCGGGTTAAATCGTCCATGTTTCCACTTACCAGGGCAAGCCATTTTGGATCTCCGGTTTTTTGGAATTCCACAGCCATAGGGGTGTGGGTCAAAATTCGGCGTCCAAAATGGAGAAGTGACGAAAACCTGGGTGTTCTTTGGCGGTGCTGTCATATGTGTGGTTGCGAAATCCATTTCGCACCACCCAAGAAACCCTCGAATGATTCGATTCCCCCGTAAATACCGGCAAACAATGGTTTCAACCATGGTGTCAAAGTGGTGCAGAACTTCGTCCATCCACAGTATGGGTGTGGGTCAAACATCGGCGTCCAAAATTGAAAAAGGACGAAAACCTCAGGGTTTTGTTGGGGCGGTTTAATTTAATTTTGACGCATACCCATATTTAGCCCAATATGAAATAGTTTTGGAGTCCCCAAATTGAGTAGAAAAAGGGCCTAAACTCTAAATGATTAGAATGGGGTTGTGGGGTGAAACCAAATTAATCCATCAGGGGACTTTGGACCCATTGCTAATGTCACCCTCAAAAAAAAATCATGAGAACCCAAACAAGAGGAACCTTTGTGGGTCATTTCCTTGAAGGGAACCTTTGCTGAGCACGGCCCTCCGAAAAAAGAAAAAAAATCCAAAGTTGACATTGCTGGCCCCATTAATCTACTAGCATCAAAGTCACCCCCCAAGTGGTAGGTTAAAGTGAAACCACCCCGGTGTCTGACTTTGACCACCCCAACTGTCAAAACAATGACCCCAGCATGAAGTCTCTCAAGATCTGATTGCGCTTTTACCCAAAGGCCTCCAAAAATTGAACCAAAGGTACCTAGGGAGAATGCTGCTGCCAGGTGTCCTTTGGGCGGCCCAAAATGGGACATCCAAAACCTATGGGCTGCCCTTGGGCACATTCTGCCTAGTAAGGGCGGATACGGGAACCAAAACGGGGAGGCAGCAAAAGGATAAATGAGCGGAATGAAAGCGAAAGGGGGAATGAAAAGAATGGGACCAAGAGGTCATTGTGGGAATCCGTTCAAATTGGGGAAAGCGAACATGAGAAGTTTGCCCTGTGGCGTCCCTTTTCACCAACCCCCAAACAGGGTACCCTCAAAAACACAAACCAGGGCTCCCTCTAGTCTCCCTTAAAACATCACCCCCACCAAGGGACCCTCACCTTTCATGGGCAAGAAAGGTGATGTGAAGAAATACACGTACGCACGCACGCACGCACGCACGCCCGCCAGCACGCACGCACGCACGCACGCACGCACGCTCCGCAGGTTCCGATTCCCCACTGCGCCGACTTCTCTGAGCCAAGCTTCGTCTCGGGCTCGATGCTCGGCAGCCCTGGTCTGCGCCTCAACTTGGGGCGCTTGGTGTTTGTCCCAAATGGACGAAATCCATTTCGCACCATTTATGTTGGTGGCACACACGAAAAAAATGGGGGTGGTTTTGATATGCGAGAATTGGGTCCCGACCGAAACGCCCTCCCCAAAGGTCTCAAAGAGTCGCGCCAAAAGGGGCGACCCATCTGCGCCAGAGTCGATTTGTCAATTTGCTAGGTCCTTTCGCAAATATGAGGTAGGGATGTGTGAACTGATGGTTTCTCCATGAAGTTTATCGGGAAATCTTCAGGGTTTCAACCACCTAGTTACGGAACAACGATGGGCAGGGTTGAGCCAGCTGCTTCAACACGGGGGCCGAATGGACCCTGGCTCAGCAACATCAAGGGAACCACTAGGTCTCTTGAAGGGAGTATGCCCGGGGTCTCTGGAAATCGCTTTTGGGGCTGGCCTTTAAACCACCATGTTGCTCAGGAGATGTCACCTCAGACTTGCGTAGCCTTGCAAGCAAAGGACCTGTAAGTTGCTTGCTGCTTCGAAGGGAATGGGAACCCCCACTGAACCATCCCTCTCGTTTACCGGGACTGTCACTCCCAAACCCCCGCAATACCTGTCAAACCAACTTTCCTGGTGCTCCGGGAAGGAGAAATGGAAGGACCCCCCAGGAAAAAACGGTCCATGTCCTATGGCGTCCTATTGGGATCCCCGAAAAAACGGTTCATTCAACCAACCGCCGGAATCGTGGTCTCCCGTTTCCCCAGCCCGCTGCACCAGAAGAGACAAAAGCCTCCGACCAGGGCCATGGCAGGTGGTCCAGGCCTGACAGGGCCTGAAGCTCAGGCGGGGTTTAGGGCCGGGGTCAAGGATTGTGGAATGATTGGTTTTGAGGGGTATACGGTGAGCGGGTCATAGGGTTATAGAGGTCATAGGGTGGTAGGGGTCATAGGGTTGTAGGGGTTATAGGGGTATAGGGTTACAGAGGTCATGGACAGGGTCGAGGTCATAGGGTCTCAGGGTTTTAGCTGGATCCCGGGCGTTTCGCCACAGTAGCTACTTGGGTGCTCGGCCAAGTAGGATGTTGGTAACCTGGGCTACAAGCGACTTGTACGTCCCCTTGGAGTTAACCCTGTTAATGGATGTTGACCCAGGTGGCCAACCACCAACTTGCTCGAACATGCAAGCGATGCACGGGTAAGTAGAATCTCATCTACCTGTTGGGCTTCAGGAACTACCTCCGGTATTCCTCTAAGACATACCAAAAACTGGGTCCAAACCTCCAAACCTCTCACACGGGAATCGGAAAATTCGCCCAAAAAAAAGAGGTAAGCCTCACCGGGAGGTGACCAGAAAGCCATCCCCACTCACCCCTGGGCTCAAACCGAGCCTTTCAACAGCCCTCCTGGGCTGATGGACTTTGAGCTTTCGGAGGCTCAGGGGGGTCCAAAAAGTTTGTTCCTCTGGGCACTTTTTGTTTTTATTTTTCCTCACTCCCAAGTTTCATGGACCTCCACTCTTCGAGACCGTTTGAGTGGCAAACAAGCAGCTCGGGCCGGGTTTGGCCAAGCCACAATCCTGAAAGAGAGGTTTGGCGGTTGCGCCGCAGAAGGGTAGTTTTTAGTCGGGTCCAAACCTTTGGTTCAGGATGGACGAAATCCTGCACCACCTAAGATACCCTGGAATGATGCTTGCCCTGTAATACCAACAAGCAATGGCTTCCCATGGTTTCAAAGTGGTGCAGGATTTCATCCATCCGCAGTATGATTCCCTTCTTAATCCCTTCAAACTTCGAACGGCGTGACTTATGACCCCCATCAACCATCCTGGCAGTTTCCTTGAGGGGAACCCCTACCCATCCCGGGTGTCACCAGTCATCCGAATTTCCACCAGAGGACACCGCTCAACTGCACCGGGGGCCAACATGGGTTCATTCCGAAGACCCCGGGTGACTCCCTACATGAAACCAGCAGAGCCATAGGGCTGAAGGGCATCCTTGTTAGCCCAGTGTCAACACCTGCCGCGTTGGCCGTCGTTGAATCGACCATCCAAGAAAGGCCTCGGACAACAAGGGGACAGTCAGACCAAAAAGAAGCAACGAAGACGGTCTCATAAGCGGGTTCCAGCCGCACCAAAGGATAATCACGTGTGCAGCATCTAATAGAAGTACCACTGGCAACATAGGTGTCCTTTCCAGAAAATAGATGGCCCTTGTAGATGATTGAACCAGGTAAACCAGGGCCCTCTATTTTTCAAGCAAACCAACCAAAAAGGACACCTATGAATGGCAAGAACGCACTGAACGGATCACGCAGGACGCGCAAACAAGACGGCTCGCTCGAAATGCCCCGCCAGGAGAACACGTGAAAGCCAACGTACCGCCGCTCCCACTGTTCCCACGCCTTCTTGAGCATGGCAACATGGAAGTCGGAAAAATGAGGGCAGAAACAGTCAAAGGCGGCAGCAACGTTGTGATGCTTGCGGTGTTGAAATGGGTGTAGGTCAAATTTAAACCACCAGGGGACCGCAGGTTTTAGTCCTTCTTTCCATTTACCTGGGTTCCAGTTGGGGTGCCAATTTTTGACCCACAACTAAATGAGTTCTTGTGCAAGTTGACATGGAACCCCAAGAAGACGACCATTCTGGAGGAACCTCTTGGTGGGGACCCCCACGGCAAATTCAAAACGTGTAAATCACGGCAGGCTCCTCCGCCAGGGTTCGCTGCAAGCTTTTAGTTGGGGCTTTGATCCGCATAGCCAGACCAAAAGTAGGCTGTGTAAATCACAGTGGCTTAAGCAGTCAGGGGGGCTTTCGCACTCTTGGACCATGTGCCTCACAACAGCTCTTTGAGTCCTCAATGAAATCCGAAGAACCACACCTTTGTGGCGTCCTTTTCGCATGGAAATGGCTTCACATAGGAGGCGTTTGAAAAAAATAGATGGGTTAACCTCTGGTAAATGGAATAGACCCAAACTAAACCACTGCCATCTACGTCTAACAAAACGAGCCAAAAAACCAACACACCTTTGGGGCTAGCTCTGCTGACCCGTGTCGTTCCTCAGCTCCGGCATGTCTCGTTCCAGACAGCCGAGCCTTGAGCCAGCGCGGAGCCCTGGTCAGCAAGGCGTCCTCTCCCAAAAACAAACAGAGAACCTGCACAGAGGTCCCCTCAAAAACATGGTCTTGCAACCCCTGTGCAGGTTCTATCTTTTGCTTTGGGAGGATATATGGGTGTGTCTGTTTGTTTACAGGAGTTCCCGAAAATCGCGAAGTTCCTTTTGGGGTTTCCATTTGAAATCGCAAATGTACCCTCAGGAAAAGACTCACAAGCCAGTGGAACCACAATTAGACTGAGCCACAGTCAATACTTATTGCGTGCCCCAACTGACATGTGGATCTTGCGAGTCGCCTTCCTTCAGATCCAGTGGCCACTGGCAAAGAGCAGCTTGCGAGGTGGTCTGTGCTCGAAGTCCCCTAAGTGTCAGCCCCGCGCTGTCAATCTCCATGCATAAAAGCCATCCTGATGAGCAACAAGAGCATGGGCATTCTTTCTTCGGCCGATTTCAAAGGGGGCCCAGCCCTAAAAGATGAAACCATTCAAACACCACGGAAGGCCGATCAACGTTCAGCCCGAGACCAGGGATTCGCATCTTTCGTTTGTTCATGGGGCAAAGGCGGAAAGAGGCTACTGTGGATGGACAAAATCCTGCACCATGCAAGAATACACTGGAATGATTCGATTCCCCAACGTAAGTACCAACAAACCATGGTTTCAACCATAGTTTCAAAGTGGTGCAGCATTTCGTCCATCCACAGTCCCAAACCTGAGCCCAGAAAAGAGCCGCGGCTCGAAGACCTCTGCGGCAAACTTGGATGAAATGACTGAGGCGCAAGGCCTGGGCACCAGGCACTCTCACTGAACAAATCAACCAGACCTCCATGTTTGAAGCCACGCGGGTGGGCGTTTGGTTGGCCAATCACGGCTCCTCAAGGCATCCCAACCTACAACCCTTCTCGTTCCCGCGCATTGATGCCCTCATTCCGGCACAAATGAAGCCGGCTTGCGCGGAAGGAATCCGCGCGCTCACGCGCTCACGCACACGGGGCGGACAGCGCACGGGTACGGCTGAGGACTATCTATGAGGGCTTTCCAAAGTGTTCTCAAGGTTTTATTCGCCGCTCCAAACCTAGCCTGGGAAAATGCTTACTCACATGCCTGAAATGCAATGGCCTTTCGGCACTGAAAGGAAACAACCCGTTTTTGGGGACTCCCCTTTGAGCAACACACAAAAAACAGAAATCCAACTAGGTCCTCCAGTAGAGACGTTAGAATAAGGGTACCCTTTTTTTCTGTAATCTATTTTGGGAAACCCTCCCCGAAAAAGGGGGTAAGAAAGGGCACGATCCTGGGGGACCTAGCCAAAAGAAAAGAGCCTTCCTTCGCCGCTCGCGTCTCACATCTTCATTGCTACAACCGCTTAGATGCGGTGCTGCACCTTCAAAGTCACTTCGGAGATCGAAGGGCCAACTCGCAGCCTCACCCATGGGCCCCATGAAAAGAGTCTTCGTCAAAACGGGGGCATGCATTCAGCAGTTCAAAGGCGTCTTCGTCAAAACGTGTTTGTTTAATTTATTTTTCCCCGAACCATTATATATATATATATATTTATTTAACAAAGGGAAACACGACGGACATCAGGGTCCTGAATCAGGGCTTTCTTCTTTGAAGCCCCCCCTATATGAAAGCTGCAAAAACAAATCGGTTCAGCTTGCGCGCTGGACCAACCAGGGATTTCCCCAAGCGGTGGAAAGGTTGGCGTCGGGCTGTGAACTGATGGCTGGGACTTGGGTGAGGCCTGCGAAAATCCAAACCAAATCGAAGGCGCTTGCGGATTGGAATCGCAAGTGACGGGGCTGATGAATAATTGACCTGCCCACTTCAAGCAGCAGACCTCTGCTTCTTGTGGAAAAAACATGGTACGTACAATATATAACAAAATCTACATCTGTACCCCCGAAATCCCCGCGATTCCGATTCCGCTTCCGCCGTTCCCTCAGCTCGGTGCCGCTTCCGCGAAGTCCTCCGACGTCAACGGCGCCACCAAGTTCGACTGCGCGCTTGGGCTACGAAGCTCGGCACCGGAGGGGAGCGCGGAGGTGTCCTTGGCGCAAGGCTTTTGACCCATGCCAAGGCACGAAGAAAAATGATCTGATTGAAACATACAAAAATCCTCTTAGACTCTTAGACCAGAAAATATTGGAACTCATTGCTTTAACCCGAGAAAAGATTGGGTTGTTCATGGGGCAGATCCCCAATCCTAGGCAACGTAGATGGACCATTCTTGGGGTAAAAGGCTCCCCCTGTCCTTCGGCCGACAAAATAAGATAATGAACAGAACGAAAGCAACCTATATCGTCTTCATCTCTTATCCCAATTACTTATTAACAGCTGAGACTGGAAAATCCAGCATCCACCATATGAAATCCAAAAGGATATGAGGTTAAAGAGAGAGGAAGAGATATGAGATGAAGTGGACCAAATGTCTTTTTTACAGCATATCATTGTGAATCAGGAATTACCCAACATTAGACCGGCTGGCCACATGTGAATTAGCTTCACCGCTGGACCCAAACCGTTTTTTGGCTCAACACCACCAAAAGCCAAAAAGAACCAGTGTTTGAAATAGACCGGCGGACAGAACTACACTTACGAAGGCAGGAACCCTTGCAGGCATTTGGCATGGCCCCTACTGTGCATGGACAAAATCCTGCACCAGATTGAAACCATGGAAAAACAAATGTTTGTGGTATTTCCGCGGAATCGTCATTCCAGGGTTCTCAGGTGGTGCAGGATTTCGTCCATTCACAGGAGAACAAAGCTACATGACCATAGGTGATGGATGCCCTGGTAGATGATTGAACCACCAGGTAAACCAGGGCCTTCTATTTTTGAAGCAAAACAACCAAAAAGGACACCTATGTACATGACGGGTTGCCCAAACCTACTGCCTTTCATCATCCCCGGCATGGCATCACCAGCATCACCAGCATCACGGGACGGAATGTCCACGTGTGGGATTGGTTTTGGCTTGGCGCCTTTGACGCCAAAATCAAGGTCAAGAGGCAAGAGCTTCTCCCCGCGACCATGCCCCTAAATTGGGTTTTCACGCTTGCGACCCGGTGTTTCATCGCGCCGCGCCCAAAACCTCACTTCCCGAGTGGATGGGCCAAACAAAAGTCCGAACTTCTTATTTGCCACAAGAACGGTCTTCCCAAAACGTATGAAGTCCAGGAACTCAGGAAGTCAGAAACCCAACTTCGACCCACCCACCCCACCCCACAACCCCCCCCCAACCCCCGCCCAACCACACGCGAAGCGCCAAGCCGCCGCCAGGCCAAGCACCAGGCGCCCGTACTCCGCCCGCACTGCGCGCCGCACCTCCCGCGCCACCAGCGGCGCCACGGCCTCGGCGATCGCCGCGTCCGGCGCCGCGGGCGGCCTGGGCGCTCGGGGCGGAGGCGCTGGGGGCGGAGACGTCGGCGACGGGTGGCGATGGCTTGGCTTTTCCAAGGGGCGGAGAAGGAAACCCGGAAAGCAATCTCTAAAAATGCGGCTTTTCCGAACAAGCAAAGAAGGAAACGCAGCCTGGTTTTGCTGAGTCGAGCACAGTCCTCTGGACCCAAAAGTGCCATACCGATGGATCAAGCCTCCAAGCTGGCATTTCTCACAGCTTCCACCGGGCTTTCATGCCTCCGTCCCCACGTCCCCGCGCCTGGCGCCGTCGACTTCCCTGGGCCGCGCCAGCTCTCGGAGCTCCGTCAGCTGCGCTTGGCACAGCTCCAGCGCGGAGTTCTGCAGCACCAGGTCCCGGCAGAGCTGCAGCTCCAGCGCCTCCGAAGGCAGCGGAAGGCAGCGGGGGTTTGTCTCTCCCTCTGGTTGCGCTGCGATAGAACCGGTCTTGGGGATTCCCGAATAAAGGAAACCACCAGTCCAAACTCCAAAGGCAGCGAAATGTCCCTCCGGGTGCGCAATTCCCCTCACTTGCTGAGTGGATCGCCCCAAAAAAAGTCCAAACCTGGATCGCCAGTTGCCATCGCTTTCTTCCATCCACTCTACCCCGAAAACCAGCAACAGTGACTGAAAAAAAACACAACTTGGCTACCTAGGTGGTTGCGCTGCAAGAGATGAACCGGGTTTGGGGATTCCCTGAAAGGAAACCACCAGTTGGATGGTCGTTTCCTCATTCCCTTCTGAGCACCAGCAAGAAACAACTTGGGGGTTCCCTCGTTCCCTTAGTCGTTCCCCCCAGGAGATGGACAAAATATTCAAACCCCTGACATAAGGTATCCTTTGTACACCCCACACCCCAGATCTCAGTGTTGAATTTGGGGGTGAGGGGTAGATGCATATTCAAGGGCTTGAATATTCGTCCATCTACGGTAGCCCTGGGCAAAGAACCACCATTTACCCCTAGTGCCTTCACTGCCTGTAAAAAAAAAAGCGGAAGATGAAACGCACCCTCTGAAATAGGGGTGGTTCAACGAAATGAGTGTGGCTATTGGCCCCCGGGAAAGCCCAAACCTCCTGGGGTTTGCCTTTCCTTAGTTGATTCGCTGGGAGGCCAGTGCCACATGAGCAAGTTGATGAATGTCTACGAGAGCGCCAAATAAGAGCGGTCTCTTTTTTTTGTTCCGCTCTTAGTTAGAACACTTTAAGTACTGGCATTAGCTGCCAGTGTCAAAGCGGGCGTCTATCAACAAGGCCTTCTCAACACCCACCTCAGCTGGGACACCCATCTTAAAAACCAACCAAGCATAACAAAATCCGGGGTTCCCGTGTCTAAACCGGAAGAATGGATGGCTCTGGGAATTACACGAATGCAAAGCTGAAGCAAGCGCCATGGAGTTGAAAAAACGATGGGGCCACGACTAACATAGGGCATGAGCACCAAAAGGTCAGATCCCGTCGATTCGCCCGCTGGCAAGTGGAGCTTGGCCCGCCGATCCGGTCAGATACCTTCTGTCAGGGCTTTGAATACTTCGTTCCATCTACGGTAGACCTGAGGCCAACACTCATCAACCGTCAGCCCTCAGATCCCTGAAACTCCCTCCCCTCTGAATTGGGGGGCCAGCTGTCAAAGGGGACGCCCCTTTTCCGCTTGCACTATTGAGCTGGCATCCACTCTCAAACACGTGATGTGACAAATCAGTTGGCCCTGTGACAAGTCCGCGAACACCCCAAAATGCGCAAAGTTTCGCGCGGGCTAAGCGGGGCCTGGCAACGTCGAACCCAGTTGACCAAAGGGTCTTGCGAAGGTTTGAGTTTGATGCCCTTGGCAGCACCAATTCATCAGGCACGAACGTGCCGGCTGAATTGATTTGTGGCGGATTCTCAAGCAATCCAAACAAAGCAATCCGACTTGGACACTTGGTTTACCCCCGAATCGGCAAGCTTGAAACCCTAAAAATAGGCAGAGATCATCATGCTAAAAAGAGTCGAATGGCCCAAACCTGACTCCAGGGTGGTTGTGGAAAACCAGCAATTCTGTGATTCTACAGTCGGCCATGGCTTGATCACTCGGGAGTTCGGTTCCCTTGGCACAAACGCTGGTCTAATTGAGTTATACCCTTCCAACTCGCATTCCCACAAGGCATCACAGAACGCGGCCTGATGTCCGTTCGCGCCTCCAGCCTCATCTTCAGGTTCACCTCCTCCACACTTCGCCGCGCCAAAGTTTCCGCCACCTGCAAAGAGAATATTTGGCCAACGACAGCTGGGGCTCCCTGACCTGCAAAGGCGGCCGGTTCGCTTCCTTCACGCAGGAGTGGCACCCCCTCCTTCACGCCCCCCTGTTCCTTGCTTGCAATGTTGGCTCCGCTTCCCGCAAAGGGGCAGTTGGTAAGAGCACTTATGCGGACAAATGAGCTGAGCATGATGTTGATGATGCTGAGGATGCCGGAGGCCCATAAATGCTGATGATGCGGGTGGTGCTGTGGATGCTGTGGATGCTGTGGAAGGTGTGGATGCTGTGGCAGGTGTGGATGGGAATGCTGCAATACTCAGGATGCTGCGGATGCTGTGAATGCCGCAGATGGTACAGATGCTACGGATGCTGTGGATGTTATGGATGCTGTGGTTGCTGCAGATGCTGTTGATGCTGCGTATGCTGATGCTGAAGATGCTGTGGATGCTGTCAATGCTGCGGATGCTGTAGATGTTGAAAGCTGTGTGCTGCTGTGAGTGTAGGTGATGCTAGAGATGCCGATGATGCGGCATCCCCGGTGTGTTTGGCACGAGCTTGGCAGGCTGGGCCGACGGATTCTCCATGACTCAACCCACGCCGAAAAACCAGATCCACGACCAGTGAATTTACAAAGGGAGCAAACTTGTCATGTTCACATCCTTCAGGAGGAGGAATCCGCCCGTTCAACTATAGTTCACCTACAGCCCTCCCCTGGCCTAACGCTCTCACTGGAGATGTCTCAACGTTGTAGGAAAGTTTGCTTTCCACCCACCTCCCTGTGGTTCAAGGGAGGGGAGTTCGGCGTTGGCCCGTTCTGCGATTCTGGGGGGTGGTCAAAGTCAGAACTTGGGTCTACCATTTGGGGCCTGACATTTATGGTCAAGATGATCGGCACGGAAATTGGTCCAACCAAATTTTCCACAGCCACGGTTAGGCGTTTTTTTCGTTCCACCCTTCCAAATTCAGATTACAGATCCTCCAGCACTTTCCACGGAGGTAAAAAAAGAAATGGGGGGGGGGTGGGCCCTTCCAATTCGGATTCCGACGGATCCTCCTAAAACCTGGGGGGAGGTTTTGGCCGACTCCGAGCTCCGGATATCTCCGGATGCTCCGGTCCCGACTCCGACTCCGCCTCGGGCGGCGCCGCTTGGCGCTCAAGGCGCTGGTTCAAGAGCTCCACGGAGCCGACCAGGCGGTCCAGGCGCGCCTCGAGGCGCTCCAGCCTCAGAGCAGCTGAGCCACGAGGAAGTGACTCATAAGTCAAAATTAAACCACTAGAAGACCAGATTTTCAGGATTCCCAGCTTTCGCCACTGTGCCATTAGTTTGCCCCATTTGGGCATGGATCAAAATTAAACCACTAGAAAACCGCAAGTTTCGTCCTTATTTCCATTTCCCAGGGCAAGCCATTTTGGGCACACATTTTTGACTCACAGCCAAGTAGCTTTGGGGCCGTGGGTCAAGGGTTTGGGCCGTGGGTCAAAAAAATCGGGTAACCCTCAAAAGGGGTTGCCCTGGGAATGGTTTACCAAGGACTACCTACGGTCCCCCATTTTGAGCCATACTTACGTCATGTATTACTCTAAACTCTCAACGAGCAGCAAAAACAAAAGGTCGAAGGGTCCAATTGGGTGTGTCGCTTTTTGCTTTTTGAGGGTACCCTTTTTTTGTGGTTTTGAAAGGCAAATAAATCCATTTTGGGGGGCCTAAACAAACACAAACAAGTAAAGCTCTTGTCTTGAGGCTTGCTGCCTTTTTTGGGGTTCGGTTAAAGGGGAAAACCAAAACATCAGCTTTGGCCGTCCAGGTTCTTTGAGACACCAAGCAAAGTCCAGGACCTAACTCAGCGAGTTTCTTTTGCAGAGGTGACTATTTTTTGGGAAAAATCGATCAAAAGGACACCTATCAGAGAGCTTGTTTCTTTTCCGAGCAGCTTGTCCGCCAGCTCAGCCACGGGAGACTCGGGAGAGTCCCCATCCTCGCCGGAGCGTCGTGTGCTCCTCTCAAAACGCGCACGCACGCGCAGCGAAAAGGGCAGGGTACAGGGCGTGTCTTTTGGGGTTGGCTTCCCTATTAAAAACCAAGCAAAAGGGGATTCCCAAAAAGAAGACACTGATCTACATTTGCCATGGTCAAAACTCCTGAGGAAGCTCTGTGGGTGTGCACTTTCAACAACCAATTGTCGGCTCCTGTCCCCTTAAACATCACCCACACAAAATGAAATAAGCTACCCATGGGGAAGTAGAAGGACAGCTTTTGAAAACTGATTTCGGATGGCCCAACAGGCGGCACCTGGCAAACCACGACTTTTGAGTCTCCGTCTCACCCGTGGCAAGGGGGCCAGCTACCAAGGATGTCCATTTCTTCCCCTTTAAAAACCCCACACCGAATTTCTGGGCACCCCGGAAAAAGAAAAAAGAAAAGAAGAGAAGAAAACAAGGAACACACCGCAAAAGTGGGTACCCCGAAAAGAAAAAACAAAAAAGGGGGGGGGGGGGGCGGAAACATCTCCACTCTTGGCATGGTAGCAAAAAACTGACTGTTTTTTGCAGACCCCCAGTAAACATGAACAGAACCGGAGAAAAAGAAAAAAAAACATGCCATCCACAGCGAGGAAAAGGTCAGCCGCGCCCAGCCCGGTTCTCATGGCAGCTCCTTCGCACCGGGTTGGCGCTTTGCGGGCTCTTCTGCCAGGACTCCACCAGGCTGGCCTCAAAGGTGGAGACGGTTTTTGGGCGGAGGAGGGGAAAAAAAAACTTTGATTCCCTTAGAGGAAACCACCCGTTAGATGGTTTGTGGGGGGTCATTGCCTCAGTTTTTCTCATTCCCTTAAAGGAAACCACCAGTTTATGGGGGTTGCCTCAGTTTTTCTCCCGTCGCCAAGTTGCGATCGCTCTTGTCAGTCACTGTTGCGATCGGAATTATTGGGGTAAAGTGCATGGAAAATAGCGATCGCAACGGGCGATCCAGCTGGGCTGTCCGTTTACAGATCCCCCACCAAAAGTTCTTAACTTTTAGCGGGCTACATGGAAATCCCCGCTAGACACCAAAAAGCTAAAAGGCTAAGGAACCGGACTGGGAGCCAAGCATAGGCAGTCCGAGACGAGACTCTGCTCAAACAAGTGGGCCGAAGTGCCAGTTCTACACCAGAAAAAGGGAATATAGCTAGGCACGTCTGTGAAGAAAGGGTACGTCTGTGGGTGTTTCAAAGGGAACTCGCCCGGAACCTGCGGGTTGGAAACATCCCGCAGGGAACTGGCGAGCACCAGAACCACTTTAGAGGAAATCAATCATCTGACAGTCACTTCCTGAGTTCATGAACTTTAAACTTTTTGGGAAGACCAGTTTAGTGGTAAATATAAAGTTTGAACTTTTTGTGGGCCATCCACTCAGCAAGACAAGCCCAACTTGCCCCTTTAAACTGGGTACATGCATGCTCAATACGCTTCCAAGGGTACCCACCCTTTTGAGCTTCATTTTGGGTACGGGTCCCTGAAAAAGCGCCATGGTTCCGCAAACGCCAGCCCAACTTGGTTGGGCTTCCTTCTGTTGTCTCACATCACCTAGGGTCATGATATTCGGATCGGTTGCTGGGGGACCAGAGTGGTTTCTCAAAATGGATCCCTTGGCTGTGTTCTTAACCGGAAACCAGTTTCGAAACACCCCACCTGGTTTCCATTTTGAGAAGCACGCAAGTGAGTTGCCCTGCCTACTTGGGGTGATGGTAAAATCGTGAGGCACGTGGGATGACGTTGTTAACAAACATGAAGCAAGTTTGGCCTTCGGTACCCTCTAGTCGCTCCCCGAGCGAGCCGAAGGGTCGATCACTTTTGGTATGGCAAAGCCATCTCTGGAACCAAACCTTTCTGGAACCGCTATAATGGGCCACAACAAGGGGGCTCCCAAGTTCCGTTTGCAAGCAAACCACCACCCACACACACACACACACCCCAAAACCATGGTTTCTCACGGCCTTTTTCGGGCTTCCAACTTACTAGCTCGTTTCCTAACCACCAACAGGAAATGAGTCCACAATCCTGGAAACCCACACACCGGCCAGGCTATGTGTGGGACACCTAACTCCAACAAAGTATTCTTACACCCAGTGGATCTTTGCAAAACCGCCTAGGGTGGATCTTCAAAAACCGGAACCCTCAACACCTCCCTCCGCTTTCTGTCCCCTTCAAGCCGTCCCCGTCCCCCCCCCTTACAGCCGCCGCGTCTGCAAGCCGCGGCGCCACGTGGCCCACCTTGGCCGGGCTCTCCCCCAGGCTGTCGGCGAAGGAGGCGTCCACGGCCACCGTGGGACGCTTCCCCAGGCCCTCGATCACCGGCATCGCAGCGCGCGGATCGGATCGAAGGGCGCGGAGCCAAAGGAGCTGCCGGCCGGCGGCTTTTTGGTGGCGTGTGTGTGTGTGTGTGTGTGTGTGCTTGTGGTTTTTGTTTGGGAGAACCACGGACCATGTTCGGTTTGGGGGATGAACAGAAAAACACGTGGCTTTCATATTGGGCGTTCGATTTGTGTGTTGTTTGCTTGACATTTGGGGATGATGATGGCTGTAGCCTTTTCGACATAATTAGCTTGGGTTTAATTCATTGATGCGTTCTTGTTGTTGTTTTTCAAAATGGCTCTTTCCCCAGCTGAAGGCTATGGGGTCGGTAGGCCCAAATTAGCTTTGGGTGGAGCAACTCCTTGCTCGACGAGAACAGGAACGAGTCCCAGGTAACCGTGCGGGAAGCAGCTTGGCCACCGCGTCCAGTTTCTGCCGCTTCCGGCGGGGCTGTTCCAGATACCACCTGGACTTTTGTCATGGGTTGTTTAGGGACTTTATGATGGCTTTCGTTTTTCCATGGTTGTTTCATGGGCGGGTTTATCATTGGTTCCAGGGCCTTCTTCGGCAAAAGCATGCGCTGTTTTTTTCACTCCTGGATGGACTCTTCATGTGGGATGGGTTGGGCTTTTCAACCATGATCAATAAACAATTGGGGTCGCTTGGGCTTCCAAGGGACAGGAGTGTCATGTCACACCTATTTGTTGAGTCTATTCCTTGCTAATCTTCTCTCATTCGCTTTTGATGTTGATTGTGGCTCAATGTGACTCACCTGCTTTGCCAACGGATTCCAATCCCTGCAAAGACATGATGCACCGCGCCTGCAGTCTCGATGACCCGTTCCAAGAGGGGTTGTGCCCACAATTTTGAGGGGAATGACTCATGACTCATTGCCCCAAACATACGCAGTACATTGCCCATGTTTCAAGGGTTCCAGGGTCACGAAGATTTTCCAGGTAAGTTGTGCTCCTTATGTCCAAGCCTCGGGGCTCCCAACTAGCTCACCTTCGTGGCTTCTTGATCCCTCGCTGATGAACCCCCATAAACTCTAAACTCTAGCCTAATGGTATGGGACCCGAGCACAACTTGCACAACCATGGAGAGCCCAGCAACATATTTCTTTCAAAGGGCCTTTTGGAGTCCATTAAAAAGCGTTTTGTCGAACAAAAGCTGCATTCAGCCAAGCCAAGGTTTAAAGTGGGTCGCCGCCTGTGCACCGAGAAATGCTTGTCCGCTGGCTTCACTGGGAAACTTAGCGAGTCCCTGTCCCTCTGACCCTCAAACTACCCAGACAAAAAATAACCCCAATGTGTTTGGGACGATAACCCACTTCTCTGGGTATTTTGAGGGTCCAGGTACTTTGTTGAGCGAGCTTGCCAAACCGAATCGGGGCCAAAGTTGACCTTCCGACCTCCAAAGCCAAGTCCAAAACGTCGCATGTGTTACGTGCATGCGCGATGCTCAGTGGAGTGCAACCTGGTGGGTGATTCCAATCCATCAAGCCCTCAAGCCCTCAAGCCCTCATGCCCTGAAGCCCTCAAGCCCTCAAGCCATCTCCCAACCGAAGAAGAAAAAGACCCGCCGAAACAACAAAAGGGGGTTGGGGCACTGAAGCCAGTGCTGCATGTTGCTGAAGAGCCTGGCCGGCGGCAGCCTCAAGCAGTGCAGTCTACTGACCCGATCCCAGTGCTGGCGTTTGGTTTCTACCATGGCTAGAAAGGTTCATATTGATGGCCCGTCTTTCTTTGGGAGTACCCCCAGGTTTATAAGGGTGGTTTGTTTTCTTCTTTTTTGGTACCCTTTGGTTTGGGTTTTCTCTTCAAGGGAAACCAAAAGGAAAACCGAAATCCAGTTTGGGACCCCCAAACAAAGCTCGCAGTAAGGCCTCAACCCGAGGAAGTTGAGCAGCTTTTCCATGGTCAAAAATAAACCAGCCAAACATACCTCTCAAAAAGTGAAAGTCACCAATCTAGCCTCCCCAGTTTCTTAGGTTGGCTTTGCTTGCCATCATATCAGCATCAATCGAGATGTATTGGCAACCGAAAATACCCTTCCTCCCGCAAACAGAAGGCACCTGTGCGCCGAAAATCAACTTCCCCTCGGAGGGATACATGATTCTGCAAATGTAAGAAATTAATAGTCCAAAATTTGAAATACGAACTGGAACTAGCAAAGGACCTACATAAGGTTCCGCTCCTTTTCGGCGGCCCTTGATTAGGGGGGTGTTCTTAGTGGGGGTTTCATTACTTTTGGAGGGAACACCCCCATTTTATCCGCCAACCAACAAAACTATGGTTGCTCGTCGTTGGGGAAATTCGTGGGAAAGCTCCGCGTACCAGGGTGTCACACAAAGTAAGTTCACGGAACCCTTCATTGGTGATTTGGTTTCGTGGCTTGGGACGTTGGGCGCGAACTGGGGTTCAAAACCCGAAGCCCATCAATCCAAACTACCAAGCCAGGGGTACCTGATAAGCCTGAAAAAAATGAGACAGCTGGGAAAACACATAGGTGCTGGTAGACCCCAATCAACAAACCAGCGCCTCCAAGTAATCCTTAGAGCAATCTTCTGTTGCGACAGCACACGTTCGCCCGGGCAAAACTGCCTGTTTGACCAAGTGCTAAGTCCTTGAAGGTGAGAGACAAAGGGCCGCTCGCCACTCAATCATTGGTGGGTGTCATTGCCTCCAAATGGTTGGTTGCTACCGGTGTCAAAAGAAGTTACCCCATCTTCGCCTTCGTCCTTCTGCTTCTTTTTCCAAACCCGGACGTGTTCCTTAAAATGTCAAACCAGGGCGTTTTCTTTTAGGGGGAGGGGCCTCTGTTCCAAACAGTGAGGCGAAGTCGCTATCTTAAGCGTCGGTTGCCCTCAGCTTGGTTCAAACCAAAGAGAAAGCCACCATCTTGGTCGTCCGCGCAAATATTTGGATCCCTACCCCTCCTTGTTCAAGGTTTGTCTGGATACGCCGATGTCCGAGTTTGAACCAAGGCGGTAACAGCCCCACCCCATTTATACCCCCGCCGCCACGCCCACACGCACCCCCCCATCCCCATGTTTCTGTGCGCTTGGCTCTCAGCATTCCAATCCTGATGCAATCCGCCTGCCATATTTTGGCCCAAGGCTTGGGCAATGAAAAACTCATAAGTCCAGAAAACGGAGTGGAGTATTTTCTCAACTTCCTACGCGGCAATTTCTTGAAAGGCGCCCAGAGTGTTTTTCTTCATAGACTCCTCAGTTTGTTCCGTTATCGTAGAGGCAACGGTGAGTTTGATTAGCAAATTCGAGATGCGAAGACTGCGAGCATCTTGGATGACACAGCTCCAGACTATACTCAGACATCACCGGAGTATACAACGACGCGTACCAAAGAACGCGAGAACAGCATAACCAAACAATTGCAAGGGGCGAAAAGGGCAAGCGCCGAAGAGGCCGCGCGCAACCCCGCAGGAAACCACAATCAGGCGGCAAGGCCAACATGGCCGATGGCTCCACCACCGATCAATCCTATTGGAGAAGAAAGGCAATCCACAACCTTGGTTCCAACAAATCCAAGGACACAGGAAAAGATCCAGGCAAGGACGACAAAGGTAACGGAAAAGCCAAAACTTTCGCCGTGGATCCACAGATGGCACCATGGCTGGCATTGACATTGGAACAATACTACTCAAGGTCAACATCACAAAAGTGCGAAAGCATGCAACCATACCGCCATCGAACCAGGAATTGGCCTGCCACCTTCCGACGCCGATCTTTCTAGAGGTCTGTTAGCACAAGACAAGGCAGCAACTCAGCCAGCCACGCGAATTCCCAAAAAGACAAGCATGGAAAAACTAGATTCCGCAGAGCCCCACCTACACAAAGGGCCATACCTGTGGGGCCAACTCGCTAACTCGAACTTCGTGACCCATCCATGTCTTACGCCCGCCTTAGTCAGTGCTGTACATTACTTGACTTGAACGTCATGACATCAAAAGGACGTCAAATGGTGCTGGACAAGATTCGTGGGCAACAACCAACCAGACGTTGTTTGGCTTGCACCAGTTTGTGGAACCTAGTCCACAGGAAACTCCACATGAGAAACTGGGTAACCGGACGAGGGGTCCTAGCCATCAAACAAGACAAAGACGGCAACTTCCTTAAGACCAAGACATGATGGGTGCTTAGAGGGTTCAGGACCGACCAACAAACGGACAGCTCAGCAGCTTCAAGAAGCGGACTCAGACTAGCAGCAAACAAAGGATGGAACATGTTCCAAAAAGACGTGAAATGCAAGGCGACCAGAAACGGGTTGTCGGGCAGCGAATCCAGTGGAAACATGATCCACAGCACGAAGATTACATCAATGTTCACCAGAATGTGGCCATCGATGAACTTCAAGAGATTCACGTCGAGAAGCACGTCAAAGATGATGCGCAGCTTAATCCAGCTATGCGCCTTGCATATCGAGCCTGTAGGCCAACTGCCTGAGATTGGCCGGCCAGTCCCGCGCAGCCAAAGCCGCGCCGATCCGCTCGATGCAATTGCCGTTCGTGTTGTCAGGTCCACTGCAGCCCAGCAGAACCTGCAACTGCACCGACTTGCCCAGCTCAGCTTGCTGGGGGTGATGCAAGAGCCATCAATGAAACTGTCAGAACCATGAGAGTATGAGATTCTGGCCGGTAGGACTAGAACAGTTGGTTACCCTGATGCCTCCTGTTGAAACAATTGGCGCAACACCGAGATCTTCATAAAGACTCACCATCTTCCTTTTCGATAATGAAACCCATAAAATCACTGCAACAACTATGCCCACCACAGTGGCCGAGTCGCTTTTATCCGGGGACTTGGTCAAACATATCTGGCGAACTGGCAGATGTTCATATTCGCACCGATGCTAACAATTTGGTTACCACTGCTTCAACCACATCAACCTGAACAAAAGGAAACCATGCACCTTTTTCAGATACTACGTAAAGAAAGCAACAGGTATTCTTCTGCTGTTGACTTACATCCACCTTTCGAATGGTTCATGCGTTTTCACCTGCCTGGCGGAAAACATTTCATTTGAGGTTCAGCGTTATTGGCGCTCACCAAGATGGATCAATATTGAGGGTTGTAAGAAAGATTCATGAACCACTTGGACCAGCATGTCACTTGAAAAACCTTGTTGAGCCATGATTGAAAAAATATTGATTCAATAAATTTGTGTCTGCCTCCGCAGCCATTTAATTTCAAGTGCGCTTGACATCCCCAAGTCGCGTGTTGCTGTCATGCTACAGCGTTTTCGAAGAGTGAGCCTCCACCGGAACCTGACCCGTAAGAAGTCAGAGGAGGACAAGGAGATGCAGCAAAGGAGTCTGATGAAGAGAGTGAACCCAAGCAAGATCCATCAAGCTCACAAAGGTAGATGATTCCGAAGAGGAAGAAGAAGATGTCGAAGAAGATCATGCCGGGCCCCATCCGCGTACGGATGAAATTGAGGACCAACAACCTGACTACGATGCAGATGATTCACATGATCCACCTCCAGAACAAGAAGAAGAAGAAGAACTTGGTCCCAACCAACTTCCGAAAATGCACCCTTTTGCATCATATGCGTGAAGGAGATCACTTGGTTGTACCCCAAGCTTCAACTTCATAAGCGACCATTGCGACAACATCCCGGGGACAATCCAACAACGTTGCACACGCAGATCGTTCCCACAGTATTCAATTACGCTGGAGAAGTCGACATGTCACAGAGGCATCATAATGTGCAGCAACTGGCAAAATTGTTGCAGGCTGCACAATTGAACTCGAATACGTGCAGCCATACTGCAAGGCATGAACTGGAAAAAAACTTGCAAAACTTGCTTGTTGGGACACCCAACAAAGGGGTTGAGAAAATGAGGCGCCTCCTTGTGGCTGATGGTGGCTTGCTCTGGCTCCTCCACCTCTAACATCTCATAAGTAGGCTATTGTCTATCCCACATCTTGCGCCAATCCATGCTACACCGTGCACTCACCACTACTGCACTTTTTGCAGGTTCTTCCCCTGCAGGCTGCAGACAGAGACGATGACAAAATATTTGGCTTTGGTAGTAAAAGTATTTACTCAAGACAGCGCTCTGCCTGGTAGATCCCGTAGGCTGACCAAGACCAGCGCTGCCAGTGCTGTAGGCACCAGTCCATCGCCCTCTGCTGCATCAAGCGCTAAGCGCTGTGGCGGCACGCAGCGCGCAACCCCTGCAACCGAACGTGATAAACTCCCTGCGTTCAAGACTGCCCTTTCCTCCTGGTTGCCGATCTTGTTCTTTTTAAGGGGCCTGGTTAAAGGCAGCCAAATGACATAAACAAACAGTTTAAATTGGAACCATTGCCAATATACTCCTGTCATAGTCTTAAGGGTTGCTTTTCCAGGCGAAGTATCAAATGCTGAAAACAGCAACATTCTAAAGCGTAACAAGTCGCTTTTTTACAAGTTCATGAAGGGTGCCCCCGCTTCACGGCCAGCATCGCCAAATCTTCTAAATTACCCTCATGAGTCTTTTCACAATCAGATCCTCCGCCGCCTTCTTGAAAAGCCATATCTGCAAGCAACAGGAAGGCATGCGCCAAACACTTTTTGAAAGCGCTGGTAACTGAGTTTGGTGCTTTCACAGCCTAGTGAGCCATTGACCGCTTCATGCAGCAACAACCTGCACGAAACGAAGATGTCTACACAGACCGGTGGCTCTGGATTTTGTTGAGCAGAGGAATGATTAACCCCAGACCCTCCCTGTGGATGACTTTCAGGCACGTGAAGAACATTTTCCCATCAGGCTCGTTGAAGAACTGGAAGGACTGCCGCATTGAGTTCAGTCTTGGCTGTCTGCAAAATGAGAACAAACAGTTTGAAAAGGAGTGACCAAGCCGTATTGAAATAAGTACCAACTACTTCAGCAAGATTCGACTGACAAGGGAGCTCGCATGCGTACACCAAGCAGAAGCAGTGGAAGCAGGAGTCAAACGCCCTGCGCCCCTTCATGTCCATGAACAGCCTTACAGCAACATGTTTTCGCCCCAACGAGGTTCTCTCACGGCTTGAGGCTGAGGATGAGGAACTTGAGAGCCGCCACGCTGTGCTCCCAACAAGACAAAAGCGCTGCCGTCAGGGTCGGGTTTGGGCAAAGCATCTTTTTGTTGGCAACAGATAATTTCTTCAGAATCCCAAATGAATGCATGCTGATGTTCCAACAATTTGACACAGTGCGATCCTGGCAGCCAAGCAAAGCTTGCATGGCCAAACGCAAACAACTTGAATGAGAGTCAGATGGCGGCATTCGACTGGACACCCGACCGAATCGAGAAAGGGTACCTCTGTTCAGCGTGCGGTCTCGCCACGGTCTCGCCACGGTTTCCCAATGTCACGGCCGCGCAGACTGTTTAGGAGGTGCAAATCGCGTGGCGTGGCAGGCGCAGCACTTTGGCCGCCTGATGCAGATTTCGTGGCAGGGGCAGCATTTTGTAACCACGCCAGGTCAAGTCACGGGTGAGAAATAGATAAATAGATAGATAGATAGATAGATCAAATGGGGAGAGAAAGGGAAAGAGAGAGAGAGAGACAGACACAGAGACAGAGACAGAGACAGAGACAGAGACAGAGACAGAGACAGAGACGGAGGTGGAAATCGCGTGGCAGGCGCAGCACTTTGGCTGCCTGATGCAGATTTCGTGGCAGGCGCAGCATTTTGTTCCCACGCAAGGTCAAGTACAGATTTCGTGGCAGGCGCAGCACTTTCGCAAGGTGAAGTGCAGGCTTCGTGGCAGGCGCAGCATTTTCGCAAGCTCAGGTGTTAGATTGACAGATAGATGAGTCGAGTACAGATTTGGCGAAGGGCGCAGCATTTTCACAAGGTCGAGTACAGGTTTCGTGGCAGGCGCAGCATTTTCGCCAGGTCCGGTGACAGGGTGGGGTGTGGGGTTGGGTGGGTGGGTGGGGTTGCATCTACTCCAATGCAAAATCCAAGCTGTATGTGGAAGAGGTTGTGGCATTGCACTCGTGGTGTTAAACGCCAATGTGAGGATCGGTTCTTGTGTGTACTCTTTGCTTCCGGCGTCCAAATAGAGTATTCTGCCGTTATGAAAGGGCTCGATGGATTGGATATTCTTAATCTTCTGGGGCAATTCCCAGACAGGATCATTTTCATGGTACTTCTTATCCTCGCGGGTGTGTTTTGCAGGAATCGGAACTCCTGCTCTGGTTCTGTCCAGTGGGACATCACCCAGGCCAAGGGTAAGGTCCGCTCTGGCTGTCTTGTCTCCTCTCACGAAACATCCGATTCCTTGGCAAAAAAGGCGGCATAGCCGGCCTGAATGAAGAAGTGCTAAACAGTGGGATGTGTAAATCCAGCTGAAGTAAAACGAAAGATAGCTAGATGGATAGTTAGATAGATTGGTATAGAAATACATGGGTAGAGAAATTGCTAAATAGAATCATAAAGAGAGATGGATAGATAGACAAATATATTAAACGATGGAAAGTCAGTTGCCTCTATAGATAGCAAGCTAAACAAATACACAGACAGATAAACATATCTTTAGATGGACAAAGATTTACAGACAGACAAATAGTAAAGGATGGATAGACAGCCAGCCGGCCAGATGGATAGAAATCTAGCTAGCTAGCTGGGAGGATAGATAGCCAGAAAGAGAGACAGATAGAGAAAGTTGAGACAGAGAGAAAGAAAGAAAAAGAAAGTTAGACAGAAAGCTAGATGGACAGCTAGGTAAGTAGATAGACAAACAGAGAGACCCCACCCCACACCCACCTCTCCTTACACCCACCTTACACCCACCACACGCCCACCCCCCCACCCACCACACACCCACCCCACCTTACACCCACCCCACACCCACCCCACCTTACACCCACCCCACACCCACCCCACCTTACACCCACCCCACACCCACCCCACCTTACACCCACCCCACACCCACCCCACCTTGCACCCACCCCACCCCCACCCCACCTTACACCCACCCCACCTTACACCCACCCCACACCCACCACACACCCACCCCACACCCACCCCACCTTGCACCCACCCCACACCCACCCCACCTTACACCCACCCCACCTTACACCCACCCCACCTTACACCCACCCCACCCCACACCCACCCCACCTTGCACCCACCCCACACCCACCCCTTACACCCACCCCACACCCACCCCACACCCACCCCACCTTGCACCCACCCCACCTTGCACCCACCCCACACCCACCCCACCTTACACCCACCCCACACCCCACCCCCACCCCCACCCCACCTTACACCCACCACACACCCACCCCACCTTACACCCACCACACCCCACCCACCCCACACCCACCCCACCTTACACCCACCACACCCCACCCACCACACACCCCACCCACCCAATTTGGTGGGGTCCAATTGACACAAACCATCCAACCCCCAGCTTCACACGACTCAGCCGCCGGCGGCCCCGTCGGAACCTCCACAGGCCTCGGCCCGAGTTTTGGGTAAAAGAAGACCAAGCATCGCAAGGTGTCGCACATCCCTCTCTCATCAAAGTACAACTCGGAGCTACTGTGGATGGACGAAATCAATTTCGCACCACTTGGAAGCCGTGGCAGACCATTGTTCATTGGCATTTACAGGGGAATCATCATTCCAGGGTTTCTTGGGTGGTGCAGGATTTCGTCCATCCACAGTATGGCTGTGGGTCAAAACCCTGTACAGCTGGTGAACATCAAAATAGGGGGGTTGAAAGGGGAAGCAAGGTTCCTTCACAGAACGTTTGTTGAACCCCGCTTTGGTAGAACCTCCCTCTGGTAGAAGGAAATGTGTCAAAAAGGGCTGTTGCAAGTCAGGCGAGTCGAGCTTTTCTGTTGTTTCTTGGCAACGCATCCCCCCTCGTGTCTTCTACGGGGAGCCCCGAGAAGAAAACAAAAAGATATCCTCAACACCAGGCGACAGGGGCCAAAGGGCTTTCTTTGGCTTGCATCAGGCCAATAAATTTCAGGGTGAGGGTTCTGCTTCAAAAAGTCTTAACCTGGCAGGTTTTCGGGGCCGGAGTGGTCTTTCATGCAGTTTGATTGGGGCATGTCTGAAGAGAGCTTCGTTCTATGATGGCCTAAACACTTAGAGTGGGGCTGTTGGGTACCAAACCAGACTGCCTCATGATCACAGGACGAAAACTACAGTGTAATTGCCTCACTTCCTGAGTGGATGGCCCAAAAAAAAGTCCAAACTTTTGGTTTGCCACTACAATGGTCTTCCCAAAAAGTTTAAAGTCCAAGAACTCAGGAAGTGAGTAATCGTCCAGACTCTCGTGTTGACCATGGCCCGTCTGACCAGGCCAGCCCCGGTCGCCCCGGTCGCTGAGCAGCCCCGGCGCCGGCGCCGGCGTGGGCTTGGCAGACACCACAGCGGAGGGCGAAAGGAAGATCTGTGCGCCAAGGCGAACCCCAAAAGGGCGGGTAGTTTCCCAAAAGGAGATTCGGCTAAGAACGGTATAACCACAGTGGGACAACAAACAGTGGAATTGCGGGGAAGCACTGGAAGGATTTCTAAGAGAGGTCCATTTCTTAACAGGAGACTCTTTTAATCTGGATGATTCCTTGGGGTTCCATGTTAAAATGACCAAAGTGCAATAGGGTGCCCTGAGCACAGCAAGCAAGCAAGCAAGCAAGCAAGGTTTTTGGGACGGATCGGACATGAGCAGGGGTTATTTATGTTCACTGGTGAGGAAAACGAGCCAGCGGGAGGTTTCCACGCACCAGCCAGTGTATTTGCTGGTTTGTTGGTTAGCCGTTAGTCATTTGGCTTGATTGATCTCAACAACTGTCGCGCCATTTGGCAAACGCGCCATTTCTCGCGCTCCCGCCTTCGAATCCTTTTGCTCCTGGTAGTAGAGTAGGACGTCGGTCCTGCGGATGTGAAGCAAAACTGGAGCCCCGAAGGGTTGAAAGGCTCAAAGGGATCCCCAAGTGGGGCGTCTTATTTTAAGCAGTACACCGCACGTGCTTCGCCGGTTGCCCCAAAGAAACCACTCCAGGGGCATCAAAACACACGTACACTGGGATGCGTTTTGGGCAGATCCGCAGATCAAAGGAGCTAACGGGGGGGGGGGGTAGTGTCTCTCCATCTAGCTGTGTGCGTTTTTCCCATCTAGCTGTGTGTTTTTCCCTTCAAGCCCGCATGGTGGCATGCAAACTCCCAACCGCACTGTCATTTCCAACGCAGACTCTGACTGCTCTTTTTTTCTCTCAGGAGCTATCCCAAAACCACAAGCAAACCAGCATAAGATGCAGCAGAAAAGAAACAATGTTCAGCCCGAACATCTTGCGTCATATGGGTGTGAATTTAATTGGGTGAACATCATTTAGGTGGGATTTATGTCCACCAAGCATTTGGGATGTCACTTCCCATGAAGTTTCACAGGCATATCTTACGAACAAACTCGGACACAAGCCTCGTTCCATGCACTGCCATATCTTAAGAATAACCCTAGTTGTTTTTTTGTGATTCTATAATTGCGGCCCTGAATAAATGTTTTGCAAGCGAGGACTATGGCAGGGATTCGCTCTCGCACCAGACTGCGGCCAACCATCTGTTTAAACGCGCAAGCTCAAGCTCGCAAAGCGGGTTTCACATTGAAGGGCCGATTTGTTTTAGCTTGTGTTGAAACTACGTTCACAGCCTCATAGACAATGCTGAAGCGAAGTGGATGCGGTTCTGCCGAACCACACAGGGGCTGACATGTCTCTAAAGTCACGTCAGCCCCCCAAAAACGGCAGACAGCAACAAAGTAAGTATTGCGGTCTCGATCTGGTCGTGCGCCAGACATCCTCCCCAGGTGTGTGTGGTCATTTCCAGCTGCAAGCCTCTCCTTCGACCCGGAGAAAAAACCCTTGAAGGTCCAAAAGCATACTTATGTATTTGCTGGTTTGTTGGTTCGCCCTTAGTAAATTTGGCTTGATTGATCTCAACAACTGTCGCGCCATTTGGCAAACCCTTGAATGTCCAAAAAACCCGATGGTCCTTCCAATCCAAGCTCACACGCGCCTGCTCCGGCCCCCCTCCAGAGGATTGTTCTGGTCTAAGATCCCTATGGAGTCCATGCCCATCCCTGTGAGTCCCAAGTGAAGGGGTCGTACTGTGTTCGATGGATCGATTGGAAGCCGTTTTCGGCGCTGAGGCGTGAACAAGACAGCTGGGGCAATAAGAACTGCAGACTACGCAGACCCCAATACCCAGGAGCATTCGATAATGTGAATGTGCGATGGGGAAAAAAACTGAGTACTTCAGGAGGGGGGTACCATATATATATATATACACATATGTAGATAGATAGACATACATATATATATATATATATACAGCACATGTCTACACTATAGGTGGATGAGATTAGACTAAACTAGAATTGATTTACAGTCAATGACCAATGCTAATGAACATTTCTCAAACGGGCCAACCAAGTGGGTAGCTATATGGGTATGTGTCAAAGTAGAGGGACCCCAAAGCTACTGATGCTCCTATTGAGGGATATCTTCCAAAAACACACACCCATACATATATATATATATATATATGTAGATATGTGTGTGGTGCCAATCTATCCCGGTGCCCAAGTGTCCTCATAGACTTTGGCAGCTTCACCTAACAGGAGCAGTGGCACGCACACGGCGAGCCAGCCCCTTTGCGAGCCTCCGCCCCCATCAGGCACTGGGCCTAAAAAGGTAAGGTAAACATGGGGAAATGGGGCTGTCTCCAACAAAAAAACAAAAATATGTTTGGCTTCCCTTGAGTTCCACTTTGGCTCCAAAGCGGCCGTTCATTAGGCCAAGTAGGCCAAGGGGGCTGAATAAGGCCAAACCCCATCTGCAGGGTCCGGGTGGGCGTTGGCACCAGATTCCGTTGAGATGGTTCTGCATCAATCTTCCATGACCATAAACCGTGGATTGCTCGCGACCATGGCTTCCAACCGTGTGATTTAAGGAGTTATGGGGGAGTCTTGCCGGCGGGCCTAAGGAATTGGGGGTGTGTCTTTGTTGAGAGTTTCTAAGGGAAACCAAAGGAAAGCCACAATTTTGGGGTTCCCCTATTTTGACCGCCCAAGTGCTGTAAAACTCAAGCAAATGACCTTCATCATGGGGGGTCGCTCATTTTATTCCCAAATGACCTCGCCGTAAATCAGGGAAGGAGTATGCGATTGGACAAAAAATATCTGGCTGCCCAGTCTCCGTCCTAAAGTGTTGGGTTGTCTCTGGAGATATGGAACCTTGTCCCAAAACTTGGCTTCCTGAGTCAGGCTCTACGAGGAGGAGGCAAGGGCGCACCCATGCGTCAAGACACCCGACCGGTAGCTAAAGGCAGCGAACCACCTCGTCGCCAATGTGCACAATTACACCCAGGGCGTCAATCAAAAACTCATTGAATTCAAGATTCTGCTTCTCCGTCTCGGCCGTCAGGCTCTGTACAACCAGCGGCCGCGTTGCCTGTCTTCGACGACTGACCGGATCGCGGAGGACTGTTCTTGGGCCATTTCGCAGTCACCGCATCCATGATCCATTGGCGGGCTTTTCCGGACAGTGGGAACGCGACCCGACTCTTTTTAGGAATCCCAAAGAAAACAGTAAATGATGGGCCTTCGCTTGTTTCCCAAAAAATGGGAATGGCATGCCCGCGACCAAGCTGGCTCTGAATCATGTGGGTGTTTTCTCAAAGCAAAAAATAGGGGCGCTCCCCTTGGCGTCCTTTGGCTTACCTTCCAAATGGAGAACTCAGAAGAAAAACAAGCCGCCACCAACATTTGAGCATAGGGGACCGTTTTTGGGTGTGTCTTTTTGTGAGGCTACCCTTTTTTTAGTAGGTTTTGCCTAAACAATCAAAAGTACCACCACCTTTACTGGGGGTATTTTGCTCCAAATCCTGAAACAAATCACGAGCCACCCACTTGATCTTGAGCCCCAGGCCGCGGGGTTCGTCTTCGCGGACTCTCGCTGCTGAAACTCCTTCTCCAAATCCTCGCGGAGAAAAGACGCGGAGCCGGTGCACGTTTTTGAGGCCCCGTTCTCTTGGCGGGCAAACCAAAAGGAACCTCTTGTTTTTTTGTTCTTTTTTTGGTGTTTTTTTTGCTTTTCTTTTCTTTTCTCTTTTTTTTCGAGGGTACCTTTTTTATCGAATCTTCTCGTTTTGGTACGGGTGCTCCCCAAGGAACCTTTCTTCATTGTACCCTTTTTGCCCTTTTCTCGATTTTTGTTTCCCCGTTTTGATACGGGTCTGTCTTTTTCGAGCACACAACAAACATTGACCGTGGCATTCCAAGTCCTGGTTCTCCTAGTTGTGGCTCATTTTTAACCAAGGCACTCTCCAACTAACCAAGGCGCCATATGGCCAGGGACCCAGGGAAAATCAAATTACGACTGTCTTGGGTATGGTTTGACTTGCCAAACATCGGGGCGCTAACATCCGTATCCTCTGTGGTTCAAAGGGAACCCATTTCCGGGGTCCAAATCCAAATCTTTGGACACCAAAATGCAAAACGGAAAAAATCCCCGCGCCAAGCCTGTGAGAAGTTAGCACGCGCCTGCATACGGAAAGGCTTTTTCTCCCTTTCTGTGCAGAGATGGTGCTAAAAACCTGTGTGCAGGTTAAGTGAACAAGCCCTCGTGTTTCCGATAGGTCCCTCCGGGGTGATCGGTCACACCAAACATCACCTGCGAATTTGGGTCGGTCACACCAAATCTCAGCCATAGCGAGTTGTCCTCAGATGGTCTGGAGAGTTCGCTAAGTTGTTGGTTGCCCTGGTGACACATGGAAAGGGTTATAACTACCATACCAACCACTGAAGCCCTGGACCATCTAAGGGGTCAAAGGAGCACCCAGCTTACCCTAGGAGCACCCAGCTTACCCTGGAGGCCTGCTTCATTCAGGTGAATAGTATTTGGTGAGCAGTGAGATGGGATTTTTGTTGAGATGTTTCGAGTGAGGAATCAACTTAACAGAAAGGAAAATCCCAAGATGGGATTACGGTCCCAGAATCCCAAGATTGGGCTCCTCCCACATCCCTCGCACCAAGATCCAGCCCTCTGTCTACCCAAAAAAAACACCAAATGGGTGTGGGTCCAAATTCAACCACCAGAGGACGGGGATCCCCACATTATACGCCTTGTAAATGGAGGCGTCCGTTTATTTCGGTGTTGAAAAAGGCCACATGTTTCAAATGGTTGCAAACTGCATCTTTTTAAGGAGCCCTGGAGCCCTAAAAAGAAAAGAAAAAAAATGGATGTGGGGATCCAAGTTCCACCACCAGAGGCCCATTTTTTCCTTTCTAGCATCAACCCCAACGTTGGGGAAACCCCCCCGCTTCAAGCCACGGCCGCGACGCGAGCGGCCGAAGCTCAGGCCTCGGGGATCTGGACGGTGACCGGCTGCGAGGAGGACTCGGACGGAACATCCCAAGACGAGCCAGGCCCTCCAGAGGGAAACAACCTGACTGGCGCACCCCCCGAAAGTAAATATATGTTTATTTATTTGTTTTTTGTTTTTTGTTAAAAAAGGGGGAGGAAAAAAACATGGAGGACTTTTTTTCTGAGGAAAAAAATCTCGTCCCCCCCCCCCCCCACAAACACACACATGGATCCTTCTTAGAGGTTCTGATCACAGGATGCTAACCCCGTCGACCGCCAATGCAGAAGCGAAGCTGGCCCAGCGTGTCGAGTTCCAACACCAAACGGCCTTCTTCCCCAACGTGTGCGTGTCTCTTCAAGTGTGGAACCCACACCCAAAACTTGGTTGACGTTGGAAGGGGAGCAAAAATTTTAAACTTTAGCAGTTAAGTGGGGATTTTCCGCTAAACCACAATAGGCAAAAATGTAAACCCTCAGATCCCCCGCTAAAAGTGACTAACTATTGGCGGGTTACATGGAAAGTACCACTAGACACCAAAAGGCTACAAAGCTAAGGAACCGGATGGCTGGGAGCCACCAAGCACTGTATACGGGTGGAACTGAACCGAGGTGAAAGCGTCTGTAGCTGGCCAACTGGAATGAGTTGCGACCTTGCAAGCGCTCCATCACCTATGTAGCTGTGGGTCAATAATAGGTACCCAAAATGTAACCCTGATAAGTAAATGGAAACATGGACGATTTAACCTGCGGTCCAATTCCTGGTGGTTTAATATTGACCCACACCCATGTTCTTTTGGGTTTTTGACCCCGCGACAGCTGCACCCACCGTTTTCCAGCCTTTTCCGAAAACGTTTCCGTGAAAGACCTTCTCTCGCAAGGGCCTTCAAGGCCACCCTGGACGAGCGACACTTTTTGGGGACCAGAGGTATCCCACGCTTGGCTCAGTCTCCTTGTTCAAAGGGTTGCGCTACAGAAACTTCTACTGGAAAACATCTGATTTAGGGTGTTTGGGGGGCCATTTCCTGTAGATGTTCCTGTAACCAAACCCTTTGACCTTTGCCTGCATATGCCCTTGTGTCTTACAAGTAGAAGGAAGAGCAACCCCCATTGATGTACCATGACTTTGTGGTCGAATGTGGTTGGTTTGTCGCAATACGGCAGGGCGGCTGGGTGTTTATCTCAGCTTTCCCCCAACTGAAAATGATAGTTCTAGATCCACATTTCGTAGACCTCAAAAAGTATAGGGGTGTCAAAAACGGTCCCGGGAGACTCTGCAGGATTCCCAACAAAAAGGCAGAAAAGATCCTCTACATGTAAATCTCGCCCCATACCATAAACCATCATCAAAATAACCCCCTACAAAGAAAATGCATTAAATATCGCCCCCTGGTGCGTGATACTGTGGATGGACGAAATCCTGCACCACTTTGAAACCATGGTTGAAACCATTGTTTGTTGGTATTTACCAGGGGAAATCATCATTCTGGGGTTTCTTGGGTGGTGCGAACTGGATTTCGTCCATCCACAGTATGGCAAAAGGTGCCTGGCCAATCTGGCAAGTGAGTGACGAGCCGATGGGTCTAGCCCTATAGCTCATCCCTCGGCCCCGGGCTGCATCAATGAAGATCCACACCAACCAGTCGCAGGGCGCCTGAAGCCAAAAAAGGACACCACTCATTTAAGAGGGTTCGGGACCTATTCGAGCTGCTGACACATGTTCGCTTCACCTGATTGGATTCAAGCAGGACACCATGTTTGAAACAAGGGGGGAATTGAGGGAACAATCAGCCAGGTATGGTTGGAAAGAAGTGGAATAGGTCGCCGGAATGTTCACCACGGACAAGTCAAACTGGTGATCCGTCCCATGGAAGGCTCCCCCCCCCATTTCACGGAATCAACCAGAGGTTTGCCTGCAGGCGATGTGCAAATTTTCTTGCAATTCACGTGCCGAAAACCAGAAAATGACACCCCAAGAAATGAACCTTTGACTTAGACGCAACCCCAAAGCCATGGAAAAAGAAACTCGGCTTTGGAAAGCTCGTGGTCTCTATTCCCTCTGCTCATTTGGCGATGCATCAAAATCCAAATCGTACCCCCAGTGGTTACATCACAACAACTAAAATAGGTCCTAAACTGGGTGGTGATTTCACCGACCAAAATGGGATCCCGTTCAACGGTTTTGACCACAGCCCATTTCTCGCACCGAAATTCCCGGGTTCCCAGAACTCGCTCGCCTCGCCGTGGAAGATGAGTAGGAACTCCGCCAGCTTCGGGAGCCTGCGGGGTCAGATGCGCTGCGCGGAGAAAACCCCGCGGCTCGCCACGGAGAAAAGCACGGGCCGCGGGGGGCACAAGCGAAACCGAAGATTTGTGAGGCACCACATGCGGAACAAGCAATATACGGGAAACAGAGAGGGAAAAAAAAGAGATAGATAGAGAGAGAGAGCCTCATTTGTGTTCCGAAATGCAGATCTTCTCCGCATGTAATTTGTACACACCTTTAAAAAAAGGGGCGTCTCAGGGTGGACTCAGCTGGTGTGGGAAGTGCCAAGCGGCTGGAAGATCGGAGAGCCTTCAACGAGTACTGTCGAACATCGATGTCCCGCTTCGAACTATTTAAAACCTCAATTTCCCCTTAAGCCTTTGGAACCCCGCGTCGAAAGAATGCTACTGCCCGATAATTATTTAAACAAAAAAAAATGGTGGTTTTGTGGAGCTCTTGGACATCTCCCACTTTTTTCTCCACCGGTTTTCTCTTTTCATACGCCCAGGCCCAGGATTTGCTCACTTCAAGGGATTCAGACAGAAACTTCCCAGTTTGGACCCATTCGGCAAGAAACTTCCCTAATGGAAATGGGCTTGACAAACTGCGAACCCATTTCTGGCCGGTGCTTGGCCATTCCGCGATCCGGTGGCTCGTTGGTCAGTGGAGCTGGTCCAGATCCTCGTTTGCGATCCGTCCTTTTAAACCCAGAAGCAGCAAACTGTTCCACGACCAGAAAGGCAAAGATGTTTGGAAACAAAGCAAGCAGCAAGGGATTCAGAAATCGAGGTCAACGCCCTGAGATGACAAAAAAAAAAACGTGGGGGTTTCCCTAGAAGATTCAGGCTTATTCACTTCAGACATGGGCCCACCCGATGAATTGGGCGGCTTTTTCAGCGGACCCCAGAAAGTTGCGGTGTGTCTCTTGGTTCGCCTTTAAGACACACCCAAAACAGGGCGACCAACTCCAAAACAAACACACCCATCAGTGGGACATCTGGGCACATTCCAGAACCTCCACCCTCTTGGCCCTTAACCGCTCCAAACCGCTCCGAACCTCGAAACCTCCGAACCTCCGAACCTCCGAACCTCCGAACCTCCGAACCTCCGAACTCTCCCCAACTCCCACCAATGACGCGACTCGACGCGCGACTCGACCCCACGACTCGACTCGACGCGACTCGGCGCGACTCGAAACTCGACGCGCCTGGTGCTGGCGAAGAGCTTTCCGATGAAGCCCAGCTTTGAGAAGGCCACCATGACCCACTGCTCCCCCGAGATGTGCCTACGACTCGCGAGCTCGGCTGGCTCGCGAGCTCGAATCGGACGCCGGAGAGATGGGGGGGGGGGGGGGGGAAAAGGGTCGAACTTCTTGGGGGGTGGGGGGTAGCCCCGAGTCAAAAAAACAAAACGGGGAAACACAAACGAAACTCATGGTTGGTTGGCGTGTCGTTTCCATTTGAAGCACTCCGGAACCCCCTATTTTTGGAAGCGACTTCGCAAAACGTACTTGTCGAAGAGCCGGAGTCCGCGGGCAAACCCCACGCCACCTCTGTGGGCGCGCCCGTTTCACCCGTTGACTTCTGGTTCTTGCTGGGCTGCTCCAGGACCCCCAAGCAAGCAAAAACTCGATCGACGTTATGAGGGTTCTATGAAAAAGCCAAAAGGTCCAACAGGCTAAGCCCACACCAAAGACATGCGAAGATGATCCTAGGTAGTCAGACCACCTGCTACAGTGGCCCTTTTGGGGTTTTGGGTGCTGTTCACTTGATGTCTTCCAGGGAAGAACGATTTGCTCACATGGTTTAATAGGTAGGGGCCCGGTTCGGGCACCTCAAATATGATTAATCCCCCCCCGTCCAAAGCGATATAAATGGATGGTGCCAGTCCAAAGCGTGTAGAAATTCCCTCTTGCGCCGAAATTCTGCTTCAGAAGATTGACGGTGCTGAATGGATCTTTCGCAGAAACGTCGGCTGCCTTGGTTTTGGATACGTGGCTTCACTTCTGGTGCTTTGGAGATATAAAAAGGCCGTCAGCTAGGGAGGAGCATGCCGTCCCCATCCAATTTGCAAAATTGCAAGACGATCATTTGTGCTACTTCGTTGCATCCACGTCTCGAGTTTTGGGCCAGCTACTTGGGACCGCAACGGCAACGGGCACGCTGAAAGCTCCCCGGGTGCCAGCACTTCTGTGGAGCCTTTTAGCGATGCAAGGCGCGCCAAAAGAGTCTGCGCAAACTTCACAAAATAGAACTCGGTTGCGAAATCTGCGAAGCCCTGCTAAAAGTGTTTATAACTTTTAGTGGTTTAATCCGAAAAACCCATTGGTGGGCAAAAAAAACTCAGGTCCGAACATCCCTTGGCAACATGCCCCAAATGTCAAGGAACCTGGCTGGTGCCATGTATTTGTTTGTAGGATTGCATTCTTCCCCGCGCCGATTGTGAGGAACTCGGGACTGCGAATAACTTGTGAGTTGCTCATACAGATGTGTGATGTATGTGTTTGTTGGGTGTTCCCTGGACGGCCACTGTACTCCTGTGTAACCCACTTGTACCTGACTTGTGGCCGAAACTGGGCAATCCCTGCTCACCTGCTGCCGGCAAACACAAACAACGACAAATCAAACCCTTCAGCTCTCCGGTTGCTAGAACCTCAACCCCCCCCCTCGGATGATGGACACTTAGGGCGACGTTTGTTGCAACCTTGTGGAGGGTTTAAACATAAAGAGGATCCGCGTCCATGCGCCCCCCCAAAGCGCGAAGAAAGTGCAGGGTGGGGCAAAATATGGCTGAAACACCACCTTCACAAAAAATCATCATCATAATCAATGCTTTAAACATGTTTAAACCAATGGGTAGCCCCACCCTAGAAGAAACGGCATTGTCTGAATGTTTCTGAGAGCAAAAGGGCGGGGAAGTGCGTCTCCCTGAATGTTTCATGGCATCCTGCCGGAAGGTCTCTTCTTCACATTCCGCCAGCATCGAGCAACCCCAGTTTTGCCACGTTCAATTCACCGCATTTCCCCAAAGATGTGGCTTTCTGTGCGTACCTCACTTTTTGCCCTCAACTGAAAATGATATGTTCGGGTTCCAAACTATGTATATATACTCCCCTGCAGACTAACATGGAACCCAAAACCACCTCTCCTAGAGGAATCGCCTTTGGGTAGTGAACCTCAAAATGCAGCATGTCAAAGGTCGATTTCATCCAATTGGTGGCTTGGATTGGTGGTTTGGAGCTGGGTGGTTTCCCATTCACCGTCTACATGGACTGGGGGGTTAAATCCAAACCACCAAAACCACCAAAGGGTTACCTGATTCAAGGCGCTCGCCCGCTCGAATGCCAAATGAACGCAACCGAGGCTTCTTCCTGGAATATGGTTGAATAAATGACGCCTGTCCAAAGGGATACCAAAAACCAAAAAGCCCCAAAAAAAAACGACTCAACTCCAGTTGCCCTCAGGGTTTTTTTCCTTGCATCCCAGTGATCTGGAGACCTACCTTCGGCTGAAGAGACCAAAGCACCTGAGGCACCGGCTCCTTCATGTATTTCTGCACGGTGGGCAAAAAGTTGGGGGTGACCTCACGGACCCCTTGCCAAAAGGACCCCGCCCCCCCCCCCCGCCCCTGGGTGGTGGCACTTGTGACAAGACCCTGTCAAAATTGAATACTTGCCTTTTCCCCAACAGCAGCGATGGGGTCTCAGCCCAGATGGGCTCCCTGTCAGCTCTGACAGTTCCAAAGCGGCAACGCAACGTGTTGGACTTACTGACGTGACTCTCCCGAGCCCCCACGCCCCAACCAACGCAACAGGTTCTGCCCCCAAGAGATCTCCACGCGTTGGCACAATACTGTGGATGGACGCAATCCGTTTCGCACGACTTGGAAACCACAGTTCAAACCATAAGGTTAGGTGGTGCAGGATTTCGTCCATCCACAATACGGGGTGTATGTATGCATATACATGTGTATATATATATATAATATATGCTCAGGCCCGCCATGAACTACCTTTTGGGTGCTGTTGCAATGTCTCAAGGTCAATAAAATAATTCTACTTATTTGAAGGGCAACTATTCTGCTTATCTCAAGGACAAGGATTCACTCCATTTCTATTCATACAGGCTGTGTGTGAATCTTGGCGTAGCCCGCAGCCAGCAGAGTGACTCGAGATTAAACTGCCCCCTTTTGATTGCCAATCATCATGGCAGCTCTCGTGTCTGGCGAAGTGTCCCCAAGTGAGCTCGAGGAGGTGGTGCAGAGGTTGGCCTTATACCCCGTCTCTAAGCATTTTAAAGCTCACTTGTTAAGCTGCTAATAAGACGGTTTTTAAAGGCTCCTTTTCAGGCCTTTTGTGCAACTCCTTGTAAAGATGCTTGCAACGCTCCCAAGAAGGCTTTTCAGGATCCTTTTTTTGCTCCTTTTAAAGCTCCTGACAAACCTCCTTATACTGCTTGAAAAGAGCTCCTTATACAAAGCTCCTTACGCGACTCCTTATGAAACTTCATTTAAGGCTTGCAATTCCTTGTCAAGATGCTTGTAAAGGTTCCTGGCTCGCAGTGTGTGCTTGGCAGTGGCCCAAGTCCTTGGCTGGGCCAACTGCACAGCTACATGAAAGTGCTTGCTTGCGTCAGCATGAGCTTCCTGGAAAACGCCGAGCTTGTTCACCATGGGTTCGGTGCGTGTCCGGGGACGCCCGGCAGAGGCCGGTGGAATCATAGGGTCATCAAAGGCCTGCCGCACAGCATCCGCCACCTCTTGACGAGTCATGGTCCCGATCTCCCGCAAGTCTGACGAGGATTCTACAGCACTTGGCCACACTCTGGAAATGGTCAGCACCTCAGGTGAACTTTGTGCTTGAAGTCCTTGCAGATCATGGACTTTTCGGGTAACTTCTTCTCCAGCAAAGCCGGACACTCAAGATTCGTGGCTGCTTTGGGCCAAAACCAACTGCTTGCCGGCTGAAGCGTCACAAAAACCACAGAGCTGCGGTGCAGGTTATTTGACAAGCATGGCTATGTGTCGAGCCGTGGAAAGTAATACTGGGCGGCGCACCTGGACGTTCGCCATCAGGACAGAGGCTGCAGAGCCAGGATGTTGTTGCAAGAGTCCTGCACCGAATGACACCATGGGACATGAACGTTGCACTGCGCGTCGGTTCCAGAATTGGTGGCTACGCATATACTATTTGACCCTGCGCACGTTCATGTTGAGTCTTCCGATTCCAAACCTGCCGGTGGTCAGATTCCTCAACTTTTTCCAGTTCCTAATCCCCGGGTGTTCAAATTCCTCGATTTTGCAGTTCCGACTCCCCGGGCGCTCAAGTTTTTGCAGCTCCTAATCCCGGAATGTTCAGATTCCTCGGTTCCTAGTCCCGAGTGCTCAAATTCCTCGAGTTTTTCCAGTTCCTAATTGCTGTCCCATTCCTTTTCCAGTTCCTTTTGCAGTTCCTAATTGAGATTTGTTGCGTTTTCTCAGCAATTGCTTCTTGACCATGAATTCATTTACAGAAAAAGAAAGAAGTATTTGTTTCTTTTCTATTTTAGGCAACTTGGGATGACTGAGAAAACACAGCAAATCCTAATTAGGAACTGGAAAAGGAACTGGAAAAGGAACTGGAAAAAAAGCTGGAAAAGGAACTGGAACAGGAACTGGAAAGGAACAGCAATTAGGAACTGGAAAAACTCGAGGAATCTGAACACACACATTAGGAACTTGAGGAATTTGACTATACTCAAGGAATTCATGACCACCCGGTGATTAGGAACTGGAAAAACTCGAGGAATTTGACCGTTGAGCTAGAAACATGCGAGGAATTTGGCCACGTGAGGATTAGGAACTGGGAACTGGACAGTGTTGAGGACTTCAACTGCCGAGGAAAAGGAAGTTGGGAAACGCAGGCAGACAGCAACATGAAGCACGAAAGTGCGAAGGCCCTGCGCAACCTGTTTTTTGCATTGCACTGGTGCGATATACCGGCAGTCGACAAGGATGGGCTTGCTTCGAAGGAGATGCAGACCTCCCTCGGGAAAGAAGCTGCCCTGAGAAGGAATGACCTGCTACACCCGGCCAGCCAAATCACCCACGATTGAGGACACATAATCCGTGGAGAGGCTGCAGGCAGTCCGCCTCAAGCGGGCCAAGTAAGCCTGCCTTGTCTCGCGCTTGTTATTTGGCAACTTGCTCTCTATGCGCCGCATCTTGCGGTTCACCTCTACCCACAAGTGGCGATCGCTTGGGCAAGTCCAAGGTATCCCAGCATAAGCCTTGGCCGCCAAGCCCTTGGAGCTCTTGTAGCCTGACGGGTCGTTGTCTTCCAAGACCCGCCAAGACGCCCTGACATCCGGGCACTCCCTCGCCAAGGCGGTGCAGCGGCCCACAGTACATGCAACGGATGCCCCGTTCCACTGCCCCTTAGTCACGTGCCACATGAGGACCTTGCCATTGCCAACTTCACATGTCACCTGGGCTGACTTGGCTCCTGTGCTCTGCTCGAGCGCGGCCGGGGGCTTGGTGAAGACTAAGCGCTTGCTGCGGTAGGCACCACGAAAACTGCGTCGGGCAGCATGGCCCCTTGCTTTCCCTATGTGGTACACTTGGAACGTCTTGTGGTCAATGATGGCGCGCCAGTAGCCTCAGAAGCCAAACAAGGAGAAAAAGATTAGTGACTCTTGCTTGGGGCGTATCTGCTCTTGCTGGTGAGCAGCGCTCCCATTGCAACGCACTTCGGTGGGAGTGGCCTGCCCAAGCGAACCTCTCTTTGACGTCCTCTGGGGACAAATCCGGCTTCTCATACAGCGGCCGGAAGTGCACCCCGTGTGCCCAAAATGCCCGGCTGATGGTTTTGGTACGCCTTCTCCATCTGCTTGTCCCCACCCGCCCGGACTTCGTCTTGGTCTTACGGAAGAGGTGCTTGGACACTGTCTCAGTGGAGCGTGCTGCAACCTTCTTGACGCCAAGGCCATCGGAATGAAGGTGCTTCATGAGCTCCTCTTCAATTGGCGACACGTGCACGGACTTCATTGCCTTCTTGGTAGACGGACAAATTAATCGAACCACCAACAGATGTGGCGCACACCCCCGGTACCCCCCAATGTCAGTGTTACACTGAACACGAGCACTGTTCATGTCATCGGGGTTTGACTTAATTCGTCCACCCAGCCTGATCCTCCAAACGGGCAATAACATTGAAATCGAGGGGGCAAGCAAGGCGTTACAACTGTAAGGGTTTGATTTACGGTACCATCTGAAAAAATGTGGGTTTTGTTGCTATTTTTCATATCTTGAACATTTCAAAACGGAATCTGTTTTGTCAACTTTCTTGTTTTTATGGTCGAGAGAGCTACAAATTATTGAAAAACACCGTGTTTTTTTGCAGTCATGTTGTGAAGAAAGAAGGAAAGGTAGTTCATGGGGGGGGGGGGGGCCTGACCATATATATATATATATATATATGCAGCCTGCCAAACCCAAGTGTGTTTACTATTTTTCGCGGGGGGGGGGGGGGTGAAGCACGGGGAGCACAACACAAAATGCGCTAGGATCCCCCCCCCCACCCCCTTCTGAAACCCGTCTTGGGGTCCCCCTGTACACATCTGCCATAGACTTTCCAAAGCCCCAGCAAACTCAGCAAATTCCATTTTTTCCAGAGCCTCTTGGGTTCCCTTTAAGGCCCGGTTGAAACAAATGCCCCTTGATTGGCCTATCGGGCCGAGATTGTGAGACCAAATCGCCACCCGAGGCCGCCTGATTTGCCCACTCAGAACGAGGTGCTACGAAACCGGGAAACAAAACGACAGGGGGCGACCCAAGCCACGTGTGTGCCAACTGACGTGAGTAGATCCGATGTGGCAACTTGGTGAATGTGCCCAACGTCGTCCATGCTGGTGACCATTCACCAAAAAACCATGGAAAAACCACACCTGCCCTGCAAATCTCCAGGTGTTGGATGTCAACGTCAGACGAGATCATGGTTCTGAGTCACGGGTGTACCTTCTTGAAGGCACCACCAGGAAAAGCACTTTCTCTCGTATTTTTTTCCTGGGGGGCGGGGGCTCCTCTATGTTGAGACACACCCACTTCAAATCCGCCAACAACAGGCGGCATGTTGGACATAAGAAATGCTCCTTACCTCTTTACCTGTCTTTGTTTCTTATTCCTCCTCAGGGGCGGGGTCCACGTACCACGCGGTGATTCCAAGACGTTCCACTAAATCCTTTCTTCTGGAGGCTGTGCGGAACACAGTTGCGTAAAAACATTGGGGTGTCATTTCTCCCCTTCCCCCCCCTGAGGCCTTTTCCCCCCAGATCTTCCCCCTTTCCTCCCTAAATTCTTTCGGGGAAAGGGAGAAGATCTTGGGGAGGAAAAGGGAGAAGATCTCAGGGGGAAAAGGCCTTAGGGGGGAACGAGGGAAAGGATCTCGACCGGGAAAGGGGGGAAAAGATCTCAGGGGGGATAAGGGAGAAGATCTCAGGGTGGGAAAAGGCCTTAGGGGGGACAGGGGGGGAAGGATCTCAATAGGGAAAGGTGGGAAAAGATCTTAGGGAGGAAAAGGGAGAAGATCTCAGGGGGGAGAAGGCCTTAGGGGGGAAAGGGGGGAAAGGATCTCAACAGGGAAAGGGGGGAAAACATCTTAAGGAGGAAAAGGGAGAAGATCTCAGGGGGGGAAAAGGCCTTAGGGGGGAAAGGGGGAAAGGATCTCAACAGGGAAAGGGGGGAAAACATCTTAGGGTGGAAAAGGGAGAAGATCTCAGAAAACAAGAGGCCTTAGGGGGGAAAGGATCTCAACAGGGAAAGGGGGGCAAAGATCTTAGAGGGGAAGGGGGGCAAGGGGTCAATTCCAAAGGGACGCAAATAAGAAAGCAGGCCTGTAATGTCGGCGGCCTGAGCCGGAGGCGTTAAAACTAAACTGGTTTCCGATGGGAAAGAACTCACATCGCTTTTCATCTTGACAGGTCTCGGAACCAAGGCTTCTGAGCATCCCTCTTAACGGAGGGGACGAAGTCGGCGGACTCGCCGCGCGGGTTTTTGCTTCCCAAAAAGTCCGCCTGCACATCATCCTCCAACTGCATGTAGAAATGCGACAGGCCCGCGGCATACCTCCGGAGCAGCGTTTTCGGGCAACCAAACATGGCGCAGGGCTACCCTGGCATAGGGCCAAAACTCCTGCGTGTCATAGGGTTGTCTAGTATGAAAAGGGATGTTATGACCATGGCACATGTGTTAAATTCTGCAGGCAACATTGGACGCCACACCACACCTCAGGGACGAAACTCCCCGCCTGCTGGATGAAGTTTTACGGGAAACTAAGGGGGAACCAAAAGGATTCAGGAGGCAAGGGACATCAAGGAAAGGGGAAGCCACTCACTTTCAGGGATCCCCCATGACCAGAGTTGCATCACCTAGGCTACAAGCTGAAAGCACTGTTGCACTCTTTTCTATCCAGAGCTGTCAATCACTATGCAATGACTCAAGGCCTGCCCAAGGATGCAGCCGGATGTACTTACTTTCACACTCCTTCAGTTGTATTGGAATGACAGTAGCTACGAGTTGAATCATAGCCACTATGCACAATCAGCTTCGGAGAGATGATGTCGTTGAAATCCACGATGGGTGAGGATGATCACGTTTCACGCGGCTGGGAGAAGAACATCGCCGCGGCGAAGTGCCAGCGAGCACGGGCACCTTTGGAAAGCGATGCCATCAAACCATTTGGCTGTGGCTCAAAAGAACGGTACCAAAATGGAACCCTGGCAAGTGGATCCATGGACCAAAACCTGCGGTTTGCCACTCCTGGTTGATTTTGAGCCACACCTATTTAAGGAGGCGACTGGCTTCTTAGTATCCGAACAAGTGAAGTGGGTTGTTGGGCGCAGTCAAACCCATTAATTTGCTCTTGAGTTTCATGTGTGTACTTGTTCAGATCTGCGTGTTTCGTGGCTCGCAGTCCTGGCAACCCGTGTACTTCAAGTCCCCTTTAGCCTTTCCGACTACACTTCAGCAATTCGATCGCAGGGCCAAAGCCTTCCCAGCACGGCTCGTGCAGGATCTCAACTTCTTGGCTTCCATTTGCTTCCCCGGACCGTACAACCCTTGCTTGGTTGACGTTGAAAGGGGAGCAAAAACTTATTTTTTAGCAGCTAAGTGGGGATGTCCCACTAAACCACAAGAAGCAAAAAATGTAGAATGCGTCCCAACAACAACCATGCTTGATGGGGTAAGCTGAGTTTTTTGTTTGCGGCCCCCACTAAACGAACACCTCACTGCAGACTTGCCACCAGCGGAGCTAAGAAAAACCCGCCACTGGCGGCTTCGAGGCCTCGTGAAATCAACCAAGTCCACCCAAGGCCGCCAGGGTTTCAAAGAGAAACAAAGGTGGGCCTACCACGGAGGGGCCATATGGCTGCAAAAGGGAACCAAAAGGAAACCCGCTGAGGTCAAAGTTTAAAATTGAGGATGAATCCTATTTTGGCACGGATCCACATGTGTGGGTGGGGGGGGGGTTGTCAAAAACATGACCCGAGGAAAACAAGAGAAAACGAAAAAAGATCCCCGGGCTCCGGTTCTGCCCAACGTGCTGGCAATGACAAAGATACCAAGGATCCACCGAACCCAGTATCCGGTATGGCGGCAGAACGCCTGTTGGTGTCCCTTTAAACCAACCTGTCTGCAGAATCCTTGAGGTTTCTGGCCTACCATCAAAAGCCCTTTCCTGAGGCGTTTTTTGAGACCAAGTTCCGCGCCACATCAAGAAGGCATAGTCCAAGTTCTGCTTGGCGCGCCTCGGGCGCTGACAAGGGAGATGTTTTTGTGATTGTTGTTGGAATTGAGGGCCCCGAGCTGCTGCACATGAGAGTTCGGTGGGGAGTTGTGTCCAGCGCTTTTGGTCGGCGATTCCGACTAACTTAAGATTCACAGGCACTTGAGGGTACCCATTCCAAGGGTTCTCGCGCCTGGGAAGAAACCCATCTCCTCCTCTGCTCAAAATCAAGATCGCATAAGCCTCCCACCCGCAAAAAATCAGACGGTCCAAACATCAACTAAAGGGACCTGACCAAGAAGGGGCCCTTTGACGCTTTTGTTCATAGAAAAAGGCGTGGCGCCTTTTTCTTTTTTCGGCCGCGGAGCTTTTTGCGGACACCGTTGACCACGAAATAGTTGCTCCAGAACAAAAAAAATGCTCTTTTCTCCGAGCCCCCGGGCCACCATTGCCTCAAGGGCGGGTCCCCGAACTTGGTGTTCTTGCTGACCTGCGGCCAAGGTGCCTCCAGACACCGGCTGGTGATAGGTAAGGAAGGAGAAGTGGAATGAACCCAGGGATTCCAAGGGATGCATAGGTAGGGAATACCTGAACCCAGGGATTCCCTTAAAAGGGAAACCACCAGTTGGATGGATAGGTAGGGAAGGATTCCCTGAAACGGGGAAGCTACCAGTTGGATGGTTTTTTGGGCATTCCATTTCTCATTCCTTGCCTATCGCACATCAAGACAAAAGGAAGCCAAAGACTCACAGAGTCCCATGTTGCTTACGTGATTATCGTACGTGACTCTTGACCTGAAGCTTCTTGTGCGACTCTCCCCAATTTGTAAACATGGGATTGAAAACAGGGGAACCCACCCCACCCTCACCCCCCACCCCCCCAAAAAAAAGAGTTCCTTTTGTTTCCCTCAAACAACCTCAAAAAATAAATGCGGAGCCATCAGGCTTCGAGCCGGCGTATACTCGAATGCAAGAGGCCATGGCTTTGGAGCGGAATCCTCGTGAAACCTGACCTTCCGGGCTTTGGGAATTAACCTAAGGGAAATCAAAGATGGCTTATAGGAGTTCCAACTCATTCCCTGAGAACCAGCAAGCGAGTTGCACAGACGTGACCCGGGCGGTCCACTCGGCCCCATTTCACGCCAAAAAGGAACACCCAAAAAGGTAAAGCAAGGTCTTTCCCACCAAGAACCGGGCTTAACAAGGGGTCTTTGGAAGCTTTGGGTAAAGAATTGGAGTCATTTTGTTGAGCCCGTTGTTCGGCGCAAGGCTTCGCTGACTGTCCATTGACTATGGCTTGGCTTCGGTTAAGCTGAAGCTGTGGCTTCCCTGTTTCGGCCAGCGTGTTGCTTCCATGGCTCGGCACCATGTACTAAGAATCCTGTTCCCGAAAAAAGGTTGGACATTCCCACCCAAAATGATGTCCATGTTGGGTCTTGGACCAACTCATTTTCCTGAGTAAAAAGAGTTTTTCCCCATGAGCCCAGTTTCGGAAAAGGTTACAAGCAGACGATTCGCTTTGGACGAAAAGGTTGAGACGGTGACCACCGCGCTTTTACGTTCACTTTCCGATCAATGGCTTCAGGGTGAACTACGGGTACGCGTGGGTGGGCTGGATCCAGAGGCACAGGGGTGACCGGCCGAAAAAACATGCATTAAAGCCCACTTCAGGAGAACGTCGACTGAGGAAGTGGTTAGAAAACCCTGAAACAAACCATAGGCAACTTAGAAGGGCAGATGGGCTGTCAGGAAACTAACCGCTTGCTAGTTAGTTCTTTCAAGCCAGAGTCAAGATCTCCTTCGAAGAGAAACCACAGCGGACTTTGACCCCGGACACAACTGAAACGAGTCCCTTGCGTCAAAACCTACCAGAGCCCAGGAATTTGCTGGACCTTGGGTTGAGCTCGTTTGATCAGGTAAGCTTGTTAGTAAAACCTTGCAACCGAATCCGCTTGGACTGACAAGAAAAGAAACACTAACATAGGGAACGTTGAAATCAGAACTCACTTCGAGTTTAGATCGATGTTTGAGGGTACACCCACCCAACTGCGACTTACTCAAAACCGTCTCAGGGAAGTTGAAGGACAGTTCCAGGCTTCGCGCTTTTGGTGGCAACCCGAAGGACTTAAAATGGGCGGCTTGATAAACATCCTTGGCCTTGGCCTGGGATCCTCGGAAACCACAAAAAAAGACGCAAAGCCGCTTGCGGAGGTCACCAGAGGTTGCCGGACCTGGGCCACTTTGCCTACGAAATTTTCCGGCCCTGAAAAAAAAAAAAACGCGCCAGGCCCAACTTGCCTCCTCCTTCAAGGGGTACAAACGCTCCGGCGCATGGATCACATGGAGCCGGTTGCCCTGGCACATTGCGACGTGGCCGTTGTGCTAGGGGGGCGGGGGGGGGGGGGTTCTCCGGAAGAGCAAAAAAACGGCTCAAGGGTGGCACTGAACAACAAGTTTTCGAGACACACCAAGGCATGCGTGGGAAGCTTTTCAGGGACCCTGGGTTCCATTTTTGGTTCGTTTGCCTGCCGAAGCCCCATGGGGACGAAACATGCTTGTGTCTGTTTGGGGCTCCTGAAGTTGTTGCGGGTACTCTCCCACAGATAAGCCTAGACCCCCGAGAGCAAGTATTTCCAGGATCGCTTTGGACCCTTTTTGGGATCGATGTTCGTTTGCAGGGCACCGGCATTGCTGGCATCGCCTCCATTCTCAGCCTCGCCATTGCCAGCCTTGCCAGGATCACGAGCCGCAGCGTGACCAGCAATCAGCACTGGCGCCGAACCTATTGGGTTATTGCCATCAAAGTCGCCCCAGGACCTCCTGGAGCTGGGCAGCCAAAGACCCCCATTCAGGGGAAAAGGACGGCCCTTTGGTTCCCTTTGAAACCACCCCCTTTGGTTTTAAACATGACCTTCTGGCTGATGTTTGTTTTGGACACTTGCCTGGAGCTAGAAACCCAAGAGCTCGTGCTTGGGAACTTGGGGAACCCCTCATTTCTGGTACCCACTCAACAGGAACCACATGGAGCTTCCTCTGCCTGACCTCCGATTTGATCCATCCGCCTGAACTTCGTCCTCGAAGCCGTTTTGCAGCGCGTCCCGGGTTTTGCCCACCTGGCAGAATCCGAAACAGGAGTCTCAGGGAGACGAAATACATGGGCGAATGTGTGTATATAATTATATATATATATATATGTATGTGTATATATATATATATATGTATGTATGTATGTATGTATGTATGTATGTATGTATGTATGTATGTATGTATGTATGTATGTATGTATGTATGTATGTATGTATGTATGTATGTATGTATGTAATGTATGTATGTATGTATGTATGTATGTATGTATGTATGTATGTATGTATGTATGTATGTATGTATGTATGTATGTATGTATGTATGTATGTATGTATGTATGTATGTATGTATGTATGTATGTATGTATGTATACATGTATGTATATATATATACATCACATCGCATATATACTATGAGATATATACACAGGTATATACGGGTGTGCGTCTGCGTTTGCGTGTACCCTGTTTGGAGGGTGTTAAAGGGAAACCGAAAGGGTCCCCTATTTCAAGACAGGCCCAAAGGGGTCAAAATGATAGAATAGGGTTTGTAGTTGTAGTGCGCTCACGAAGAAGCGAAGTCATGATCATAGAAGAACATGTGCGTAATTACCTCGCCCCTCGTATTAAGTTAGCAAGAACTCATGGGGGCGATGACATGATTTGGGGTGTTTTTTCGAGGCTCCGTGTGATGCTTGGGGCTGGATTAGACGGAAAACCAAAAGCGAATCCGCAGCCCTGGATTCTGATCAATTTCCCCTATTTGGGCACATACCGATATTTTTTCTAGGTCGTGAGTCACAGTAAAGTGGTGAGGGTCATGGTCGCAAGTCTTGACCCTGAAGCAGGTTTCCTTTTAAGGGGCCACCGGCCAGGGCCAGCGATTTTCATCGAGTTCTGCCCAAAAAACCTGTGAGGTGTCCTTGTTCACATTGTGCCATGGCCACCTACGGAGGGAAAGTCACAAAGCAGGAACCACGTGCTGACTACCGTATCACTCCTTCAGGGGATTTGTTGGGTGTCACAGAAATTGGCCATCGCCCTCGGTGCCTCTTTTTGCCATGACCATTGCGCTCTGTGGCAGAAGTCTGTCTCAAAACAAGGAACCGTTGGAGTGTAAAAACCAAAGAAAACCGCTTCCCCCCCCCCCCCCTCAGGTCACTAAGTTGATGCAAAGTTTGCTTGCAAGAAACCCAGGATGCGTAGACTCCCGGCTTGATAATGGTCGACAATCTGAAGAAATCCTTCACTTGAAAAAGTGAAGACTTTTAGCGATCCTGAGGAGCTTTCCCGACTGGGACCCACTTTGGAATTGCCTTTTAGCTTTGCCTCTTAGAGACTTACCACCAAAAAATGATACGACTCGAGGGAGAAGAGCAATAGATCACCCCGTGCGCTTCTCCTGGATGCCTTTTGACTCAAGAATACATCTCAAGTAGTGCCTGGCGCATTTTGTCCACATGGGTACCCAATTTATGTATCTATTTGTCTGTTCATTTATTCATTTATTTTGGGAGAGTAACCTCACCGGGGTTGGCCTAAAAAAGAACGCCCACGGAAAACCGCCGAGCCGGGAATCGGTTCTTCCAAGGCGCCCAACTCTCCTCGAAGTCTGCTAGGTGTACTAGAATGCCTGGCGAGTCAGATCTCATCCCAACCTATGAGGAGTGGTTCGCTGGTTCCGCGGGAACCTTTTGGACAAACGAAGCGGGGATGCGGAGGGTGCGCGGGGACATGGGGGGATTCCCTTGGCGCCATTTCCCATCAAACTTAGTCAAGGTGCATCAAACGGGGGAATCCTCCCGTAGCCCTGGTTCCCCCTGTATCCCTGCTAGTTGGTTTCCCTGAACATTGCTTCAGCCAGGCAAACCCCATGAATCAAAAAGCATCCCAAAAAGCAAAAAACAAAAAAAATAGCCCTCGAAGGTCCGGAAATGGGCGCTTGATTCAAGTCTAAGGACCTGTCGCTCTTTGCTCAAATCAGTCTCGGGACAGATCCAACAAACACGGAAAATAGATCTGTCCATCTCTCTAGCTATCCATCTGTCCGTCTAACAATCCAAGAACTCTTGGAACACAGATGGTCCGGGACTCCTCCTAACTCTTTATCGGTCCTTGGACCATTTGCTTCGACCCCTGGATGGCTCAAATTAGCTTCCTTTCCACGGCCCAGTACAAGCTGCAAGCGCTAGCCTGACAAAAAGACCCACAGACTTTTGCCACCCCTTGGCAGGGGGCGCAGAACCATCGCCACCAAAACTTGCGCCAAAAGAGGGGACTCCCAACCAAGACTGGCGCTTCGATCCTAAATAACACGCCCAAACCACTGCTTGGAGTGAACCGAGTCGGACCACTTTGAGCGGGATGGTCGATAGTTGGTTCTGTGCAATCCATGCTGTGGATGGACGAAATCCATTTCGCACCACCCAAGAAGCCCTAGAATGATGCGATTCCCCAACGTAAATACCAACAAACCTTATGGTTTCAACCATGGTTTCAGTTTGTGGTGCGGTCTCGGATTTTGCAAGTATTTACAGTACTTCTAAAAGGCATCAAACACTTTGACCCTTGGGAGGCCATGCAGTGTTCCAATAAGATAAGGGCCTGAATAAAAATGAATGGGCTGTGGGGTACTGAAAAACAAGATTGAGTCATCATGGAGGATGAGCGATTAGTAGTACACTGGTTAATTTGCCAGAAAGCCCCTCAAGCCACTCCTTCCTTGGAGGGAATGATTTTCAGCGTTTCGGACACCAAGAACTTGATGCAGGCTGGACAAGCAGCGTCAGGCTCCTGTTACAGGGCCAAGATGTCCCAACTTGAAGACCATCACGCGCATCGATGAAGGTCGCTTTTGTCGATTGTCCCCCGTATGCCACAAGCCACACAAATGCCTGAAAACCCGGATCCGCTTGGTGACAAAGACGAAGGCGGGGTTGTTCGAGAAACCAGGGAATGACGAGAGAAGGCGAGTAGGTTAATCGCCACCCTTGCAGCCATTTCGTTCGTTGGCTCATTAAAACAAGTGGTAAAAAAGAATTGGCACAGTAATTGGCACACTTTCTTTGGCTGGTTTCAAAGGGAAACCCCTCAAACATTTGGGAGAAAGGGCGCCGAAGGTCAATGACATTGAAGAAACTCGAGAAAGACTGCTTGGAGTTTCTCCCTAGCACAAGGGGATGGTGAAGGCTGCCCCTTGTTCTAGCAGTTTGGGGCCGGGACCATCCAAAACCTCTGCGCGGAAGGGGGGGATCTTGCTGACATGACACGGGCCATCCTGAAAACTTGTTCCAGGCTGGGTAGGGAATTCGGGGCCAAGGAAAGGAAGGCCCTAGGAGTTTTCTGAAATTCCGGGACGCCCTGCCTGGAAAAGGGAAACCAGGAGCAAACTGACCCCATGTTTAGGGTTCCGTCCTGGGGATGCTCCCTCCAACCTTCGAAAGTCAAGGAATGGGGGGGCAACGGCCAGCACTTCTGCTCAATTCCAGTAATCTAGCCAAGCTCTTCGCGATCTCTGATCTGCTGTCCGACCAGAGGTTTTGTAAGTAAGGCCGGTGTAAACCCCCTCAGCGGAATTTGCTGGGCACATCTGACTTCTCAAGGTAGCCTTAGGAATCCAACTCGACTTGCCCAAATCGAAGTCGCCTGTATCCGTCGAATCGCCTAAGGCGTCGAAAAGGTGGGAGAGAGTGAGAGTGAGGTATTCCTGAGCTGCACTCGAGGCCTGGAATATGGACCCAGGCTTTGGTCCCCTTAAAGGAAACCTCCAGTTGGGTGGTTGATAGGGGTCATTCCGTCATTCCCTGCTGAGCACCAGCAAGTGATAGAAAAGGGCAAAGATATCGGATGGTGCCAAACATTGACCCAAATAGCAGGACGGCCGGTTCGAACAGCGGTGGAGGTGCCTCTGCGGAAATTATGGGAGAAACAGCGTGCCATCAAGGGTATCCCCCTGATAAATATGGCTGTGGCTCAAAAAACCGGTACCAAAATGGAACCCTGGCAAGTGGAAACATGGACCAAAACGTAGTCCCTCCTGATTAATTTTGAGCCACACCCATATGGCTGTGTGTCCTCTTGTCCCCCCCCGGACCAACAACAATCACTAGTACTGCGTGTTGCCATGGTCAAACTCCAGGTATGGTCATGGCAGCGGTCCTCTGTACAAACTCTCATGAACACATCCTGCAGAAATGTCTCCAATCTGCTGCCAGCCACCCCAATCCACTCTCAAAGGCCCTTGGGGGAGAGTCACTTGGTTCCTCCCCTTCTTGCGCAAAAACACCCGACGCCCCTGTAAACCACACAAGTGTTTCTCATGTTTGTTTTGTTGAAAATGGGGTGAAATAGGCTTGGCTTTCTTGAAGCAACCAAAAAGGGTGTACGATGATTGCTCCAAAGACCCTGTCAAGGTAGAAAGTTGCTCCTGCAACAGGAAAACACGAGTCGACCCAAAGGTTTGGTCAATAGGTCCGGCGCAACATTGAGAAATTCAAAGAAAGCTGAGCCATTTGAGAAATGGTCCGAGCCAAGCCTCGTAGACACCTGACTCCAAGGCAAGCTCGGCAGGTTGTTTCAAATTGATCCCTTTGAACAGCCAAAGGAAACTCTTCACCACACCAACTTGAGGTGTTGGTCAACAGCATTTTGCCTCGGCTTTCCTGTCTCAAGATTGGGGGAGCTTCCAGAATGATGGTTTCCCTTTAACCCCACCCAAAACGGGTATCCTCCAAAAATAACGGGTCCCTCCAAAAATACAAAACCGAGCACATCCAAACAAAAAACGGGTACCCGCCCAAAAAACAATTACCCTCCCAAAAACAAAGAAGCAACATCCAACTCCTTCACTTGATCCGGGAGTCCCTCCCAAAAAACAAATGGTACCTACCCCAAAAAAAGGCGACCCTCCCAAAAAAAGGGTACCCTCCCCGAGAAAAACATGGCACCTACCCCAAAAAAAGGCAACCCTCCCAAAAAAACGGAGGAACAATATAAAACAAACCACCTCCACCTCCACCCCGCCCACTCCGCCGGGGCGCCGCTTGCTTCCGGTGCACCGAGGAGAGCCCGAAGAAGAGCCACCGGGGTTGGCGCCTCGCCTCTGCCTCCAACGCCTCGTCGCAGGGAGGTGGGAAGCCGCGGGCTTCAAACGGGCGGAAAAGACGGGAAAAGCCGCGTGAAACCGCTTGAAGCACGGGGGAAGAACGGCGTGAAACGTGGAACATCCGTGGAAAGCAATGCGTGTGGAAAAACCATGTGGATCATCCGGGGTCTTGGTTTCAGTTTCTGGGCTCCTGATATCTTTGCCGTAAAAAATGGCCCAAAAAAACTCACCTGTGGGCCAAAGGTGATGTTGGCCACCGACAAGGGACATATTGGAACCCTGTGAAAGGTGCGGGTGAGTACAAGGGCCTTTTCAGCCAAACCTCGGTGTTTTCTGCAAGAAGCGCCTCTTGTGCCCCGGGGGGCATGTGAGATACTGTGAGGGCCCAAATAAGTGGAATGGCCAAAGGGCTCTTGTGTTCTCAAAAGAAGGATTTCTGGGAAGGGAGGTGTACGAGAAGGGCCATCCATTTGCTGCCAAGGGGCTGAATTTCCTTTGGGGGGGGGAGGGGGTACAGCAAGGAAAACCAGAAGGGATTGCTTTGTGTGACGGGCGGAAGCCATAGCCATGAGTCATGACAAGTCAATAAACCGGTTTGGGTTGACTGCGCCTGGGTGTACTTCGCAATATTTAGGGCCTCCGTTCATTTTGCGGTCGCTCAGAAAAACCACTTCTCAGTTTCGGGGCCACACAATTTCCATGGGGAGAAGGAAAAAAAAGGAGAAAAACAACTGCGGCCAGGGGAATGGCTCTCAAAGGTGAGGTGGCCATGTCCTGGACATCTCCATGGGTTTGTTGCCGGTTTTTTTTTGCAGGGCAACATAACCGATCTAAACCTGTGGCTTGCCCATCTATTTCTTTGCCCAAACTAACCCAACAACAGGAGCTACTGTGGACGAAATCCGTTCGCACCAGTTTGAAGCCATGGTAATGGATTTCGCAACCATCCACAGCATTAGTCTGAAAAAGGCTATTCAATCCCCTGACAGAAGGTATCTGACCGGCTCGGGGAGGCAGGCTTCACTTGGTTCAAGTGGGCGAATCGACGGGATCTGACCTTTTGGTGTGCATCTTGGGTTCCCCGTATTTTAGTCATGGCCATAGGTGTCCTTTTTAGGTTAGTTTGATGAAAATAGATGGGTTGCACTGGTTCAGATGGGGTGTATGCCCCAATTACCAGGGACACCCATCTATGTTTAACCCATTTTCAGCCGGAATGGACACCCCTATGGCTGTGGTTGTCAAAACCAATGCCCATCCACAGTGTCTCCATTCCCTGGACCGGTGGCCACGACCAACTGCACAGTCCGATGGCTATCGAGCAAACGCAGAGAGTCCTTCGGCCCCGTTCTTTTTTGTTGCTTTTTTTTTCCCGAGTCCAAGCTCCAAAAACACCAACAAATATGTATGTAAATCGACCACTTCTTCACAATGCAAGCTCCAACAACGCAAAAAATACAAAAGGTACTTAAATGAAGGGAGGTCTTGCCAAAGCTGCTGCAAGAACCGGCAACCAAAATGCTCCAGCGAAGCCGGAAGCCTGACAAGAATACTAGGGCCCACCTTTACAATAAAAAGGGTAACCAATTGAGCGACCGAAACCAAAATGGTTCTAGAAGTGAATGTGGGTGTGTCCTTTGGAGAGTGAACTCATTGTTGGACTGTTTTGTACAGGGACACCAACAGGAAAATCACTGTTTCCGGCTGTCCCCGCAAAATGGATGGAAATTCGAAACCTTCGCATGTTGAAATCAGCCACAAGGGGTTCCCAAAAACTGAGCCACCTGGATCGCCAGGTGCGATCGCTTTTTTTACATCCCCTTTACCCCAAAAACCCAAAACCAGCAACAGTGACTGAAAAAAGCGATCGCAACTTGGCTATCTAGGCAAACCCATTGACTTTATGTACCCTTCAACACCCCTCATTTCTCTCTCTCGGCCCCCCCACGCTATCGGGCAGCATGCGTAACGAGGAGGCATCCAAGCCATGAAGCGCTGACCAGGCCTGGAGAAAGCGGCCCGGTTCCGAAGGCAAGAAAGGGGCTCCCTTTGGGGGGTTTTGGGGGGTTTTGGGGGGTTTTGGGGGGTTTTGGGGGGTTTTGGGGGGTTTTGGGGGGTTTTGGGGGGTTTTGGGGGGTTTTGGGGGGTTTTGGGGGGTTTTGGGGGGTTTTGGGGGGGGGGGGGAGTTGGTCTCCCATTTTGAAGCAGCCAAAAAAATGTTCACAGTTTTGAAGGAACCCCCCCTCCCCCTTTGGTTTGTCAAGGGCCCCCGAAAAAGGCCCGCAATGCCCACAAGGCCAATCATAGGATTATTTTTGGGTGCCACTTTGGAAGTTTGGGCAACAATCTCACAGACGTCCAAGGGGGGCTATCCTTATTCGGGGCTCAAAAGGAAGCCCGCTTTGAAGGCTCACGATGGTACAGTGGATGGACAAAATCCTGCATTTGGGAGGAGTGGTCATCCAAGTATTTATTGGGCGTACAGTTTGGGTGACCCTAGATAAATTCTAACATGGCTTCGAATGATGGATGACCTGTTTCGGTCACAAAACAGGCTGGTGGACCCTGGTCCCCCTCTCCCGATCATAGGATTCCAAACTGGTTTCCTCTCCAAAATGCAGCCATAAAACCAAATTAGGCGGAGGGGTGGGAGGGAAGCCCTCATATAACAACATATGGCAACCCCAAAAATGGGTCGTTGTGTGTGCGCGCTTTTTAAAGTGCCCTTGTTTGCTGCCTTAGTGGTTTAAAGGGAAGCCAACGAGCCAGAACATGCGCGGTTCACCGTCGTGTCTTCATGGTCTGTCCTGGCTGGGCCGCGTTTAGGATGCGCCCATCGCGGACCATCAGTTCCCTTGGGCAGCGCGAAAGTGCTTCTGGGGGTGAACCTGGTGTCACCGGTGTTTTTCCTGGTTCATACGGCAAGTGACTGGCAAGTATGACCTCGTACATGATCACGCCGCTAGTTCACGCGCACCAAACGTCCAAACGAGTGTTCTAGTATTTTGGCATCTGTGAAGCCAAACGGAGACTCGAGCTCAACATGGGCCTTTCTCATGCGGGACCCCTGCAAAACCGCCCTTGCGATTGCAGCGGCTGTTTCGGAAGAGATCAATGGGCCTCTTGCTGGAGGTGAAAAGAAACACATCGCCGAATTCGTCCTCATCGCCTTCGCATTCGTCTTCCGTTATCATTGAGCTGCTCCTTGGTGGGGTGATGTTTAAAGGGGGCATGAAAAAAAACCTGCTTCAACCAGCCGGAAAACTTCAACAAATATTCAACCACCCCAAAGGCACAATCTGTCAATCAACAAAAAAGGCATAATTGTTCGACGCAACAAACGAATTATGGTCCTTGGGTGACGGAGAAAGCACTTCGTTCAGAACCCGTCGAGTCCGGGTCCCGTAAGGCCTTCCAACCATCTCCCACTTGTTACCAAACAATCCTTGAAAGGGCCAACAAAACTGTACCATAACATCTATATACATATATATATATATATATATATATATGTATAATACGGCAGTTCACGCGGGGGGGTGGGGCCTGACCATATATATATATATATATATGTGTATAGGTACTGAATATCTTATGTATAGTCCGTCCCAAAAAAACGAGAAGACGCACATAGTCTTTCCACCCATCCACCTCTCCCATCCATCCGCCTCCACCACGGGGCCGTGCCCCGGCCGCGTCGGCAGCGGAACGGGCGACGGCGCCACCGGCGCGGCGGAGCTGGACGCGAGCCGGCGGCCGGCCTCGGCGCTCGGCTCGGTGGCATCCGGGAGTCGAGTCGAACCAGGGAGGCGTTCCCCTTAAAGGGGCAGGGTACTTCGTAGGGGGTTCACCTACTTGCGGAATCCGTAGGTTGCCCCATTTAAAGGGTACTTAGTGGTTTACCATGGTTGTAACCCACAAAAGCCATGACTAGTCTCCTAAGGTTAGAGCAGTGGCTTACCATGTTGTAAGTTCCCAGTTGCTACATCCTATGGGTTTACCTGTTTCGACTTACTGCTAGTGGTCTACATCCGGTTGTATCCCCACAAAAAGCCATGATTCTAAGTCTAAGGTTAGAGCTATAGGTACTAAGCACTTACGAAGTACCCTGCCCCTTTAAGCAGACATTGTGGTGTTCCCTTCGGCATTCCCCTAGCCAACCCCAAGGATGATATGAGCTTGTGGGTGTTTTTGGGGGTTCCGTTTCTGGTGCACTGAAATTTATTGGTCATTTGTCCGCCTCTTTGACGATATCTCGATACCTTTGCTTTTGTGAGACATTCATTTGGATGTGTTGGGATGTTGAGTCGGCAATGCTGGTAATCCATATGTTGACCCCCAGCTGAAAATAAACCCGTCCTAGTCCTAAGTGTTCCCTCCAACAGTGGTCGCAATCCCCACCCAAAGGGCTCAACCAGTCAAGGGGTGTATTAATCTGCAGTCAGATTTACTGAGACAAGTGCCCCCTTGTCTGCCAAACTGAGCAACGTCTGGTCAGGGCTGCTGTTCCCTGGTCTGGTCCCTCAAGCTTTGGGACGATTCGAGAAAAAACATGAAAACCAATAGGTAGGGCCTACGGGTGTATACATACAAATCACAATATATGGTGGAAAGGTACATATATGGATACATATACTCATGTATACGTTTCTTTGAAAGGCGGAAATTTTAAAGGCGAAAACCGAAAACGGCGGAAGGCGATTTCGAAGGTACCCTTCCGCCAGACAAACATGGGGAAGTGCACGGGAACGCTTTCCAAGAGGCACCCACCCGGCTTCGATGCAGTTGTATACAGGCCAAAAACTTGAGACACCCCCCAATGGTGTTCATGTTGGTGTCCCTTTGAAGCCGTCTTATGGTCCTAACTCAAAATCAAACAAATTTCAAGTGGGCCACCGAGAAACAAAAAGTCAACAGGGCAGTTGCACCTATGGTTGGGCCTTCCCTTACTAAACTTCACGTACCCAGCTTGTGGTTGAGGCCCAACTGATTTTGATAACTTGGTCGCCCTTTCTCTTCATCTACTCTCGCTCAATCTGTCTTGCCTGAATTTTCTGTTCCTGACCGCATCTCACTATCTTGAAGACATCTTCCCATTGGGCATGAATCTTACTTAGGCACCATGTTTCAAACCAGCCATGTTTGAGCAGCTGCCAACTCTTCAAAACCACAGTCATCTAGACTCTCTGTTCAACGACGCTTGCCTTTGCTCGGCAACACGCGAAGAGTGCCTTTTTCAGACCCAGTGGCCCTGCTGGAAAGGCGGTCAAAAGGAAAAGTCCTCCTTCTGACCTTGAGTGGTCAGCTGAAACCTTTTGGGCCTTGACAACGAAACTTAACGATTGCCAACGCAAGTGGCGAACTGAATTTCAATGCTTGGAACCCTCTTGAAAGTGGTTTACCCCTTAAATCCAGCTGAACATGGTCTGAACACAAACGACACCCTGACCTGAGCTGCATGCGACTTTATTGATTGGGCACGTCTCAGTGGACATCATTTGGGCGCTTCCTTGGTCCAGCAACCGCAAACCACGGGAACAACCACCATTTGAGTCATAATCAAAACCCGGTATTAAAATGGTCTACCCAGAACCATGTAAAGAATTAAGAAGATGGGCTGGGGTTGTCCCTTACTAACCTTCATCTACCTGGGTTTTGAGTGTGGCTCATTTTGGGGTTCGACTTAGAGACAAACCCGGGCAAATCGGCCGGCCAGCCCCAGCCACCGCGGGCTTCTGGAGCCTCGCCTGGTCCTCCGTGCAAGCCCAGAGCAAAGGGGACAGCACCACCTTGCACGAGAAGGATTTGTCCGTGTGGTGTCCCTGTCAAACCGCCAGAAATACTGTGGATGGTTGCAAAATCCATTTCGCATGACCTAACAAACCTTAGAATGATGACTCCCCTGTAAATACCAATAAGTAGTTCATGGTTTCCAAGTGGTGCAGGTTTTCATCCATCCACAGTATGGGGGCGAGTACCCTCCAAAAAGGACGAGCCACCCATGGCTCTCCTCCCACAACCCACAAAACCCACGAAAGGTTCGCACCATTCTGAATATTCCTAGATGTCTTATATATGGGACTCTCTTGTTTGAGGGCCCGTTGTTGGTGGTTTTACAAGGAAAACCAGCCATTGTTTTTGGAGGCTCGCTAAAAAGGCCCATATTGCAGGAAACCGAGAAGCCCTGTAAATCACCGCAATTTTCCAGGGTGGATGTGGATTTTCCTGTTTTTGGGTGTGTCGGTCTTTGAAAGAGAAACGGTGACCAGAAAAAATGGTGTTCAGCTTTCTTTCCAACTCCAAACCCGCCCAAAAAGGAGTTTGCTTTACATGTCTCTTTCAAAATACCAAAGGAGGTGTTATACCTTGGCGTCCCTTACCAACCAACCTACCCCACATCCGAAAAGACAACCGAATCCAAAACGACCCAAATTCTTGCAGAAAGGGTAACCCCACAATCCATCTTGGGGCTCCCTGCAGGCAATGACCAAGCGTGTTGGGAATGACCCGGAACGCGATTCCCTTAAAGGAAACCATGGAAAAATTGCCTTTCGTGGGGTCATTCATTTCTCCTTCCCTGCCTATACCAACAAGCTACCCAATTGGCCACCCAATGGGCACCGGAACTGCTTCCGCGCAACGCCGCGCTTCGCTCGATCGCGTCGATCCGAAAAACCTAGCACCGGTCACCAGCCCCTTAACCACAGAAAAATTGCAATACTTGGGGTCCTTCCAATTCTCATTCCTCGAGCACCCCCAGAAAAATTGCAATACTTGGGGTCCTTCCATTTCTCTTTCCTCGAGCACCAGCCCCTTAACCACAGAACAATGGCTTTTCTTGGGGTCATTGCTGTGTTGTGTGTCTTTTTTCCCCCGGAGAACCTGGGTTCATTGCTGATTTGTTTGTTTTCTGTGTTTTTTATTCCCCCGGAGAACCCGGGGTCATCGCTTTTGTCTCCTTTTTTTCGGCAGGACCTCCGAACAAAAGACGGAGGCCACGCCGCCCAAAGGCGAACTCCGAGCCGCCACGGCGAAGTTCAGCGCCACCGCCCCCAGCGCCGCGCCGCCGAAGGCCGCGGCGGCGGCGGCCCGCGAGTGGAAGGCCTCGAGGCAGCGCTGCGCGCTGTGCGCGATGGTCGTGGCAACTGCAGGACGGGGCACCGGAAAATCAAACAAATGCAAAAATGGGGAGGGGGAGAAGGGGGGGAAGTACACGGGGGGAGGGGGGGAGGGGGGGGAGGCGGGGGGAAAATAGGCAGTTGTACCTGCTTTTTGCTTTTGGCATCTCGTAAAGGAGGCACAAGAAAGGAGGTGCCTCCCCCCGCAACCGCCAAACGACGAGGTACACAGAACATCCCACAAATGCAAAACAGACGGGGGGAGGGGAGCGGGGGTACACGGGAACAAACTCGAACTGGTGTTCGATTGCTTCAGATGGAGCCTCTAATTTAGTGACTTTGCGAACTCCAGACTTGACTTTGCTCCCTCATTTGGACCCCACCGTTTGTTTGAGACAGACTTTCACTTTGCGAACCAGCCGAGGATCGTCTGATTCGCCCCGTTTCGGAGGTCTTGGATCCCCACTTCCCAGGCCAGCCCGTTTTTTCCTACACACTCAGCTCCCGTCGAGTTGGTGGTTTCGGGGTGTGGTTTGGAGGTTGGCGATTGTCCAACCAACAGTTACAAGAATCAGGGGTTCGAATCCCCAAACCAATTCAGAGCACCAATTTGGGGTAACCTGATTTGCTGGCAGGCGCATCACTCGCCCGAAACAATTGAAAAGCAGGAGGCAGCGGCTGTTCGGCTTGGTTTGGGGTTGGTTTAGGTCTGCTTTAGGTTTTCATAAGATTCCACCCCTCCCTTGTGGGGGTGGGAAGGTTCGAGCGCATGACACTTGGCAAAACCAATAAACGAAATACAGCGGGCTTAACCGACTCGGTTGACTGGTTATACAAAGTGCAACATGTTTGGGCTTGAGTCTTATCGTAAAAATGAAGAAAACTACGGCACTACCAACAAAAGCTCAAAGTGCAGGCAAACCAACCAGGAACAATCGCAGGATCAAACGCCTCCTCCCAACCTCCCCCGCCGCCTGGATTGGGGGTCCCCTATGTTGACAAATGCCATATCCTCCAAAGAACACACACCGGGCCAACCAACCGACATCGAAACTCCGTCAGTTCCGCTCGGAGCAACCCAAGGGAAACTAGAAATGGGCACATGAGAAAACTGGTTGAACCAAATGCCAAGTACACAAGCTTGGTGCCCATTTGATCCATTTGGCACACCAGCATGAACAAAATGCAGGGCCCTTCTTGCCATGACCCCAACAGTGTGGTCGTCTCTTCGTTCCTCAAATGGACAATCTGAGGGCGGTATCCAAATGAGCCACGAACGGAATGACTTGCTTCCCCACAAGGAGAACATGCCCCGCGAAATTTAGAGTTCGTGGCGCATGTCCCTCGCAAATGGACCACAGTTGCAGGGTTGACTCCCCATTCTTTCCAGGGATCCGAATCTTTTCGGGAAACCATCCAAAACCCAGGTTGTACACAGCAGGTTTAAGAAAAACAAAAGAAAACGATGGTTGAAAAGAATGGGACATAGACTCTGGTTATCTCCACCGAACCTCACCCAAAAGTTTGCTGCCGAGCAGCTGTCCGACCGCGGTGCATGGAGCGCCATCCACCGGCGGAAAAGAAAAATGCGCTGCCAGCTAGGGTTGAAGCACTCGGTGCTTCGTGGATCCCTTGGCTGCTTTTTGGGTGATCCCTTGGCTGATGTTTGGGTGATCACTCGGCTGATTTTTGTGTGATCCCTTTTTGGGTTATCCCTTGGCTGATGTTTGGGTTCGTGGCATATACGTCATGGCTAGCCGCCAAGAAACTTTTGGTGCCCATGGGCGATCGATCCGTGCTCGGAAACCTCGCTTCACCCTGTGGTCTTTCGACTGAGGCAGTGCCCTGCATCGAACTCATGGTGCCCCTTCATGGTGTGGAGGGGGGACAAAGGAAAGCCGACCTGCTTGAAGAGTCCCACCCCGTTTCGAGCATCGCAAATAAGTTTTAGTGGGGACCAGCCGCTGTCATTCCATGTCCCCATTCGGCCTGCTCTTCGGCGCGGCTCTGGGGCTCGGCATTGAGATGAGAGCCAGAAGTCCGGAAGGCTTCGCTTGTGACGCCGGAAAAGGAAAGGAACCACCCCGCCTGGGTTGCTTTCGAACCCAAAAAGGTACCGGTAACCAATCGAAGGCATCAAGCCCGTTTTCAGGCCCCTGTTGAAGCATAGACCCCAGATTCTCCCAAATGGAGGTCATTGCCAGGTACATTTGAATGTGAGTTTCTAGTGGGGGACTTCGGTGGACATCGGGGTTCCATGTTGAAATGTCATAGCCATTTTTCCAAAAAATTATGTGACGAAGAGTCAGGCCAGGGTTTCCACTGGCCTGAGAGTTCCATCCTCATTTGACAGTCAGTCTGAAACCAGTTCCTAAGTTGATTGGTCCAAGCTCTTTGTTTGGCTAACAGATTGAACCGCTATCCAACTCCAGCAATCCCGATTGAGAACCCGCCCAGTTGTCTCAATCGGGTGTTCCTCGCCTCGTCTCCATCGGGTAAAACGACTTCGGCGTCTGGGAGGAGGGCCGAACATCCGGAGAAAAGTAGATGGCGCCATCTGGCCATGGGTTGCATAACCTATGGCCCAATTTTGGGGTGGATGAACATCCATTTGCCACCTATTTTGATGTTCACCAGGGGTTTCGAGGGGTTTTGACCCACGGCCATCTACTTTCACCCAACTGGCCCAAGCCTTTTGCCCAGGCGAACTGTTCCCAGGAGCCCCCCACACACACTTTTTCCCCCAACAAAGATGAAAAGAAAGAAAACCGCATCTCCCGCACTTGGCGACTTCAGGCACTTTCGCGGGGAACCTTTCTCACGTGAATTGAGGTCCACTTTGGAGGTTCCCACCATTGAAATGTTCAGATCGCCAGTGTGTATTTGTTTCTGCTCACGCCACAAGGCTACCAAAATCAGCATCAGCGACTTGCTCCTGGCTTGTGAGGCTGTACTGCACTTCATGCGCTCGCCCAGTTATATGGCTGTGGGTCAAAACCCTGTACCCCTGGTGAACATCAAAATGAAGCCATGGGTTCTGCCCCATGGCCATGTCTTGTCGAGTGACGTGAAGCCGAGGGTTGCATGGCATAGCTCCCAAAGGTAGGCGGTCAAATTGGTGTACATGCAGGTCGCCCAAAATTGCCTCCATCACATCTGGAACTGAAGGAGCTTCAGCCCAAGGTCTCTCTTCGTGGGGTGCTTCACCTCAAGACAGCTTGGCGGAATACTTGCGATGTCAACGCCAGACTGTCTCTGGATGGAGCGAATCCTTGCGTAGGCATAGAGGCATAGAAAAGGACGACTGCAGCATTCCCCTTCAAGTTCAACATCCGGTCCCAGTGGAAGACGTAGTTTGTCGCTCTATGCTGCGTGTCAAAATATGTAGCTGCTGCGAGTCCAGTCCTTTCAGACCGGGAAAGCTTCGCTTCTGGCTTGGCCCTCTGGACTCCCTGCAGCTTCAAGCAAGTCGCTCAGCAACAAACCGCCTCCCCCGCACCCGGTTTTGGAGCTTCTTCTTGTACTCCCAAGAAAACGACAAAAAACAAATCCCAGGGTCCCATCGTGGGTATGAGTTTTAACTAGGCACCCGGACTGGTGGACTTCAAAATTAGGTGGGGATTTATGACTTGTCAAGGGGGTTCGTCATTGAAACTCATAGCCACATGGTCACAGCGTGTTTTTGGCACCAGACTTGACTGCCATCAAAGGAATGGTGGAGACATTGGGCGTGAAAATGCACATTGCACCTTCACTTTCTTGGCAAATTGTGAGAGCCTTCAGCTCTTCTTCAAGAGGTGGGATCATGGCATTGTAGAACGACTCGCCGCGCTCCTCGATTGATATGTTCAATCTTCTGTAGATCCTGTTGAATGCTAACCTACAGACCTCGCAAATATTCTGCCAGTGCGGGCGAATTCTCCACCAGCCTGGAGGTCAACAAATGCACGCTGTGCACGAAATGAAATCCGCATCCCCATCAAATCGCTTTTTGGAAGCCTTGTAAATTTCCTGCAGGTCATCAACCTCGGGATGTTGATCCAAGTTGGGGTATGTCTCCTTGATGTACTCAATGAGCATGCCAAACTGCGTGCCCCAGTCTCCAACATGGTTGAGGTCACGCACTTCGTGACCACAAGACTCAAGCACCCGACGGATGGACTCGCCAATAATGGCAGACCTCACGTGACCAACATGCACGTCCTTCGCGATGTTGGGCGACGAAGAGTCCACCACCACTCGCTTTCGGTGTCTCCTCGCAGAGCCATGCCTGACTTCTGACGGCAATCCTGGAGGTGCCACTAAAATCTCGAGGCGGTTCGCTGGCAAGCCAAAGCTAAGGTTCCGGAAGAGTTCCGCGGGTAGTTCGGGATACCTGGCTTCTGTTTCCCCCGAAAGGAAACCCCGGAGTCCAGAAACGCCATTTGAGTCCAATGGAGGTGTTTCAGGCGCCCAACCCACAGGGGCATGAAAGGAGCCAGGAACCAGGCAGGCCCTCCCTTTTCCTCTCAGCCGTTTGCAGGATTTCGCATCGCGGCCCGTCCCGTGGGGGCGTGGTGAGAGATGCCCAGCAGGGCGGAAATGTTGTCGCGGAAACCCGAGGTAGCCTGGTGAATCAGCCGTGCTCAAAAGGGATCTCTGGAGTTCCTGCCCCACCCCCACCCCCCGGAACAACAACCCCCCCCCCCCCACCCTGAAAATCCCCAAAACAAATCACCACCCCCTTGATTCACTCCGCATCAACTCACACTTCGGCCTTTCCAGAGGATGTCACACATTTCCAGGGCTTTCTTTTGGAAACCCAAGGTCTACACTTCTTGAATTTGTTTCTGGGAGAGTGTGATCCCCAGAAATCACACAAAAGCGCTTGCCTCACACTCGTTTGGGTTTCCGTTTGGCTTGCGTGACCAAAAAGCCACAGCGTTTAGGCGGGCGCGCCCACCTGGAATATTTTTCCTGGAGTCTGGAAGTTGCCTGAAAATAAACCGGAGGCCACCTGGAATGTATCACTGAGGGAGGTGATCTGGATGCGCTTCAAGAGCAATGTCCAACAACCCAAAAGCTGAAGCCCGCTCCAAATCTCTTACCCCAAGACAATACTGTGTAACGGAGTATGCGAAGATTCGAATCAGGAAACCGTATGCAAGAACCGACAGGAACCAAAAACAACACAAAGACCTCCTTAGCATGATCCTGAGAAATTTTGATCCTTGGACAATCCTTTGCTTTGGGCCCCGCTTTACCTCGCCCGCCTAAACCGGCGAAACCGGCCCGAAGCCGAAGGCTCACTCCACGGCCACCTTGCGCGCGGCAAGGCGCCTGCGCAGGTCGCGCTCGCCTTGCTCCTCCGCTTTCTCCACGGCCTTGGCCAACGAAATGTGGGCGTCCATGTCCTCCATTTTGAGCTGGCTACCCTTTAGTTTTTGTTTGCCATCCAGGGATGGCTTTTGTTTGAGAGTCTCGGGGGGTAGGTGGTTCAAAGCGAAAACCACTAAACATATGGCCATGGCAAAAAAAAACAAATCGTGCCCCCAGTGAACATCCCAATCCCAACTAAAATAGGTTCTCAAATGCCTGGAGAACTCACCTACCCCAAAATGGGATTTCATTGGTTTTGACCCACAGGCATATGGGTGTCCATTTCAGCTGAAAATGGCAACCATAGGTGGCCTTTTGGACGGTAAATGGGGCATGAACCCCATCTAAACCAGTGCCATCTATTTTTAACCAAACTCACCTAAAAAGGACACCTATGATGGCAAGGGTTTCCTTGTGGCTTTTCTCTAAATACTAAATACCAACCAAATGGGGGTCGATCATTTTGAGATGACGATCTTTTCTTTGGGACCCTTTGGTGGATATCATTTAGCCGGGGCTACGTGTCAACCATCCACTTTTGACCTATTAGTGTATGTAAGCTAACCAAACGGCGCCACACAAGCAAGCGACAACTCTTTTATCCAAGCAATGTGTTGGTGCCAGGGACTCATCTTCCCCTGTCAGATGTCTACGGCTGGGTGGGCCCCATGGGCCACCCACCACAAACTCTCAAAAACTGAAGAACGGGTGTGCAGACTGATAGCGCCCGCCCCTGGGCCGGGGCCCGGGGCACCCAGGCCACAGGGGGGTCTGCCACCAGGGGAAGTGAGTCACCCACCGGCTCCGGTCACGGGAGCATGGGTGGGCCCACGCTAAGATCAAATGCATCTCCATTCAGGAGACGCGGGAGAAAAATGAACTCCTCGCAGAGTTCCTGTTTAGGGACTCTGTGCAAAGGGTCGAACCCAGAGAAATCTGGGTGCGTCAGCTCATCGGCCCACTGGTTGAATTCCCGGGGCACGTGGTTGGCCGCCAGCGAGCAGCCATGGGTGTGGAGCAGGAAGACCAGCTCCATCAGGATAGCCGCGGTGTAGGGCTTCTTGGATCCAAGGTTGAGCATCGCCATGACGTTGCCCTGATTGTCACTGCCCACCGGGAGTCGGACCCGGGAGGACAGAGGGCCTTGGTGCGTGAGGATCATGTTACAGAGGAAGAGCGTGCCCAGCATTTCCAGAGCCGCAATCCTCCGCTTGGGATCCCCATTCTTGAATGCCCACGGGGTACTCCTCCACGTGGATCTGCTCGTGGAACCAGTACACCTCCTTCTTTTCCGGCTCCATTTTGTTGGCGCACCAGCCTCCCACAAATGCCAGTCCTTCATCCGAGGCGCTAGCATCGCTGCAACCCCACCAAGAGGACTTCGGCAAGTAAGGGGAGTACTGGACGAAGGGCGTGTTGAAGAGGAACCGCAGCATGAACGCCAGCATCCTGACCACCTTAGGGGGTTTCCCCACCGTGGTGGTGGCCATTTTCCAGGCCCACAGTGGCTGAAGCATCGACTTCGCCAGCGGACATGCAGCAGTTGCCCATTGGATGCGGCCCAGGGCCTTCTCGATGTCCTTTGAGTGCATCGCCTGCCCTTCCACCATGATCTGCAAGACCTCCATCACCAGGATGTGTTTGTTGGCGGCCATGAGAACCTGCGGGATGTTCGGGTGGACCACGAAGCCCAGCCACGTGTTGACCTCCGCCAAATGTGTCTTCTTCCAGCTAAGCGGGGTGCCCAAGGCCAGGAGTGTTGCCAACAGCGCCACCGCCAGTTTACTGCCCCCTCGCTGCGAAGCCACAGGAAGTCATCCACAAAGACGAAGTTCCAATCCACTTGAGGGAAAAGTAGAGGACCCTGAGTAGAAGGGCTGCCAGGCGTCCCCAGTAGGATTGGGCACTGGCCATGCCGTATGTGCCTACCTTGTTCACCCACCATTCTTCCCCCAGTGAGGCCACCTGGAACCGCCAGTCCTTCCTGAGGACCTTCACTCTCCGGTGGCCCTTGGTGACGTCCGCCTTGAGCAGCACCCACCTGGTGCCCGGCTCCGGCCATTGCCAGCCCTCGGGTGGAGGTTTAGCGACCTCCTTCTTGGGGCCGGGGGCACCCTGAGAGGGAGGTCCCTCCTCAGCTGCCGCATGTAGCCAATGAAGAGCTTGTACCCCATCCAGCACCGTCGGAGCCGTCGTCCTTTCCACCGTCTGGTTCCTGATGGTGTCATTGGCCCTGCCCACCGAGCCATCGTAGATGGTGCGGATCTTGTCCCCTTCGTCGATGCCCGCTAGGGGGCCTGGGCAAAGATCCTCCATATTGCAGCCACAGCGCGCTGCTGCCTCTACCTTGGTGAGAGGGCCATCTACCATGCCCATGGCTTGCCCTCCAAGATGAGCATGCCTGGAAGGGGGCGAACTCCTTGCCGGGGCAGACCCAGCACTGCTTGGCTGAGTCTGGCCACCCCGTTCCGCATGCCTTGCACATGAACTTGTAGTCGGAATGACCTGCGTCGTGTTCCTCTGGAACTGCGAAGCCCAGACCTCCTCCTGGCGGAGCTGGATCTTCATCGGGACGTACGCCTCCAAGATGCGGATCACCAGGTCCTCCGTGAGGTTCTTCCCAACAAACTTGTGAAACAGGGAGAGCTTATGCTTGACCGTGATGTCTCTCAGCAAGGTGGCCGCCGACGCTGGAAGGACTGGAAACAGGTGGGAGGTCCACCAGCTTGAAGTACCCGGGTTTTCCGTCCACCGGCACCAAGGTGACAGGTTTGTTGGCCTGAGACGTAGCCTTCTGAGAAGCCGCCACGAAGCCCTTCAGTCTCTTCGTGGGTGGCGTCTGCGCCTCCTCCGGTGGTGTGGCCCGCTCCGTGCCGTCCGCATCCCCCATGTCCTTGTCGCCCGGGGCACCCAAGCCGGGAGTCGGTGTGGCAAATGCCACTCGGAGACGCTCCAGTGCACTGGAGAGGTCCTTCATCACATCGGTCGCCGAAGCTGACGGGGGGGCCTCGGGCTCGTCCAAAACCAAGCCGGCCGCCACTGCCGCCTCCCGTGTGCGAATGTCCTGGGCCTCCTGGCTGGCCATTTCAACCTCCTCCACGGTGAGTGTCTGGTCCTCAATCAACTCAAAGGAAGTTGCCGAGGTTGCCGAGGAAGCCATTGCTTGGTCGGGGTTAAGTTCGAAAATGCAAAAGATCAAAGTTTTTCAATCAGCTTGCGTTCCAGGAACCCAGAACAATGCTTGAGCCAAAATGGCACATGCCATTGTGGTCAAGCATTCCACACACAGTTCATGTTTCCACATGCGTTTCAACATTAACAAAAAAGTCATAGCCATATTGCAAAAGGAACAAAGGAAGCCCTGATCTGCTGCAATCTTTCAGCCGTAGCTTTGGATTTGGTGTGGCTGGTTTACTTGCAATCTGGCAGGAGCATCCACCGCAACGTGCAGGCCCCTAGCGCAACTAGCGCAGAAAAGTCATAAAGTGGGCCGGCCGCCACCAACACGGTAACCACAGGGGAAAGGCAATCTAGAATCAGTACCCAATCACCCCCAAAGGAAAATTGACGGTTGATGAGTTTTTGCTGCAGGCGCTACAGAAATACAAACAATCTTCTCCTATCGCGATTGAATGTGGAAACCCCAAGTCCCCCACAACCCCACTCCGTTGGCAAAAACCCGTAGGTTCTGGTGCCTTGCTTTCAAGGTTCTCGCCTTCTGGGAGAACACCCGAAGCTCGTTCTCTTGCAGAAAAACCACCCAGCCCCTCCCCTCCCAAACCCCAACCCCCCCAACCCACCCCAACCCCCCCCCCCCCCCCACTTCCCCCCCGCCTTCTCCTCCCAGAGGTCGAAGTACTCGCTGACTCTCGGCGCCAGCTTCTCCAGCTCCTCCAGCTCCTGCAAGTGGCTCCGAGCAACGCTCGATTTGGCTGTGGTGCTCAAAACCATTTTGGGATCCCATTTTGGTTGGTAGGTGAATTCACTACCCAGTTTTTGTCTGGACATGGACACCCATATTTGGCTGTGGGTCAAAACCAATGGTATCTGTTGGGGGTAGGTGAATTCACCAGCCATTTTAGAAGCGATTTTAGTGGTGGGATCGGGATGTTCACTGGGGGTAAGGGGTGTTCTACTTTGTCTTGGGGTCCTGAAGCACCCCAGCCACACCCAGTCTAGCTAAAGGGAAAATGGGGGAAAATGTTGGAAAACTGCGGAAATTGGGGGAAAATTGTGGAATGGTGGAAAACGGTGGAAAATGATGGAAAATGGGGGAAAATGTGGGAAATGGGTGGAAAATGGTGGAAAATGGTGGAAAATGGTGGAACATGGTGGAAAATGGTGGAAAATTGTGGAAAATGGTGGAAAATGGTGGAAAATGGTGGAAAATTGTGGAAAATTGGAAAAGAGGCAATTTAGCACCTAGAGGATTTTCAAGGGTGGTAGAGTAAGTCTGGCAAACGAAAATGGGAGAACATGGGCTGCGAGGTAAATTTCTAGCACCGAACCCATAGAAAAACGGGATGTAGGAAAAATGAATGGAAGAAAAGTGCCCTTTCCAAAAATCGTCTGGTCGTCCTGTATTCCTTGCACAGAGAGTGCTTCATTGGCGCTCAACACCAAGACATCTCCAGTGAAGTCATCTGGTTCACACTCATCCTGGTTAAAAGTAAAGAAAGAGGTCAAGGAACCCACGGGCGAGGTCGAGACCCCTTGGACCCGGACGCAGAACTCGACTCGTGAGTGTCTTGGTTCCAAAAGGTCATCCAATTCAGAGTGAGCAAGCCTTCGTGAGACGAAAAGACATGCGAAGAAAGACCTCCGGCTCGCCACAGCTTCGGCCACTTACCATCACGGCCGAGCCTCGTGTACTGAGCATGGACTAAGCCATACTGTGTAAACCACCTCCTTGAACGCAACACAAAGTCCTTGCCACAACCGAGGCGTCTTCTCAAAACCAGCGACTGTCCAAAATCCATGTTGGAACCTTCAACCCCTTAGCTTCTTGGGAAACAAGGGGCTTTCCACGCACTTGCTCTTGCTATATGGGAATGACCCCCCCTATGTGGACCCGAGTAAAAATGCTAGGCGCCTTCTCGCAAAGGACTCGGAAGCCTCCAATTCCAAATCGGTGGCTTCCTTTTTGGCTTCCAAATGGGGAAGCTTCCAACTCCAATGAACAGCACACACCCAGAATTGGTATGGGTCGAAATGAAACCACGCGGGAACCGCAGGTTTTAGTCCTTCTTTCCATTTACCAGGGTTCCATGTGCTGTACGTATTTTTGACCCACACCCAGATTCCCCCACAACAAGCAACCCCTGAAGATTGGCTTCTGCAGGAACAACAAACAAAATAACTTGAGGAAGTTGGCATTGCCCCTTCTCGTCCTTCCCAAACCCAAAAGTGGACCGTGACTCAACATGGGGCCCCGTTGTTTGCTCTTGTTTTCCCTCAAAAAAACAAAAAGCCAAAAAAAAAAACGGAGCCACTGTCATTTAAAACTCTGTGAGTTCCCGGGTCTTTGACAAATCAGTTTGACCAAAGCTCACGGCCACAATAGCCTGGTATGAAAGTGGTCTATCCAAACACTCCTGGTAAATGCGGTTCACTGGAACGTTAGTTTCCACAGCTCAAGACATCCCAAACATAAAGAAGACATCCGTTCAAATGGCTGCTTGGCGACCCGTTGGTACTCACCGATCTCCAACACCTTCCACAACTCCATTTTGTTTCCACCACCCAAATGGCAAAGCCCAAAGAGTGACTGAAGTCCAGAAAGTCGGGAAAATATTTTGAGTTCTGCCCGTTCCCCAAGTTGACCCCACCCCCAGAAAAAAGAAATGAAGGCTCCGAGTGTCCCATTTCGTCGCAGAAAAAACGCGACTCCCCACACTCGCCGAAACCCTCCAAGGTGCGCAAAAATCCGGGGTAGGACTCCAAACTATGAGGCTTGACTCCGGGGTACTCAACACTGAACTCAGCAACTCTGACTGGTTTTCGGGCAAAGTGTCTGGACAAAAAAACAAATCGGCTTTCTCTAGGTGCCCTTGGAGTTGCCATCTCTCAAGCAACTCCCACGAGCGAGCCATTCGGACCCTTCCACTCCGGAGCATTTCACGCCTCCAGGGTGAGGTTCATCAGAAGGTGCCCCCCGCGCGTCTGGAAGACCAGCTGCGCCTCGGGAGAAATCGGTCGAAAACGGGGAGCCGAGGCGACCGATGCGCCGAATGGAACCAAACCCAGTCCCAAGGTCATGGCCTTTGGGGGGGGTCTATGTGAATCCGTGGGCTGGACCTCTGTTACGTTCTATCCGGGTTCGCTCGCCCAGGGTTTCACGCAGGACCCCAAAGCTTGGCCAAAGGGTGATCCTCCCAAAATTTTGATCACGGGCCTGAGTTGGATTGATTGACTTGCAATGGTTGGATTGCTCTGGTCAGGAAGCCAAACCTCTCTCGAAGGGGGTTGTTGAGGATTTTTGTGAAACCAGGAACCCACGAAGAGCCTCAGGTCGAGTTTTGGTCAAAAACAGATCAAACGTGGCACCAAGCACAAGGGAGACTATACTGGCAACCAAGCCCCTTGTCAGGGCCCCTTTCAAAGCGCGCCTTGTTTCTTTATTGCGGACTCAAAAGTTCCAACATGCTGGAATCATAGGAACCAATCTTCTCAAGGAAATCCGGCTCACTGAGTACTATTCCACCAGCAGGGAAGGCCCAAGTAATTCACTTCCTGAGTGGATTGGCCAAAAAGAGTCCAAACTTTATGCTTATCACCAAAATGGCCTTCCCAAAAAGTGTCAAGTCTGAAACGGAACGAGGTATAGGGCAACTACCTGAATTGGGGAACTTGTAAGGGGCAGCCCTCCGGCGCGCCCTCAGCGACCTTCGGCTCCTTTCCAGGCCTCCAGGTATCCGTCCACGTCGCTCTTGGCCGCCAGCACTCGCACCTCGCCACAACTTTGGAATTTGTGGGTCACTTCAGCTTTCGACTCTCGCTTTGGATTGGTTTGGAATGGGTGCTCCTCCCGGCCAGACGGAAACTGAAGACCTGGATTGGGAAACACAAGTCCTTTGGGTCCTGGATTGGTGGTTTGGATTGGAATGGCTTCGCCAGGGTCAGTCAAGCGGCTCCTTCGCCAGAGCCTTTGCCTAATCGCGTAAGACGCCGAACGGCCGACCCCTTCTTGCCACAGACCCGGCCTTCCTGGCCTTAGGGTCACGGAACCAAATCGCAAAAGTGGCCAAACGACATGGGACTGGGGCCGATCGAAAGCCCGCGTTGCATCCTTTGAGGGAAACTACCCATGATGGCGAGATTTATGATTATTAATTTTTGAATCCTGAGAAGCTAAGTGCCTAGACACCAAAGGCTGAATTTATAATTAGATTTCTCTTTTTCTTTCATATTCTAGAACCGGGTTCTCCTGTAGGCGAGGAATTCTCCTCATGCCCGTCTTCTCTCTAATTATTTGTATTATATGGTTTATTATTTACCTTTCTGCAGACAAACTGCAACAAGATAAAAATAAAATGCATGTTCTTACCCCTTCCCCGGCAGCAATCCCCAGGCCAAAACAACTCCCCGAAACCCTCCGGAAACATGCAAAAAAGCAAGAACAAATAGAAAAGTCATCTCTGTACGACCCAAGAAAAAATGGTGTTCCTTTTGATGTCCCTTTGAAACCACAAAACTGGGGTGGTACCCTCAAAAACAGACACAAAATCAAAAACACCGCCTGATTGACCCGAGGGTCCTCTAAATGAACAAGTAAGACTGATTCTCCTTGCTAACTGGCCCCAATGTATCCTTTCCAGACCTCTAAAGACCCAAGCCAAAACAAACCCACCACAGGTCGAACCCAAAGCGTCCACGCCTGCTTCCGGCCGCCCGGGAGCTCGAAACCCTCCCCCTGGTGACAAGGTTCTCCCCTTCACAACCCCAGGTCACGTGGCTGTGGCTCAGAAAGTGGGACCAAAATAGCACCTTGGGAAGTGGGACCAAAGACTAAAACCAGCGTAACCCCAGCTGTTTAATTTTGAGCCACCACATGATCATTGCTGGACCGAGGTTTGGTCAACGACTGACAAAAGGCGCGCACCTGTAACCACAAACCAAGAAATCCCTCTGGCCTTGCCGCAGGAATTATACGGTACTCGCACGCCACGCTCCATGCAATCAACACCAATTATCCCTCGTATTGAACATGTCTCGGCGGAAAATGTGGGAAAGTATGGTGGCAAACCTTCCAAACATGCCCTTCAAAAACGTTGAACTGCAGCATGCATTGCGCGCGGACACGCTGAAAGCGATTAATAGGGTGACAGTGACAGGCAGCGTTCCCTACACACACAAACACAGCCTACGAATGTACTGTCGGGCACACCTACCAAGGCTTGCACTCACGTAGCGCCTGGTGTGTTATGCAAGAGTCAGTCTCCAAGTGCGGGCCCAAATGGCTGTGGGTCAAAAATAGGGTTCCCAAAATGGAATCCTGGTAAATGGCACCAAGCACTAAACCTGAGGTGTCCTGGTGGTTGAATTTTGACCCACACCCAGATGAATTGCTCTTGCGGCTTCTGCTTTGCTCAGCCCAGAGCAACTCCCACATCGAAAGAACAAGCGCGGATTCCCCATCCAAGAGAAGCCAGCAAAAACAAGAGTGACACCAATACCCTGTCACATGAAGACGTTAAAAATGCAGTGGTGATATCACCAGCACCTGACTAGATGGCTGTAAAAGAAGAGTTTGCAAGGGAGCTCCCTTGAGAAGACCGAACCCAGAAAAGCCTACAAAGAACTCCCATAGAAGGCTGCCAGGACAGTTTCAGGAAACCTGCGAAGAACACCGAGCATTTCTTGCGGCCCAATTCCCGAACAAAACGCCTGCGTCAAATTTTGGGACCCCACCGGCTTCTGTTTGCTTTGAAGGCTCATCGCAATTTCATCTCTTTGATTGATCTCTAGGACGCCTATCCTAGAAAAACGCAAACAACCAAAAAACAACGAGAAAAACAAAAAGTGGGGGTGGAGGGTTCTCCCTCAGCCCTTCCCCCATTCCTCGGGTGAAAACCCCAACCCCCCCCCTCCTCGAGCCCCTCGAGCTTCTCGAGACCCCTCGAACCAAACCCGCCTGGGGCGGCCAGTAGGCCACCGCCCGGCGCTTGTCCCGGGCCGCCTCGAAGCCTCGCTCCTCGAAGGTGCCGCCCTCGGACGACCAAATTCGCGGGGACCCTGGGACCGTACCCGGGGTTAGGCGGGGCTGAGGCGCGGGGCTGAGGCGGGGCTGGTGTCAAGTCGGGGAACCCGAGAAAAAGTGCGGTGTCCGCTTTATTGGCCGTCCCCGAAAAAGAAAAAAGGAGGGAAAAAAGAAAGGCTCCGAGAGGGAATGATACAACTTGGTAGCCTCCAAAAAAACGACACAGCCCAAATGTGTGTTTAAGTACGGCAAATGAGCGGGCTCCGAGGCAAGTCCTTTTAGCAGGAGCCTTGGGCACCGACGCTTCACTGAAGCTCCTAGTTCTAAGAATTCCCCTGTGGCGTGTCCTTTTCTTTGGCACTGTTGGGTCGTTGAACAAAGGAAACACACTACTTGTACCATTGTCGGGATTCCCTATTTCAACCTACACTCATATCTTGGTTGCTGATTTCGAGCCACTTTCTTTTTGGTGGGAGGTCTTTAGGTTGGACAGAGGGATCCTCCCAGTTTAAGGTTATTTTGCCGCAGGTCAACTAAACAAAAGTGCCTCTTTCAAGGACCGTGTTTGCAGGACAAGCATGTCAAAGAAAGGTGGAAACATTCTTCTTGGCAACCTTCTCATCTGAGCCTTGGCAGATACTGTGGATGGAGAAAATCATGCTCGTGCAGAATTGGTCCATCCACTGCACAACTTGCCCAAATGCAGGTGTTTTGCCCCAAAAAAAGACCCCAAGCTTCGTCGGGGGCAGTGGCTTTTCATTGTGAAAACTGACCATCTCAAGAAAGGTCCCTTTATAAACTCTTGAGAGGAAAGAGGAAGGTGCTTGTTTTACTTGGATACCCTGTGAGTGTGGGGGATCGAAATAGGAATTTGTTCCCAAATCCAGGGGGGACTATTTAGGGCACCCTCGTTACCCACATGAACTGCCATCAAAGTTCATTCTCACGAAGTCAGCTAGACCCCAGTAAGATCAAGGATGATGCAACCCTATTGGGTATGTGTCAAACTGGGGGAACCCGCAAAATGGCAGTGTTAGCACGGACCTGATCGAAAAGGATAGAGGGGGGGGATTCTATTCGGAACAGTGAAAACAAGAATAGAAAAAACAAAAAGCATGACCCCCTCTCCAAACATGGAAGTGCACCGCGCCACGTTTCCGAACAGAAGTCTTTTTCAGGCTCTGCGCTGCACCTTCTGCCCTTTTCCGGGCGCCCACGCTCGGAGGTCTGCCTCCTGCGGGGCATCAATGAATCAAGGGAAGACAAGATGCAAAGCCCATTCAAAGGGTATGACCCCGAGAAACACCCTTCAACTGGTGGTGTCCTTTCTTCGGGAATCCCAAAACGGTTCATTCCATTCCTCATTCCCTATCGCACCAGCAAGTCGAAGCGGCTTTGCCCGAAAAATGGTCTGCTTTTTTGGGTGGGCTTTTCTGGGGCCGAGGCTTTTCGGTACCACGAAAAATGGTTCCCGTCCCAATGACTACTGTCACTAAAAAGCGGCTTTGTTAGGTGTCACCAGGAAATGGCTCGCAAAGCTTCCCTCCTAATACCAACTTCCCAACAAGCCGTAGGTTTGGGTTCGGCATGACTGTCCAAAAACATCTGCAAATGTCCGTCCGATCTGGCCAAAGGGCACGCAGATTGCCAGTGAGTGTGGCAATGGGTATGTGCCAAAAAAGGTTTGGCCACAAATGGGGGGTTCTCTGTTGGTACCCCTTTAAACCAGGATGAAGAGGGCCGCCTCAAATCACGTCACACATCTTGCCACGATTTGGCGGGAGTCACGCACTTCTCCGCGCCTTGCGAGCTCTTGCCACGATGTCAACCCCAAATTGGTTACCCCTCGACGCAAAGCAAGCATCTCAGTTTTTCTTGCAAGGTAAGGGACGATCTTTTTTGGCCCCATGTTCCATCGAGGGTGCCATCCGAGTGTGCTCAAAAACTGCACCCATTTTGTTGCTACC